CTGGCGCAGAAGTCGAACTTCTTCCGATTGGACGACTGGAACTGGAAATGTTTGGATGTATTTGTCGTGCTCACATCCCTTTGGGAGGCTGGGAGTTCCGAAAAAGCAGCGGATGCTTTGCGTGTTGTTTGTTGGCTTTTGTTGGGGTCTTAGTTCGTTCAACCAGGGCAAAGATATGCCTCGGAGACTTGGGTGTCCAATCGTCTTTGAACGGACACTCTACGTGCTTGCCGGAAGCTCCCAGGTTATTGTGGACATCATAGAGGCAAGCACCGATGGGTGCTACGGCTGCTCCTTACACATGTTGCACGTTCAATCGCACGCTGCTGGCCGTGACTGTCTTAGTGGATTGTCTTCGTTCAAGAGCAGCCAAGGCAGTACAACATCGATACCATTCAGGGTTTGACCAACGTCAAGTCCTTCAGAATCTCGTTGAATCAATGCTTGATCTTGGTGGGAAGTTTTTTGGGCCCATCTCCTCCAGCAGTTTTCTGGACTGCAGGAATTATCAGACTGACGCGGCTGCTTAGAACGGTGCAGTTTGTGCGCGTCTTCAAGTTCGTGATGGCCTTGCGCATGCTGGTGGACTCTATTTTCGGGACTGTGAGATCATTGTTGCGTGGTTGATGCGGGTTGACCAGGGCAATTTCGCTTTGCAGAGAGATCATTAGGGCTAGGGTCTAATAGTACAGGGTCCAATATTGTGCATCTCAAAACGCGTTCACCAGGTTTGGCTCATCGCGTTTTCTCCAGAAAGCATTGGACAAAGCTTGGTGCGACCTACTCGCTGCTTATCATTCTCTAAGAGTCATATCGCACCAGGTTTTTGTCCATCACGTTTTGTCCAAAAAACGATGGACCATTCTTGCTGCAATCGTATCTGCGCACTGCTTTTCGTTATCTAAACATCATGGCGGGTAGATCGCACCAGAGCTTTTTCCATCGTGTCTTTTCCAAGAATAGTAGACAGGGTTTGGTGAGATCTACGCACTGCTTCTCGTTTCGAGTGTATTGTGTTTTTCCTAGAGTAGGTACATTTGCAATTGGCTCCTGGGGCTGATTGTGGCTTTTGAAAAAATTCTCAAACTCCTTAAATTCCGCAATTCCGGGGCCTTGTTTTGTGTTTTTCATTCCTGAAAGGGCCCTTAAATATTTAAACAAGGCTTGATTTTAAAACTTCAAGAATTTGCGGAATCTAAATCGGCTGAAATTCTTTGAATTCCTTATGTTCCTCAACAAGGCAGGGATTCAAAAATGAAGGAACCTCAGGGAATAAGGAATTTCAGGATCTTCTGGAATTTTAAGATTGGAATTAGCTCCGGGGATCATTTTCAATTTACGTAGTTTAGGAGTTTAAGGAGTTTAAATAGGCTGAAGTGACACACTTGAAACTGTACATCGCCCCGAAATGTTACCCGGCGGTGCGGCTGGACTGCTTGGCGGGTGGCAAAAAAACCCTAAACCCTAAACCTTAAACCCTAAACCTTAAACCCTAAACCTTAAACCCTAAACCCTAAACCTTAAACCCTAAACCTTAAACCCTAAACCTTGAGCTATTGGCTTTATCAAATCACGGCCCAGGTTCTGGGCGTTGATCCTGCTTGCGCTTGTCATGTACGCCCGGGGCTCAGCCCTCCAAGCACTTCCGCAGTTTTGAAGTTTGTACCACACATATACATGTACATTATACTTATTATATGTATATGTATATATATATATGTATATTGCGCATGCATACTATAGTGCATGTGTATGCCACATGCGTATGTATAGAAACATAAATGCGTATTTGAGTTGTGTTTATATTCGGCGGCGAAGGCATCTGAGGTTTGAAGCTTGATTTGGAGCCCAGATTGTAAGGGTGCCGATCCGCAGATTTCTTTCTCGCACCCGTGGAGAGTTCGGCCCTTTCCGAGGAGGACCGTATCTTTCAACATCGCGTGGTTGCTTCCCTTCCCCGTGCTCTGAGCCTTACCCTGCCGAAAATGGGCTTGCGGTTGTTCTGTTTTTTTCCTTATGACTCGCTGAAGTTGCTTTCTTCGCTTGATGATGGCTTCATGGCTGTTCAGCCGTGCAGAAAGGGGCGGGAGAAGTTCTGCGGTCTTGGTGTACAGGCCTTTTCAAACCGGTGGTCCTTTCTGTTCAATGCGAACCGGGCCCTGAACCTTTGGTCGAGGCCCATGATCAGCAGAGCTTGAATAAAGGGTTGGGGCAGGAGCGGTGCGCAGGGGACGCGTTGTGGTGCTTTGCCGAGGGTGCTGTCTACATGTTTCTACATGTTTCTGCATGTTTCTGCATGCTTCTGCATGTTTCTTCCGCTCCTGCTGGTTGGCACCGTTCTCTTCGGCGTCTTCCATTGCCTACAAATCGCGCTGCTGAGGTCTTTGCAGTCCTCTTTGCGACAGCCATCAACGACTTCAAGCTCGAGGGAGCCGGGCAAGGCTGGAGCCAGCAGGACCCGACTCAAGGGACTTCGGGGGGTAAGAGAAAGAAGGCCTTTTTCAAGATCCAAAACACAAACCTGCAAGGAGGTCGAAAGCCAGTAGAGTAGGCCAGGAAGGAGGGAGGAAGGGAAGAAACGCATGAAGGGGAAGGGGAGCCAATAAACCGAGAAAGGAAAAAGGATTTAAGGAAAGAACAGAAAAGGAACAGAAGCGAAACGAAACGGAAGGGCCGCCCTAAGCCCTTAACCCAAACCCTATAGCCGATACCATAAGAATCATAAGAATCCGTTGGTCGTCTTTTGTCGTTCTTCACTCTTAGCCAACTAATATCCTTGCAAGGCTTGCGGCTGTTCGAAAGGGCATTTATGTTAAGAGTCGTGTTGGGTCGTGGGGTTTTGGAACGTTTTGGCCATGTTGGAATGCAGGGCGCAGGGTTTTGGAGCCTGGACTCGTCGACGCAACCCAAACGGCTTAAGCCAAGATAACAAAGCGGCTCACTGAAAAATAGGGGAATAGACTCGTGGTTTCCTTAGAACGGATGCCAGATGGACTCACACTGTCTCACACAGCGGTGTGGTCTGCCCTGTGCTACAAGAATTTTCACAGAAGGCGATAGAAGAAGCATAGAGAGCAAGATGCCCAGAAAGAATTCCTTGTGCAGGAAGCCGAAGCCAGCCGTCGCTTCTGGGGCTCCGTGCCAGATCCCAGCCTTCATCTCGAGCAGAGGGTCCAGTCGTAGCAAGTAGCAGTAGCTTTGGTGCCGGCAGCTTAGCTGCTGTAGCTGCACTAGAAGAGTAGCCGCGGGAGCAGTAGCATCAAGAACATGGCGAAAAACCTCTCGGTAACGGGGACCTCAAGCTCCTCTTCATGCCTTCTCTGCGTGTGCTTGGCACACTTTGAACATCCTAGAAAGAAGTCGGCAGGGGCGAAGCTCTCGAGCTGAATAAACGCAAGTGTCAGCTCAGGACAGCATGCTCACTCTGTTCATGAGCAGCTTGGAAGCGTGGATGCTAGCGACCTTGGCTCGTAGTTGGAGCCGGAGAAGCTTCAGCTTCACCAGGGCCTAAGGCGAAGTTTCAGATGCTAAGACCCTGGCTAGATGCAGCGGCTGCGGCTTTCAAATCGTAGCTCGTGATTCTTTGCGAATGCCTTGCGACCCTGCAATCCGACCCAAAGCCAAGGCATCACGGGAGGGTCGAACTGGGAGGAGGCCCTCGCGCCCCTGCATGCGATCCTCGGCTCTACAGTACAGTGTGTGCTCTGCTCAACGCCTTAGATCGGGGCTGTGGTTGAGGAAGTCTGCCGCAAATCGAGTACGGAATTAGATCATAGGGGCATGGGACTTTGGTGGCATGAAGTCCTTCGGAGATCGAGACGCATCAGCTGCTCCGGAGTCGCTCCCCTCCCCCCCTCCTCCCCAGCCTCTGGTTCCGGCTCGGACACCCGTGTTTGCGTGTTGGTCCAGAAGTGAAGCGTTGCCGCCTCTCGAGTTTTGGTGGGTTCACGGCTTCAAGTTTGGAGGGTGCCGGCCCACAGCAGCTTCCATCCCCAAGCCCTGGTAGTGGCGGGGCAAGGGAGCTTTGCCAAGCCTGCTGTGGGATCTGGCAAGTTGGCTTGGGCGACTACTGGGCTGCTGGGCTGGGTTGAGGTTTGCAAGTTGTTTGCCTATCCTTTCTGCCTTTGCTGCTTGCCGAATGACCCTGCAGTACTGTCTGGGTCTACACCGGCGTTGTTGCCAAACGAAGCATGGTCCGGCTGGCCATTTTGCCTGCCATATCGGCGAGGTTGTGGTATTCCGAGGCGCTCACACATCGATGGGCTTCTTGAAGGGCCACAGGCTTGGCTCACGGAGCGCCGACGCATCCGATACCCGGTTTGGGGGATGAGCAAACGCATGTGCCTGCCACCGCTGTTTCGAGCTGCAAGCGATGGACCCATACGATGGACCTCGACAGCTTGTTGCACTTCCCCCCTCCCTTCCCCTCCCCTCCCCCCTCCTCTCCCCGCCAATTTTTGGTGTAGGGGTTACGGTTCTCGACCAAGGTCCTTAACCAGGCCCGGGCCCTTTGCCCGTACGAGGGCCGTAGAGCCCGTAAGGCCCGTAGAGCCCGCAAGGGCCGTACAGGCCGTGAGCCCGTAGGAGCCCGTAGGAGCCCGTAGGATCCCGCAGGAGCCCGCAGCCCGTAGGAAGGAATCTGCCGCAAGCCGTGCTGTGTCCCGCCCAGGCTCAAAGCCCGTACTTGATCCTAAATATGCTTTAGCTTGTCATGGTACCAATACAGAGATGAGATGCTTAACAAGCATTTCGCTTCGAAGATCTCGCATCATCTCATGTGTAGGTTAGTGAAGCCATGGAAGAGATCAGATATGACGGTGCCTGCAGCGTATGTGGGAGAAAGTTGAGCAAGAAAAAACTGTCATCGCGTCGGTGCTGGATGTGTGCGGCTGGCTCCAAGTGAAACATGACATCATGAGATGCCGGAATTTAGAATGTTCTTTGAACTGTGCCGCCGTGGCATACAACTTCGTATGCAGTGGCTCTGAGTGCGTCTTTTCATGGGGGCAGGAGGAGTGCATGCAATATTTTTTTTGACCTACGCCTTCGGGGTTTCTATACGCTGGCTGCGACAACTCAGTCGTCGTTTGATCTTCCAGTGGTCTTCCTTTGCGGGGGAAGCCAAAGTTCACTTTCTCGAAGCTGTTGGCTTGGGCAAGAGTGACATTGTGCCAGACAAGGCCAAGTTGAAGTTGCTTCGGGCGTGGATGCTGTGGCGTTTGGTTACTTAGCAGGTTTGGTATATTATATGTGATATGTTGTATATTCAAAAACACTTGAGAAGCATTATATCATTTATAAATAAATAAATATATATATATAATCATAGCAATAATAATAATCATAATGAGAACAATCATAATCATAACAATAACAGCAATAACAATAATAATAATAATAAACATAATAACAATAATCATAATAATAATAAACATCAGGTATAAAATATGTATTGAGTAAGACATATAATATAGTGTGTATATATAACGCAATTATATGTATAAATATATATATATATATACATACATATATATAAATATATAAATATATAAATAAATAAATACATAAATAAATAAATAAATATATATTTATATTATTTGTATTTACATATCTTTATATTTGCTCGCAGCCCTTCCCGGTTATGCTGGTTGCGCCGCGTGTGTCTGATCCCCACATGTTCGACCCAGTAGCACTTGCTGCGTGCTGGGTGCCTCCATAAGGTTCAGTGTTGGTTCGCAGAACTGGAAGCCTTTAGCCTTCAGAAGAAGTAAGGTCATTCGATGGAGGCAACATGCGGCCAGAAACGAGGGTGAAGTGCAAGTGCGTGTGAACCTACGGAAGCCACTGCCGACGCTGCTTGCAGAGGCGTGGGAGTGGTATCCTGCGCACATGTTGAAGAGAAGAGTGGACCTAGCTCGGTCGAAACAGCTGGACTTGAGCGCCGTCGTTATGGACGGCAACGCTAAGCTGTCAGGCAGGATATGCGGCCGTCCCGCGGCGGAAATCATCGACAGCCGTTCGCTGGACATGTTCACCGTGACCTGTTGCAGCGCGGAGCCTCAGTTCAAGAAACGGCGTTGCATGAAACACGACACCAGCCATGCTCCAGCAGATCCGTTGCCCGAACAGTCTGAAGTCATTACTGCCCATCGTCGTGTTCGAAGAGCAGGACAAGGGGAACTGTATGATGTGTTTTTGAAAGTGAAGGATGCTCCAAATTTGGCAGGCCGATGGGTCAATGCGTCCCTTGTGACAGCCACGCAACTACACGAGTACTGGCGAAAATTGGAAGCCTCTGGCTTCGTTCCGGAAAAGTCGGCAGCTGAAGATCTGGCTGCTAGCAGCTGCAAAACCCACAAAGAGATCCGGCAGGGCACGAGAGCGCAAGTGCAACTGGGCAGCACATGTGTAATTCCTTTGATTGTTTAAGAGTGTCCAGGTTCAAGACTGAAAGACATAGGGCTGCTGCGTTTTTCTGTTGGTCGAGGAGAGCTGGGCGGTGTAACGGGTTTCTTTTCGCAACGACGCCATGCGGGCACATTCTGCACATGAAGCCGTATGTGGGTGCAGAATCATTGCCGCAAAGGTTTTTTTCTAGGAGAATTGGTGGAGGCTGTTGGTGAGATCAATGTTCTGATCCACGATGACAGTTGTCATCTCCGGCGTTTCTCGGAGAGGAATGGTGACCGGACAGAATTGACAAACCGTCTAAGACACCCGCGGATTCGGTATATACTTGACCGGATGCACGCCACGGGTCATAGCGACCCGTGGTGTATCCGAGAGTGCCATCCGGACGCACCGCAGAACGCTCAGCTTGTGCAAGATCTGAATACGTCTGCAGCAGAGGTCCTCAACAGTCTCATGTCCAGGCATCGACACGCCGTGCGCTGCATCCGTTCGCGTTACGTGCGGGATTTCTTCTTGCAGGAGGTAGCAGATTCCCGCAACACTGTTGCTGGACCAGAGCCGGCAGGACGGGCACGTGTGGGGGAGCGGCCTGCAGAGGCGGCGCCGCTCACGCCGCCTGGAAGGGCACGAAGACGGAGAAGGGCGTTCGGGCCTGCAGGCCACATAGAACACACATGAACACACACACACACACGCACACACACACACACACACATAGATTATAACAGTGCACCGTACACCGTAACTTCTGCATATAGTATGTGTATTGACTGTAGTTCAACCGATACCTTTGCAGGCGCGGATGCTGTCCCCGCGCCAAAACGGCGGATTCGCGTGGTGGCTTCCAGGAGTGCTGGAGAAGGCGGGTCTCCGCGTTTCGAGGGTAGCAAGAAGGCTGAAATGAAACCTTTTGCAGGGTTAAGCAGTTCGGGCATGTGTCTTCGATTTGGGGTTTAGGGTTGAGGAGTAGGGTTGCGTGAGACAGGTCACAGCAGCATGACCTGCAAGACGGGCGTGAGCTACGAGTCCCGCAGCGCCACGTGCAACGTGGTTGGCGTCGGCAACATTCATTCTGGCCCTTTCCTTGGCTTGGTGAAGCTAGGAGGACCGGTGAGTGGAAGTTTTTTCTCTTTTGTGTGCGGAAGTTTTTTCTGTTTTGTGTGCAGAGGGATTAGTTTCATGGTTTGATGGCGGTGTAGGGGTTGAGTTAAGGGCTGGCGTTGTACCAGTGCACGCCAAGTCAGGAAAGGAGAGACTGGCAACCATGAAGTAGCAGCGATGGAAAGAATCCTTTTCCTTTTCGGAAGACCAATTTCTCCCCATGCTCCGCTTGCAGAGTCGATAGAGCTGCCAGCTGACTTCCAGAGGGTGTCGTGGGTGCCACTCTTACCGAACATGCTGGAGGCTTTGGGCCTCACACGTGAGGCGCCCGCTAGCGCTTGAGACAGCTACACGGTTATTCGAGCCAACTGAGCCTGTGGATGACTGTCCATGCTTCCGTATTGTCCTGGCGGATGGCTGCTCGACGGAGCTGCGTTTCCGCACGGTGGCATCTTGTTGAAAGTCAACGAACATTTTATATTTCATGTGAAATATTCCATATTCTACATGTTCCACGCCTCGTATCTTATTTCTTATCTTATGTCTTGTGTCTCATATCTTATATCTTATGCCTGATGTTTATTCGTTTTCGAGCTTTTTTTGCAAGTTCAGAACATTCAAGGCGAGTGGCTCGGGAGAATCTGCTCGCTGTCACCGACGGCCCGAGTTTGCAGTTGCCAACCGGACCATTCCTGTTCCAGACATCGAGTCCATGGCGCACAGGGTGCTGCATTATTTTGCTGATCCGCGTGCGGTGGTGGAGTTCACTGAGGAGGCCCAGGAACTCTTTGTGGCCTACGCGGCGTGTTTTTCAGCTGAGCAGAGTGTTTCCCAATCCTGATAGCAGATTTTTTTTGCAATGTTGGTGTGGCGGGGTAAGCGCAGCTCTGCTTGAACACTTACTCGTCACTCCATAACACCTGCAGCTGAAACAGAGGTGCTTCGTGACAACGACGACGATTCGGCGGCGAGGAAGGGAACGGCCACATGGCACCTCGGTGTGCTGGCAGCTGCCCAGTTAGTCTGGGACATCGCGACGGAGCAGGCTGCGTGACAGGGATGAAAGTGAGTGTAACGTTAGATTGTTGGAGTACCTGTCGGCTGTTGGGGAGAGTTGGTGCGGGGGCCGGGTCTGCTGGGTTGGGTGCGAGGCAGACTCCAGACTGGTGGCAGAATCGAGGCTTCGCATCCAAGCACATCACGTGCTTCGCGCGTATGACGCCCTCAGGTTGACTCATGACGTATTGGGCTTGTGCGTGAATGGCAGCGTGGTGGCGCCCGGTAGCGCAGAGCAGGCACTGTCACAAGCGGCAAGTGCTGCGCAGCAGCTGGAGTCAGCGCTGGAGCAGCAGCGGATCCCAGAAAGTCAGTTCGTGAAGTTCGAAGTTGCGCAGCAGAGGATGGCGAGCCAGGCCATGTCTTCAGCCAAAGCGACTCGCCGCCGCTAAGTGATGGCTACGGGCCTGGCGGCAGTTCGGTACAGGATCCAACGCAAGGGCCAAGTAGTCTTTCAGATAGAGTGGCTTGATGACAGCTTTTGTTTGCAACTCTCAGGGTTCACGTATAGCCCTAATCGTAGCAGTGTAAGGACTAAGTGTGGTCATAGGATATGCTTTGACGTCCGTTGACAGTGCAAGGCAGTAATGTTGCGTACGCTTCTTCGGGGCGAACCCGTTATTTTTGCTCGTCGCGTCGTGGATGCTTGCTCGAAGAAGACGACTGTTGACAACAAAACAGTTAGGACGTCGTTACAGCTGGCGCACTGGCTCGCGGTCATCAACGCAGGCATGGAACAGCACTGCATCGGTGAGGTGCAGACGCTGGCTGACCGCAAGGGCCCACGGCTGGTGCTACACCTTCCCAAGTCCAATAATCGAGAAGCTGTGCGTGTGTGTCACAACCGGCTGATGGCTTTGTGTGGCTTGAGTTTTGCAGCTTTTTCGAAGCGTTTGGTAGAAGTCGCATCCAAAGGAGGCGGCTCAGGCGCCCGGGTCGTGGCGGCCACTGCAGATGAGCAGGTGTCGGAAGAGGGTGTGTTGGCCGTGCGACCAAGAGCTGCTAACTCAACAGCGGCGCCAAAGGCGAGCGTTGTCGTGCGACCAAGAGCTGCTAAGTCAAGAGCGGCGCCGAAGGCGAGCATTGTTGCGAAGCAAGAGATAGTCTCACACGATGTTGGTTTGGCGACAACTTCTAAGGCCAGGGCTGCGCCTACAGCACGCAGGGCTGCCAAGACGGCAGTAAAGAAAGAAGTCGTGGAGGAGGATGATGATGATTGCATCATAATCGAAGCATCTGTGCCAGCGTCGTCCGCTAGGGAGAAGACGCAGGACGCAGGGGACAGTCAGGGAAGCAAGCGCCGGAAGCTGAATGAACAGCTCGGCAATTGGCATTGCTAGGAGAGTCGAGCAAGATGGGGGGGGGGGTTGAAAAAAGGATGGGCTGGGAAGTGGGGACGGAGAGAGAAACAGAGAGAGAGGTACCAACGATGAGGCTCACACAGATAATCACGTGTGTGCGTGGGTGTGTTGGAGAGGCGTGGTCCGCTGAGACGTGCCACCTCCTCTGGCGCACGGCGCAGGCCAGTGCAGGTTCGTGGAGCAGGTTTTAGGGGTTTAGGGTTTAGGGGATAGGGTTAGTGTTTTCGAGAACGCATTTTTGTGAAAATTGACGCAGGCTTGAAGCTTGGGATGATCTGAGACCCCTAAGCCCTCAAATCCGCGGCTCGGACCTTCGAAAACGTGTCATTATGGCTAAGCTGGTCCCCTCTGCTCGTTAGACGAGCAAAGCGCCTTAAACATCGAGACATGCTGCAAGCTTAAGCTTGAGATGATCTGAGATCCGTATGGCCCCCTGTCCTTGTTGGACTAGCGAAGCGCTAAAGAAGAACTGACGCTCCAAGGCTGACTTGCAAGGCGCAAGCGGTGCGCCAAAGTCTTCAAGCACGCTGCCGAGACCCTATGGCCTGTATCTGGCGAGCAGTTCTTCAGCGCGTAGCCAAACACTATATGAAGCTCGTGACAGAGGGTTGCTTCGGTTACCCAGGAGTTTAGAAAGCCCCAACGCACTCCTTTAGGAGAGTAATAGGTGGGCAGTTTCTCTCGCAGGAAGCTGAAAACCTGAAACTCTGCACCCTCAACTTGCTGAGTGAATCCTATATGAGGAGTAGGCTTCCCTAAAGCCTAAACCCCCATAAGATCTAAACGCGAAATCCTAAACCCTAAATCAGGCCTTAGGCTCGGCTCTTAAAGCTCGGGGCGAGATTTCGGAGCTTGCCCACAAGAGTGCACGCCATCCAGAAGATCTCAAAAGCTTCACGTCAGGAGCTTAAGGTTTAGAGGTGCAAGTTTCGGTTTGGGGCCTGAGGGCTTTCCGGCTTATGAGAGTTGAGGAAGCATGGCCCTAGTCTGGGTCATAACCCTTAACGACTTCGAGCTTGTGCTCCCCAAACCCTAAACCCTAAACCCTAAACCACACCTCACTGCACAGGGAGTTGCGACAAGTGAACGGCTTGCTAAACCTACGTTATGGGCTTATATGACCGTTGAGGGTTGTAGAATCAAGCAGGGGAAATGCACACTGGAGGCAACTCCCAGGTTCCTGTGAGCTATAAAGCCATTTGAAACAGGCCAGGCTCTGGGAACAAACAGACCCATTTGAAGCCCAGGTAATTCTGCTCTAGCGAAATGAATGCCATGGGCAAGTCTGCAGTGTGAATGTATCCCCGGGAAATGTATTTGCAGTGGTACTCTGTTGATGTAGGGTGAATATAGGTAGATAGGACCTCAACACTGCAAGACTGGGGATATGAAGCTCTGTCGCCCCCATTGTACATCATTTCCAGGATAGTGAGCCTGTCCGGGTGCATGCATCTCATCCTTCAAATAATCAATCCCTTCTATGTCAATCCCGCCTTGCTGCTTTCTGGCCTACGTGCCACTCGGACAGGTGCGCAGGGGGGGACAGGGTTCTGACCTTCGAACTTTGGGAGTCCGGGGATGGAGGCTTCGGGGTTGGTTCCTTGTTGTCCTGGGGTTGTACGTGCTTTGAGGTTTTGTTGGTGTGGTTTGGGCTGTTGGTGGGTACGGTAAACTCCGAAGGCCATCTTGGGGCTCCAGCAACGGACTAGCAAACTTTTCAACCTGAATTTTGGCGGTAACTAGGCCTGACCTCTTCCCTGTATACGCTTGCGAAACGGGTGGGAAAAAAAAACCCTAAACCCCAAATCTTGAACCCTAAGCCTTAAACCCTAGACCCTAAACTGTAAACCCTAAACCCTACACCCTAATCTCTAAACCCTAAACCCTAAACCCTAGCTTGTGCTCGTTGTAGAGAAAGAGGGAACACTGTATAGAGCACTGTGAGTCCGACGTCTTGAACTCGAAACTCTAGAGCTGAAACTTCAATTCCCTCATTCTCTTCGAAGTACGAAAAGAGAAGGCGAAGTTGCAAAATGTGTCACTCAGAGCTGTGGACTATTGCAATTGTGAAGATAAAGAGAGAGGATATATGCATCGTGATATAAGGTTAGATAAGGCGAGTTGTGTACAAGGCTTCACGCTTGCAGGGTTTGACTGAAATCAGGGCCCGCAAGGCCCGTACGGCCCGTAAGGCCCGTAGAGCCCGCGTAGAGCCCGTAGAGCCCGTAGAGCCCGTAGAGCCCGCAGAGCCCGTAGAGCCCGTAGAGCCCGTGCAGCCCGTAAGCAAGGCCCGCAGAGCCCGCAAGGCCCGCAAGCCCCTCAGGGCCCTAGGGCCGTAAAGCCCGTATGGTCCCGCGCGGGCCCTGTCCTGCTTTAAGACCTTTCTCCGGTTTAGGTCTGGCGCTTAGGCTACAGGGCTTAGGGCTTCGTGTTTCGGGTTTGAGGACCTTTTTAGGGGGGGGGGGTACCCCGGCCTTGTTCGCAAGAGGCAGGGATGAAAAGCAAGGGTTTGAGCCGAGGCTTCGAGGCCCAAATGAACTTAGGGTTTAGGGTTTAGGGTTATGTCCCCGTCATGGTGGAGAGGGGCAAACTCATCTCTTGTGTGGCGCACGCCCGACGCTTGGCAGGGAAGATGCAAGTTCCGGTTGGCACGTGTGGACTACGGCAGGCTGCACTTTCTTCCTTGAGCATAGATGACCCAAACCAAGTTAATCGGCAGAAACGAGGTGTGGTATCAGCATCCATGGTTCACTGCATCAGAACGGTGCAGCAACACTGGAGGAGGATGATCACCTGTAATTCCGGCAGCAAACGTCTGAGCTGCACGATTGGCAAAGCTTGCCTGCAGATGATCATGGGCCATGTCGCTTGCCAAATCCCAGCCCACTTGCCGTCCGAACCCGAATTTGGCTGCTCTGACGCGTCGTTGGTGGACGCTGAGCATTCTGCAGAAGACGCTTGCGACGAACCCGCTAGTTTTGGCAGACTACGGCTCCGACGCTTTCCGCACCTGAGCAGTTTGTTCGGGATCACATCGCAATGGCCGCTACTCCTCAAGAAATTCAAGGCTTGATGGTTCTGAAGATCTCCCCGTGTGCACAAGTTCGAGCCCTGCCCTTCGCCGGAAAGGTCCGGGTCAGTCAGAGTTTACCTTGAAATTTGCAGGCAACTCCGTGCTGGTCTAGGATGTACGATCTTGTGTCAGCGATTACGATTGCTTTGCCTAGTACCTGGCTTCGCACTGAGAGGTGCCTGTGAGGGATGGGAAAGGAAGTGCGTGCTCAGAAGGTCGAAAAACGGCCAGCTGTGAAGCCTGGCCACTGCAACAGCCCGGAAGCAAAAGGGTTTAGGAAGGGTGTAGGTTTCGGGTTTAAGGCTGGGGCTTTGGGGGCTCGGGGGCGCCTGGGCCCCTGTGCTGGTGCATTGTTCTGGTTTTTCCAGATTGCTGTTGCCATCGGTGCGTCGCCGGGGGACCCCGCTGTCGGGGAACGAGCCGGCCTCAGATCGGCAAGTCAGATATCTGCTGCCCAAAGGGTTTTGAAAGGGAAGGGGTAAGCTTCCATTAGGCTTCACCGTCGCCCCGTACACTTCCAGAAAATTTGGTAGTTTGTTAGGATGGCTAGCGTGTCACGGGGTTGGCGTGTGGGATTTTTTTTCCTGAAAGCTTTAAGACTGGTTTGCAAATCCCTCGCTTCCAGCTGGTGTTGCCGGAGGCTTCAAACCCAACCCAGCTACAATATTCGCAAGCTGCAAGCTGAGGATTTCGGTGATGTGGACATATTGTTTTCTGCTCCTTGGTTTTCGGCCGGACGAGTCGGCCCAGTGTCATCCTTTGTTTCTGTTTAGTGAACGTCGTAAACCCGAACATGGCCACGGGTATGTATGGTTTCCTTCCTGCTTGCTGCTACGTGTCACCCCAAAAAAAGGTTCTATGTTTCGTTCACGTACTTCGCTGTCCTCAATGCATCGTGTTCGCATTAGCAAGCGATGTTTTGCAACAGCGGTGTGCTGCACAAGTTGGAGAAGTGTCAAGCTGGGATAGATTTCTTGGAGAGTTGTCGAAGTTTTCTTTTTCAAACTCGGTTGTCTTCGTGAGGTTTTGAAGCGCAAACTCAGGTGTTAACTGCAGTTTTTTGCCAGAACGCGATCGAGAGTGCACAAAATGACCAGACAACGATGGTGCACACCATGATCAGCAACAAGAAAGCCATCCTGGCGAAGTTGAAGTCGCTTTTCTACGAATTGGGATCTGACGGCGCCCAGCAAGGCGAGCTGACCATTGCAACCTTCGAACAGAAAATGGAAGACCCTGAAGTGCATGATTTTCTGGAATCTCTTGGGCTGAACGTTTGGGATGCGAGCCTTGGCTGGTATTCTGCCAGACGTAACACAGAAGTTTAGTGACTGAACAGAAGATGAGCACGAGGGTCTTCTAGCAAGAGCATTGTGTACCCTTTGCCGCGTAGCCATGAAGTGTGCAACATAAGCAGTCAGGACTCTAGAGCAGAACTCCAAGACAAGCTTGCCAAGACCAGGTGGTCTTTCTTCAAGCTCTTGGATGCCGATGGAGGCGGCTCAAGCGCAAGCCACATGCTTGGTGTCAGTTGCAGAAAAAATTGACGGTTTCTGGATCTTGCGCCTGAGGGTTCAAGGGATGCCAGATTGAACAACGGGAAATTGCATTGCAAAGCCTTGGCTGCCATGAGCTTCTCGGATGCCCATGTGCGTCTACAAGCTGCTGCAGGTGGGGCCGTTGACATTGAGGAGTTTTTTCACGGTGGCTTGGGCCGCCTTACTATGCATCTTTTGTGCTTCTGGTGGTTGTGTTCTCAGTGCTCGATGTGGTTGCGCATAGGATCGTTGTCTGCTTTCTTGGGTTTCATCGAATGCCGGGCGATGCCGCGCCATCCATGAGGTTGCTTGCGCCACCGTGGCACTGCCCGATCGATGGATGTGGGCAAGATCATCCAGGATCAACAATGGATGATCCACAATCAAGGCTCGCAGGGGTTCAGAGTTTCAGTTTCGGGTGTCGCAGAAGTCGTGGTGATGGTAGCTGCAGTAGCTGGGAGTTGGTAGTGTTGAGGAGCTCTGTTGCGATTCTCGCGGTGCCACTTGTGTTTGCGTGTGCCAGAATCGAGCTCCCCACAGTGCCCTTAAGTAACAGTTTGGCGCTACACCAATCGATCCCGTGCGAGCAGGTAAGTTTCAAGAGTATGTGCAAAACCAGCTGACCATTGTCAAGGCACGGTTCGCTTGGGAGCATTCCCTCATGTCCTTCTAACAGGCGCCTTGAAAGCGATGTGGGCTGTTCCAGGGGTCCTCCGACTTTCAGCTTTCACATACCGCGGCTCAACTCTCAAAGCTAAGCCAGCTAAGCACTAGAAGTCACTAAGCTGTGCGGGTCAGGTCATATGTCAGGCCATAGCTTTCCAACAGGAGAAACTTCAGCTGCTCGCGGAGCTCCAAGCCGCTGAAAGCGATGATGAGCTGAGCAATGCTGTGAGCAATGAGGTGAGTTCGAAACTGGAAGCAGCCTGATATACTAGCGTTTCGCGCTTCCAGTTTCTTTCAAGCAGTGGACGTTTGTCCGTGTTTCCTTTGCAGAGCAAAGGCTTTGGGTCGTCTGCTGTTGCTCATGGACTCGACAGCTTTGCGCGTTTTGACGGAAAATGGCCCAAGCGGGAGTGTCGTTGTTGTTGCTGTTGCTGTTGTTGTTGCCAAGCGGCGCGTTCAGGGCCGTGGAACGTTCATTTGTTGGCATGTGTCATTAGGCCGACCCCATGCAGCACCCCAAATTTCCCCAACAGCAGCCTGATAGAGTATTGAAAGCTCCTGACACCAGCCAGTGCACAGTAGGCTTCCTTTTGCTTGATTGCTGGCGTAACTTCCAGTCTTTGCGGGAATGTTGATTGTTGCGCTGCTTCTTCTGATTATTGCGTTGTTTTTTCCCTATTGTCCTTGCGAATCTGGATCTCAAAGCTCGGATGCTAGCGGCAAGCTCGTCCTCAGACATCCTACAGTATTCTCCGCACAGTTTTAAAGCTCAAGCACCTCCCGCCCAGGGACAGAACGTCCAAGTTTGCTGCGCAGCGTTTGTAAACTTCACGTTCTGACCCAAGCTGCTTGAGCGATTGCCCTACTCACACACCCTGTGTGAGAGTCGAACCCCCTTGAATGTCTAAGTGGTGAAGACATGTTGAAGCCCATTCAAAACCCCTCGTTCTGCACATGCCAAGTGCCCGGCACAGGCCGATGCTGCCGAGACCCATTTCGGGGGGAGCATATTGTAGTACAACTGCCGCGCGAGATGAGTTGACGACTGCAACTGCAGCGCAGCCGACATATGCAGGCATTCTGTTGCAAGATGTGTGCCTTCCTTTTCAGCACATGGCTCACAATTTTGCACAAGCACTGCCAGGCGTACAGGAATCATCTGCATGATTTATTTAAACATTCAGTGTGCGCCGTGTTGCTGAAATCGTGATTGGGGGGATCAGTATAGTTTTGCGAAGGAGAGCGGCGGATTGTTGAGCAGTTTGTGCAGCTAGCCAATCTTGAATGTGGTGAGGGAGGCCCCCTAGGATGTGAAAGCCGGGTGTCTCCTTGCCGCTCAGTCGCCATCGAAAAAGGTGCACTGGAGCAGAGAGCAAAGGGTGGCCGGAGTAGGGTGGCAAAAGGAGATCTGGCGAAGGAGTGTCGAGGTTGTGTTGCTGTTCATGACCGCTGTAGTCGAACACAGGTACAAGGATAAATATAAGCCTTTCCGACTTGTGCGTGCGCGCCGCCTGGCTCACAAGCAACCAGCTGAGAGGCTTCTATGTGGCCTGTTCAGTACCCCTTAAGCAGGAAAGCTTAGCCAGCCTTAGCCAGCCTTAGCCCACCTTAGCCCTTGCTAACCACAAGCCCCCAAAAGGGGGTCTGGGATCGATCACCGCTGGGCCCCGTGCAGGCGCCCGCCTTTTGGTGGGGTATGTCTCTCGTTTGGGCAGCTTTGGGGCACGTTTGAGGCATCTTCATACTGAATTCCTGGCCTTTCAGGCTCAGTTGCGTTCGCTTGAACTCTTTGTTGCTGAACAGGTTCAAGATTAGATGCTCGTGTACCCTCATGCGCATCATGATTCAACCAAGAGCGCCGGGGGAGTATTTCAGCTACGGGCCCAGCGTACGTTTTTCCGGGAAAAAGGTCGCACCCTTAGCCTCCGTCTCAAAGGTACATGGATAGGCCTCTTGCGTTGAAAAGAACCTGGGTCGTCTAGAGGCCCAGACGTCTTTCTCATCACGAGGCCTAAGCCGCAAACCCCAGACCATTCTATTGGATTCTATTGGTTGTGTTTGAGTCCTCGTTCGGGGCTAGATGTATCCATGCTCCTTTCTCGTAATCCCTGAAGCGCAGGCGGATGGAAGAAATCTTAAACCCTGCCCCAAGAAGGCCTGCTCCCAACCAGAAGCGGGAGGCAGAGCTTCACCGCATGCCCATGTGGTGTTCGAGCTGCTCGCCAAGCAAGGGGCCGAGGATGTGCTTGAGAGGAGCCGGGGGGGGGGGGGGGGGGGGGGGGGAGGCGTTGAGCAGGGTTTACATTATTGGAACTTCGAAGGGGTTGGGGATGCCGGAGCCCCGCCAGGAACGCTCGCAACTTGCAGCAAAGCACGTCTCATTCTTGTGCCTCACTGTCTGTAATCCAGTTTGGTTCGTACCAGCACATATGTGAGCACTGAACGCAAGAAACTGATCATTGCTTTGTACGAATGTCCCACAGTGGCAGACATGCTGCACCCATGTGGCCGATGCGGTTCAGCTGCTACATCTCAGTCCTCATGCCCGTGGAGAGAATTGAAAGAAGGCAGAGATCTCCACAGCTTACGCAGCAATCCCTCAGTCCTTTAGCGGTGGGTTTGGGGTCAAAGAGTTCAGGGCTGTTGGAGCTCTCAGGCCCATCGGACGACGAATCATCGTCGGACGAGGAGGCGGGAGAAGAAGCCGCCTGCTCAGCCGGACTCTGTGGACGGTCTTGTCTCAGCCCCCCCCCCAGCTGCATGGGGTGCTCAAACATGTTTCACTTGTAAGAGGATTGTGCCCAGTGGACGCCACCTTGATATGTTGGTTTACATGGCTTGCAGTGCTTGGGGCACGCAAGGCTTCCGACGTCACGGCTCCGCCCCCACCCCCGCCCCCTTCCCGGAGAAAAGCACCGAATGGGTGCTATGGGCCTTTGAGAAGGTTGTGCTGCAAAGCCCGTTGCCTCAAGTTTTAGGGGTTGGCATCGAGGAGCATTTCGTGCATATCTTTCCGGAACACTTCGAAACTTTCACGGGGTATTCACAGCGCGGCCCATGTAGGGTGGCAGTTCTTCCGAAGCTCCCAAACCCGATGAAGCTTTCAACAAGAAGGCCATGCATCCCTTCTCCAAACGGCGCAGCTATGGTTTGAAGTATGAAACAACAGTTGCGAAGGGTTTTTCCTCGTGCCTGGATGGTGCTCCAGGTCTTCCCCTACCTGCTTGAAGTACAAACCACGAACCAAACCACCAAGAGCACTCAGGTGATCTTGAACATATACGACGTCTCACACAGCGACAAAATTCACCATGAGACTCGGACTATTCTTAACATGCTCTTTCGTTGTCCTGTTCGGCTGGTTCGGGTTCAGACATGGTGTACAAGGTGCGGGCTAAGGCTTCTCTCGTTTTTCAGAGTTTGGGGAGTGCGGGGTCTAGGTGTAGGAAGTGTCAGCGGTTTTGAGGGCAGGGCTCGTGTTTTTCGGGACATGGTCAGTTCGTACCTCGGACATGTGATGATGGGCTCAAGACACGAGTTCTTGCAGGCCAATGATGTGTTGCACATGCTCGGCACTGGAATCTTCCACGCGGCTGTGGAGGCTTCTTTGCGAGCTCTTGAGGTGTAAGCTTTGTGACCTGTCATGATGTGTCTGATCGGGCTCCTTGGGGGTGGGGGGTTGTAGAGCTCTTGGTCCAGCCTTGCTTGTGGGAGTAGGCTTTGACTCATGCGCGTTCTGTCATGAGTCGAGCCAGAGATCAGGGAATGCGGAGGATCCCCCAAAACCCTGCATAAGCCTTGAACCTCGCCCAAGCGCAGGTCTATGAGAAAGAGTGGAGCTTCGGTGCGACCAGAAGCCAGCGGCACAAAGTTATTAGGATCAGGGCTTAGGGGATCTTCTGGTTGTGCGGGGATTCGAGCCTGAACGAGAGATTTAATGCCCGCCACCTCCTCAGTAGGACAACCCCAAATCCTTGGAGAAGTGCACCAAGTGCAGGGGGTCCTGACCCTACCCTCAGCAGTTCAGCAAGGCCCGATCACTGGCGTCTTCAGCTGCGAGCCACGCAGGTGCAAGGTGCAATGTGCTGGGGGTGTTATCAGAGCGGCATCTGAAGGGTAGCTGCTTGTTGAGCTGTCTGCAAGAGTCTGCGAGAGTCTGCAAGAGTGCCAAGCTCGACATGGGTTGGGGGCAATGCATCCCTGGGCAAAGCAGCGCACGGCAAAGCACAGTCGACAATCATCTCCATCCCAAAATCTGCGCACGTCCCCTGTGCCATCCTCTGCCCAATGTTTTTGTAGCACACATCAGACCCGGACCGAGGTGCCGGGCATTCCCCCGAGAACAGAACTGTTGGGTTTGAGCTGTGGCAAGTTGTAGGGCCGATGTGGGCCCTGGTGCTGTTTCTGATTCTGGGAACATCGCATGGCCTCCGAATAGCCTCGCCCCACAAGAGCCCAGCAGTTGTATGTGTCGGCATGTGTTATTGCCAGGCCCACACCTTCCGCGAGTCTGTGCATATGGGCAGGACCAGCCAGGGCCCAAGAATTGGCTTTCAAAGGACCGTCCCTGTTCATTCGTATGATGCGTGGTTAACATTAGGCAAACGGTGCCTCACCTCGGAAATTTGCAGTTGATTCTTACGAACGTGTCGTCCATCCATGATATGCGGATGGACTATGTAGCTTTAGCTGTGCGCCGCCCGCTGCACTGGGTACCCACCCTGCGTCGATTATGACTATCGCCCTAAATGGTACCATCCACTACGGATTGCAGATGTCAGTTCTCGAAATCTTGGAACCAAACAGCTCCTAATACTTTGCTCTGAAAGCTGAGGCTCCCTAAGGCCCGCGGCCTTAATTAACTCAGGACCTCGCAGATTGCCATCGCAGTTGTTGATTCTGGATTACTTGAAGGGTAAATAAGTCAAAAATAGGTCCAGCACGTGCAGCTGCGGTCCCAAGCATTCTAATATGGTCTCAGGCCTTTCGCAGAGCGAAGTGCTGGCAGTCATCGAATCGATGAAGCCCGAATGGCCTGGGCTGCATGCTCAGACGCGGCCAGTCGTTTCTTGTTAAGATTTTAGGATGCTCGAAGAGATTTTGGACATGCTCCCTAAGTGCACGTGGGGGGTGGTGAATCGGATCTACGTCAAGTCTGACATCCTTTTTTCGGGAGGTGGGGGGGGTTGTGTGTCTGGAGATCTTATTGACTGAAGCGTGCAGGCTGCATGGGTTGCGTTCTCGGTTCAAAAAATCATCCGGCCACCGGCCACGCTCTTCAGAATCGATGGGAACCTTGCAAGATCTCTGGGCCCAAACTTGCACAGAATCGGTGCAGAATCCTTCTGCAAAGCGACTAGGTCCTAGGTTCTGGGCCTGGAAACATGCCCCACCGCCTCCGCCCCGCCCTCGCTGCCGTCCAACCAGGAGGGAGTACGACCTCCTCCACCTAAACTGCACCGACTTCGCCGATGTCTTCTGCAGACAGTGGGCGGGCCCAGTGTCCTCAAACCCTATAGGCTCTGCAAAGCCTAACGTTGCAAAAGGCTCATGGACCGAAATTGCAATCCTGAAAAGCCGGTTTTGGATTAGGGGCTTCCTGAAATTGAGACGGGGAGCGGACATCCCGTGAGTCAAAACAATCTGAGGCATGGGCCCCTAATCTCAGCCTTTGGCCTTTTTGGAAGAAGTCGTCAGGGCCTCGGCACATGTCGAGAGTCTGCGCTAGGCTGGGCCTGCAGCGCATCCCTTCATGGGTCAGGACTGCTGGGAAAAGCTTCGCAACCCAAGGTCGCTTTGAGATCTCTTACAGCCCACGGCCCTTAGAGAAGCTGAGCCCCGAACCGATCCCTCAACCATCCTTGCGGCGAGGAACCTCGCGCCAGCGGGGGCGGTTTGCAAGGGAGGTGCCGCTGGAGAGTTATGTCAGGTACCTCGGGGTTACGGGATATTCAGGATAGTTAGGTGCACCTGTGAGGGTTAAACTGGGCTCAGGCTCCGAGATTTATTAGGGGCACTCATGGAGAGGTGAGTAGGCCGGGTAGGCTTAGCCTTCAAGTGCCCCGCCCTGGGCCCCCAAAATGTCTACATATGGCTACATTGCATTGCAAACGTGTTTCTTTTGTGTTTGTTTTTTTTTTTTTGGGGGGGGGGGGGGGTATACTTGACGGTGCTTGTGAGTGTTGGGAGCAACCACATGAAACTAAATTTGTAGCTTGGGGAGGAACTGATCCGAGCTACGTTAAGTGGAGCGCAGGACAAACCGGGACCATGGCCTGCCTTAGATTGCCTTAGCCAATATCTTGGAGTTGCACGAGAATGAGGGCTGAGGGCGCTTGAACGCTTGAACCTTCAGCCCTCAGCCCCGGACCCAGCAGCCTTTGGCAAGGCATTCTCTACATCAAGCACATCGGTACGGCCCCAGCGGTGATGGCTGCAGCGAAGGCTTGGCTTCCAGGGGAGGCAAGCAAGGTGTCCGTGGCCTCTGACTTTTTTGGTAGAACGATTCGGGGATCATGAAACCATATGTTGAGCCTGCCAGATTCCCAGTGCTTCCTCTCCCTCACAAACTTGCTGGCAGTGTTCACCAAAGCCGAATGGCTGAGTGTGCGTTGCTCTTGGCTGAAGGCCGTCCGTAGTCTGCTTTACGCTCATACGTTCCAGATGGCATGGCACGTCTCCTGTGCCGTTGTGCGGCCTTGAGCTGCAGCCTCGCCCTACGTCTGGATGGAGAAGGCAAGGGTAATTTGATCAACGTCCCCGCCCCCCCTACATGCCTTCTTGCCAATTTCAGGCCCCCAAGGCATGACTGCATGACCTGGACTCAGACCCCCCTGACAGGTGGTACTGTAAATGACGGAGAGGCCCGGCAGAACTCCCACCAGGCTTGGCTTGTGGGAAGCGAAAGCTCTGCATTTTGTGGGGCTGCGGGGGCCTTGGTACCCCAGGGCCTTATTGCTTCTCAGCTATCAAAATCTAAGATACTGTCCTTCAGAGCGGTCCTCCTCTTGTCAGAGCTATCACAAGTCAGAATCATGGAAAACAAGCGATGAGCCAAAGCTCCAAAATGGTCAACGACAGCACCGCTTGGTACCAATCTTGACATCACCTGTCCCCGCAAGGTGCGAGCGCAGGAGAACGGCTTTCGACAGCAACAACCTGACAACTGGTCAAGGTTCGGGCCCTCAGAGCCAAGGATTGCAAAAGGGGTCAGCAAGGGCGTTTCACCATGACCATGTGCAGGGTGGAAGGTTTCAAGTTTAAAGTCAGGGTGGCTTCGGCCTCAATAAAGGCGCACGGCAGCGGCAGCGAGCGCATGTTTCAGCCGCGATCCATCCAAAACCCAAAGATGCCCAAAGATTGGAGGCCGGAGGAGCCAACAAAGCAGTACAACGATGGCTTCTGGCACTTTTGGCAGGACGGCGCTGGAACACGCAGTCTTCATGTCGTCCACAAAGCGTCCTCAAGCTAGGCGTGTGCTACGCGATTGTTTATTCGTATTCTTTGTTCCTTATTCTATAGCTCTATGTTTGTTTTGAGGCGTTTGTTTACTGCCGGGGCTGGGCTCCAAGATGCTCCAAGTATGAGTGTTCGCCATGAGGAAAAAGGAGGCAGAAGGTTGCCGAGGTGCAGCGCAAAGCGAAACACCTGTCAGCGAAGCTGAGGCAAGCTTCTGCGAACTTATCAAACTTTAAAAGCCCGAAACCAGCCTCCGGCCTCTGGGAGATCAGTTTAGAGGAGACGAATGTTTGAGCCTTGTAAGCTTAGCGGCTGCATGCGGCTGCATGCGGCTGCAAGACCTCCTATGGCTTGTCAGGAGGAGGCCGGTCCGCAGCGCGCGACTGCCAAAGACCTCCAGGCCCAAGCTGCTGCTTTTCTTGTGGAGCACCTGACCGAGGCGATGCCTGAAGACGGCGAGAAAGTCGATGCAGACTTTGTGAACCGGGCGGTTGGATGGCTGTCGCAGTCAGCGGTCCAGCGCACGCACTGGGCATTCCCGCGCACGTGCCAGGAGCAGCTAGGCCTGTTGCTGCAAGGCCTGAAGGACAGTTGCGAGGCATCTCTCAGAAAAAAGGTCTTCAATTTCGTTTTGAAGAGACAGCTTTTGGCCGAGAAGTGCAACCGCAGCGCACAAGACGTCTTCCTCCGCGGGCGGTATCTTCAAGCACAAAATACAGACAGCGAAATGCTCTCAGAGAGTGTTGCGGAGTCCTGGAGATTCATGCAGCTGTGGTTGAAAGAGCTGACCACGGCAGGAGAGCGTGCCCTCCTGTGGGCCGGTTTTTGGGAGGCCGAGCCAAGCGGCCGAACGAGTAAGGGCAAGCTCCTCCACTTTGCGGAGCTAACAGATCACCAAACCCTCCATCCGACGACGGAGCTGGGGCGGCTCACCTTCGAGAGTGGGGAGCTCAGCGAGTGCCGCGGAAAAAGTCCTGGCGAAAACTTGACCTCCGAGCTCGTCGAGAATTTTTGGTCCATCGCCAGTGTTTTCTTTGTACTTGCCATGCAGAAGAAGGACCAGGGAAGTGTCGTGGCCCTTGTAAACAAAGAGATGGAAGGAGACCGCCCGCTGAAGGATTCCGTTCTCGCCCAATATGAGATACCTACCATTGGGATGGCTGCTTGGAACTATGGCTGGAGTCCTCAGATCATCCTAGTCGACCTCCGCAGCACCTGCAACGAGACGAGCCCATATCTCAGGCAGCGCCTGGTCTCGGGCCTGGGTCTATCCTGGGAAACTTGGAGACGTGCGAGACGGAAGCATTTCAGGACCGAAGATTTGGCAAAGTCCTCCAGCCCTTCCTGGACATGCATTGATTGCGGTGCGGATAGTGGCTGCGAGCTCGACGAGAAGCTGTCTGGTCTCGTCCGGGACCTTGTGGAGGCGGACCGGCAGAGGTGTTGCAATATATGTCAATATGTTCTAGATACCTGAGACCCACACAGGATGTTCAAAAGACTTAAGACCCTGAATCCCGAAAGCTTGGCTCCTCTGAAGCCCTGCACTCCGAAGCTCGAAGCACCGAAAGACGAATTGGCAAGCAAGGTTCTTGATGTCTCCCGGCCTGTTGTGAGTGCCCAAAATGCCATCATACAGCCTCGTCCCCTGAACTTCAACCCATGGTGGGGCTCCACCGAGACAAAACAACAGTTGGTTGGAGTCACCGAACCTTGAATGCAAAAAACCCTTGGGAGAGAAACGGTGAAATACGAAAGCAGCCCGGGACGCTTTTCATTATGTGCAAGTGGAAAAACACCAAACTGAAAGAAGCCTCGGCCAGCTAGACAGGTGGCAAACATCCCGGAGCCCTAGGCCCAAGAAACCGTAAGCTGTGAAGTTCGGCTAGCGGGTGCAAAGTGCAAGCAAGCGCAAGCAAATCACCCGCTTTTCGTCACGAGTCCCTCAAGCATCCTCAAGCATCCGCTAGCCCCAAGCCCCTGTGCCCTCAGCCTAGTGGGAAGCAACCAAAAAGCTCTGTGAGCCTCAGAGGGTGCCGCAGCTTAGAAGAGGCCTTCGGTTTGTGGTGAACGGTGGTGAACGGTGCGGCTGAGAGATGAGACAAAGCTGTACAAAGCTTCCATTTAGGGCTGTGGTAGGGTCCCTTACAAGCTCAGGTCAGGCGCCTTCAGAACGAGAACGGGGAGAAGCTGAGAAATTCTGCCAGAAGCGGTGACTTGGAAGAGGCGGACAGGCGGCTGGTCGCAGACTCGGGAACTCGGGCTTCTCTGGCACTTGCTTCCTCCAAGTGCACTGAAGCTGTCCATGCTGCCCATGCTGCCCATGCTGCCCATGCTGCCCTCTGCCCTCCTTTCTGAGGCCATCGGTGGGGCCGTAGCCTCAGCTTCGCAGAGTTTCTTGTGCAGTTTCTGCACAGTGCCTTTTGTGTGCGTTTGCAGCCTGACGCTTCGCTAATGGCAACTCACCGAGGCCACAGCTCCAGAAGTGGACTTCCGGGGCCGGGACCATGTCCGCGGAGCGTGGACGCCGCTCCACTTTGCCGCATCACGGGGCGACAGAGCGATGACGCAGTTGCTCCTGTACCACGATGCAGACCCCAACCGGAAAGACATGTACGGCAGAACGCCGCTCCATTGCTCTGCAATGGAGGGTCACGCGGAGGTGGCGAGATGGCTCATGGCATACTCTGCAGATCCCCACCTGGAGGACGCGACGGGGCAGACGCCTCTGCAGCGGGCAAAGGGTGATGCCGTGAAGGGGGTGCTGCAGCCGTGGAAGTGATGGAGCGGTGCGAGAGTCGAAAAAGAGCTAACGAGCCAAAGAGCTGCTGTGTTCTGAAAAGTACCAACCCAGGGGATGCCCACCGATGTGCTTATGGCAAGGGCGCTGGTGTTGGGGACACCACAGTGTTGGGTTCATAGGAGCTCATGCAAGATGTCACGACGACTTTTTCCATGTCATGTGTGGGAGATCTGTCTTATAAGTTTAGATGAGCGCGTGTAGGAAATCTTGTGAACCACTGCAGCTGCAATCCGCAAAACCTTATATTCTTTCCATCCTTAAGCACACCCCAAAAACTGTTCAAGCTCTTGTTTCCTGATGCGCGTGGATTGCTGCTTTCGGGCACGCGGTTTTCGGGGAAGTTGACAGCGGTCTATATGAAATTCAACGAATCCACCGACAGGCGGGGGAGGTGGAGACTGAAGTGCTGAACATCCTACAGCGCGGCAAGGACCTCCGCAAGGTGCGAAAAGTGACACCAACAAAAGCCACCCCCCCCAAAATCTGCCAGAATTCAGAGGCTCAATGACAAGCCAAAGAAGGCCATAAAATCCGTGACTTTAGGGCTCAGGTTCGGGGGTTGGGGTGCAGAGTGCAGAGGCTTCCTGGGCGCCTCTGGGCGTTCTCTCTCTCTTTTCCCGAAAGCATCGCGAAGGGTTCTTCCGTGCGGAGCCCCCTGACACAACAACATAGACTGAAGTGCATAGAGTGAAGTGCATAGAGTGAAGTGCATAGAGTGAAGTGCATAGAGTGAAGTGCATAGAGTGAAGTGCATAGAGTGAAGTAGAGTGAAGTGCATAGAGTGAAGTGCATAGAGTGAAGTGCATAGAGTGAATTGCATAGAGTGAATTGCATAGAGTTTAGTAATCAGTGAATACAAATTTCTAGATTTACGTAGAATTTACTAGACCTTCGTACCCAGTCCTAGATTTCTAAATTAAAATTACTCTTTCTAAGGCGGCGGGCTGGGTTGACATCGCCAATCGGGATTGCAACCCTCTGCGGGTTTCGGCGTGGTCGCGGTGCTAAAACCGTCGTTTTTTTACGTTTCTTGATTTGCGCGGACAACCCTCTGCGGGTTTCGGCGTGGTCGCGGTGCCAAAACCGTCGTTTTTTTGCGTTTCTTTGTGTCCGCGGACAACCCTCTGCGGGTGATCGCCGGGTCGCGGTGCTAAAACCGTCGTTTTTGGAACTTTTTTTCGTGGCCGCAGACAACCCTCTGCGGGTTTCGGCGTTGGCGCGGTGCCAAAACCGTGGAGTTTTTGCATTTTTTGACATACAAACGTAACCCCTCTGCGGGTTTCGGCGTTGGCGCGGTGCCAAAACCCTCGTGTTTTTGCGTTTCCTGGCATACAAACGTAACCCCTCTGCGGGCGTTCGCATGGTCGCGGTGCTAAAACCGTAGTGTTCCGTGGCTGGAAAGTTGACTTTTGTAGTACAAACGCAGTACGCCGCGGACACCCGGAGCTTCCGTGGCTGGGAAAGTCGATTTTTTGTAGTACAAACGTAGTACGCCGCGGACACGCGGAGCTTCCGTAGCTGGAAAGTCGACTTTTGTAGTACAGACGTATAGTATGCCGGGGGCGCCCGGAGTTTCCGTGGCCGGAAAGTCGACTTTGTAGTACAGACGTAGTACGCCGCGGACACCCGGAGCTTCCGTGGCTGGAAAGTCGACTTTTGTAGTACAGACGTAGTACGCCGGGGACACCCGGAGCTTCCGTGGCTGGAAAGTCGACTTTTGTAGTACAGACGTAGTACGCCGCGGACACGCGGAGCTTCCGTGGCTAGAAAGTCGACTTTTGTAGTACAGACGTAGTACGCCGCGGACACCCGGAGCTTCCGTGGCTGGAAAGTCGACTTTTGTAGTACAGACGTAGTACGCCGGGGACACCCGGAGCTTCCGTGGCTGGAAAGTCGGCTTTTTGTAGTACAGACGTAGTACGCCGCGGACGCCCTGGGCGTCTGGAAACACCGCAAATAGCATGGTAACGGACATCTGGGCGCATGAAAACACCGCAAACAGCATGGTAACGGACATCGGGGCGCTTGAAAACACCGCAAATAGCATGGTAACGGACATCTGGGCGCATGAAAACACCGCAAATAGCATGGTAACGGACATCTGGGCGCTTGAAAACACCGCAAATAGCACGGTAACGGACATCTGGGAGCTTGAAAACACCGCAAATAGCATGGTAACGGACATCTGGGCGCATGAAAACACCGCAAATAGCACGGTAACGGACATCTGGGCGCTTGAAAACACCGCAAATAGCACGGTGACGGACATCTGGGCGCTCGACATCTGGGCGCTTGAGAACAGCGCAAAGAGCATGGTAACGCTTGGAAACACCGCAGTTAGCACGGTAACGGACATCTGGGTGCTTGAAAACACCGCAAATAGCAGGGTAATGGACATCTGGGCGCTTGAAAACACCGCAAATAACATGGTAACGGACATCTGGGCGCCTGAAAAACACCGCAAATAGCATGGTAACGGACATCTGGGCGCTTGAAAAACACCGCAAATTGCACGGTAACCGACATCTGGGAGCTTGAAAACACCGCAAATAGCATGGTAACGGACTTCCGCGCGCGCGTGAAGACACGGGGATGTTTTTGTCTTTTGCTGGTTGTTCCAAAGCCATCGCAAATACCATGGTCACCGAATTCGCTGGTTCCAAAACCATCGATGGCAAATACCATGGTCCTCGAATTCGCTGTTTCCAAAACCATCGCAAACACCAGGGTCCCCGTATTCGCTGGTTCCAAAACCATCGCAAATACCATGGTCCCCGAATTCGCTGGTTCCAAAAGCCATCGCGAAAACCATAGTCCCCGAATTCGCTCTTCCAAAAGCATCGCAAATACCATGATCCCCGAATTCGCTGGTTCCAAAACCATCGCAAATACCATGGTCTCCGAATTCACGGACATGTGGGACTCGAATTCCGGGACGTCGAAGCCATCGCAAATATCGTGGGACTCGAATTCCTCGGAAAACTCGCAAATTTCGTGGGACTCGAATTCCGGGGCCTCGAAAACCTCGCAAATATCGCGGGACTCGAATTCCGGAATGTCGAAACCATCGCAAATTTCGTGGGACTCGAATTCCTCGAAACCCTTGCAAATATCGTGGGACTCGAACTCCGAGGCCTCGAAAACCTCGCAAATATCGTGAGACTCGAATTGCGGGATGTCGAAACCATCGCAAACATCGCGGGAGTCGAATTCCCCGAAAAACTCGCAAAGATCATGGGACTCGAATTCCGGGGCCTCGAAAACCTCGTAAACATCGTGGTTCCAAAACCATCGCAAGTACCATGGTCACCGAATTCGCTGGTTCCAAAACCATTGCAAATAGCAATGGTCCCCGAATTCGCTGGTTCCAAAACATGCCTGGAAAGTCGACTTTTGTAGTACAAACGCAGTACACCGTGGAAGCATCGGAGCTCGGCGTTGTACTCAATGCCGATGAAGTGTATAGAGTTGACCACAAGTGCATGGCATTCAACTCCACACACTTGAATGCCATGCAGTTCAAGTGCATACACGTCCAGTAGACAAGTGCAGTGCACAAGTGACTATGCAACCATGTAAGTGCACACATGTCCAAGTGCATACACTTCGGCTGCAAAGAGTCAACTGCATGGAGTCAACGCACGGCAAATCGATGCTTTCGGGCCATCTCTCTTCTAGTTTCTCCTTGTGTTTTCAGGCTTCGTGTGGCTTTGGGCTTCTAGGTGGGAGTGGCTTGGTGCGGGCACCTCCACCTCGGGGCTTTCGGCTTACCATGACGCAAGGGGCAAAGAGCTCCAAGATTCTTCGCGCGCTGGATTCCGGATGCGCTCTGCAAGACTAGCTGGCGTGCTTCGCCAGTGTGGAAATCCCCATAAGGCCCCGACACACCCGAGGTGCTGCCCAAATACCCTGTCGCATCCTGTCGCATAAAGGCGAAGCCGGGCGCCCACTACCACTTCGGGGACTTCACCCGAGGGTTGGTGCAAATCGGCCGGGACACCGGGCCGGAGGGGTTAGACCGGACGTTAGGGCGGTTAAGGCGGTTGGGGTGGTTGGGACGGTTGTTTTGGGTTTCGGCTTCAACCAGAAGAAATTGAACTTGCCCACGCATTCCAACCTAAAGCTTTGTTGCGTTGCATTGAATAGAAGAGGATGTTGGCCCTGACTTGGGTTCCAGTCTTTGCAGACACAAGGGAGGGGAGCAGCAGAAGGCTCAACCTACAACATTGTGGGTGTGCTTTCCTGTAGTCCAGAGGAGGCAACATTCTCTTTGGACCAAGATATGAAATCTGAAGCCAGGTATCTACAACACAAACCTCAAACCCTCCAAAACCTAAGCCAGGCCAAAACCAAAACACAACCAAGCACCCAAAGCAGCAAAACGTATATATTAACTGGCCTGCGCGAGGACGCGCGCCACACGGATCCAGACGACAGGCAGAAAGGGTGGTAAAGATGGCCTACGCGTCCGGGCAGTGGGGCTTTGGCATTCAGGATTTGTGCTTCAGGAGTCCCTGGTTGACTCAAAGGTTGTGGGGGGGGGGGGGTGGGCACCAAGCTGTGATTCGAGTAGTTTCCAGATGTAAGGGATTTGGCAATGAAAACGGATGAGGGAGTTCCTATATAGCTGAACTGAGAATTCCGGTTCGACTTGTTTTGGCGACACCAAGGAAGCTTTACGGTGGAGCCCGGCATGAACATGTTACTCTTGGGGAAGCTGAGCTTTGCGGGGTGGGGAAAGAGGCGGCTTGACCTGAGCATAGTTCTAAGAGCCCAAACGTAAGCAGCACATAAATACAGTGAAATACACACCGTCTATTCATTCGAATATACATCGCTGTAAAACCGAACAGCCCCGCGGCTCCAAAACCTCCCAACCCTGTGGATCCCAAATCTCAAAAGGTTCTGCAAGTAAACCGAAACCCCCGCCCCCCCCCCCCCCCCCAAATTATCTTGTAGAGCCTCGTGAAGCCCGACCGAGTGTTTCACTGCCCCCTTAGATGCCGACCTTTTCCAGGATACACCTCCGTGACTTCATGGCCGGCACCAAGGCCGTCATCCTGCGGAAGCAGACGCCGAGAGAGGAGCCCCCTATAGCGCCCTAGGGATCGCCAGCTTTCTGTAGGTTTTTTGGCGTTCTTGAAGGTTCGAAATGTGAGGGATCCGAGATGTTGGAGCTTCGATCCGAAGCGAGCTTGCTTCAAACTCAAGGCCCACAGGGCGCGGCGCTTGAGCCTCGAGCTTGATGGCCCAGCATGCTGACCCGCCCTGCGCACATGGAAAAAGTTGCCTGAGATTTGTGAGAGAACCCGAGGAAGGTTTCGGGTTGCCTCTTTCAAGCACCCAATTTTGCGAACAATGCCAGTATGTAGCAACTAGGTATGTACTTAATACAATGCAAGACACTATATTATATCACTATATTGCACGAGGCCCCACCCGCCCACACGACCACACGACCACACGCCCGCCCGCCCACACACCCACACACCCAAAGACACCGACGCACCCACACACCCACATACCCACACATCCACACACCCACGCACCCTCGCACCCACGCACCCACGCACTCACCCACCCACACACCCACACAGCACGTACGCACGCACGCACATCCAAGCGCACACACACATGTTATATTTGAGGGCGCAGCTCTATGAACCACTCTGCAGCTCCCGAAATCCCTGAACCCTAGCGGTAGGCACAAACTGACCTGAAACCTCAGTGTGTGTGTCAGGACATGCTCAGCCTCCAGTGACAGTGAGTCACGTGCTGTACGGGCTTGTGTCATGAATGCAGTAGCTCCGCTTACTTGGCGATGGGCTGGGCCCAGCTTTTGTCCAGCTCGAACCTCAGTGACGGGATACCAGGGAGTTGTGATACCGCCTGTGTGAAGGACAGATCGTGCTGCAACAGCAGGTGAAGTCTCCCAACCCCACACAAAGGCGCCAAGATCAAAAGCAGCCTTTCGCAGTGCCCTGTTGCGCCCCCCAAACCCCCATCGAAAGGTTATCAAACTTTGACCCCCTCCTACTCGCAAACGCCAACGCCCAACCCGCAGAAAAATCGTCACCAAGGTTCCACGGCCCCAGTCTGCGGTCTGCGTGCTTGCAGTCTTCCCTTGAACCTCCACAATCAGGGGTTCGTGTTTATGGTCCCTGGAATTGGGGTTGATGCCAGTCAGCCCTAAGCTGCTGTTTTTCCTTCCCGCGGCGCCGGGCTCAAAGCTTATCGGAACTGAGGGAACTTGGATCCCTTCAGTGTTTCCACGTTGTGTCAACATGTCTGTCGGAGGCTCAGAGCATGTCCCAGCTCCTCCCGGCTCCCGTGTTCGGCCCTTTCAGCCTCAGCCACAGCTGAACTCAACTCTCCCTCCCAGGAATGCTGCGGCTGCCTCTCGGGGCTCTTCAAGGACTGGGGGCACTCAAATGTCAGGGGTACTATAGGTGTCACGCAGTACTCAGACATGCTTCGCTGCACACCGCGAATCAGGATTCGCGGAAGCTCGAGCGCAAACCGACGCAGCTTGGATGCGAGCCCCCGCCGAGCCACGCAAAGTTCAACTTGAAACCCGTCATCTTCCTTGCTTCAAGCCTAGTTTTCTGAGACCCTCCCGCATGCACTGAGCACCCAGCATCCAACACTTGGAGCTACAGCCAGGCCTCCACAGCAGGCCCGAAGATTAAAGGGCTTCAAGTGATTCTGTTTGGTCCAATTCAGGGCATGTACTGAGTTCTGATCTCGAGATGCCTGTAATGGGCCAGCACTCTCCCATTTTCGGCCGCAAGCCTCCTTGCCCTGCCCGAAATCCGAACGCTTCTGGTCATCCTGCAATCTGTACACCCTCCCCCCCCCCCCGCCCATAAGAGTAAGAAGCAAGCGCGATGCTTTAAGGCTCTCGAGCCAGGTCATTGCCCAGCCCTCATGGGTTCCTTACGGGTTTGGCTTCGGGACTTCAACGCTCTGTGGGCTCTGCTGTGCGTGGATGTGAGTGGTGGAGTTTGGTGGAGTTCGACACCTTCTCGAAAAGCCGTCCTTTGGTCAGGTGTGTGGTTCCCCCCCACCCTCCGTAGAACCGCTTGCGCCCCGTGTGGAGTCTCCGGGGCCAACTCAGGTCCTACATTTTCAGTTAGATACCTTCAGCTCAGGTCGAGCAGCAAGGAAATGTACGAGACCACTACAAGGTCGACAACAAAGCGTGGCCGGGCTGCAAAAGGTCAAGGTAGCTGGTCTCCTCGCCTTCGATTGGGAATCTGGGTGGGAAGGCACTTAAAACTTGCCTGTGCGCACCGCCAAGAAGCAAAAGCCTATTATTGCGCAAACGCATCATGTTGCAGGACTTTGACTTCAAGTCGGACCGAAAGAAGTTGCATAACGTAGGCGTTCCTTCAGTTCCCATCTTTATGCAGGGAGCGTGAATCAGTGGAAGTGATTCCAGAGTATTGGCGCCATGTGATCATCCAGGCCTCTTCTCCGGTTTTCATGCGCCTCTTGTGCCCTAAGCCCCGACATCTTCGATTTGCTGCACTGCCACAGGTTGGGGGCCGGTTCGTACGGAACCGTCTCCAAGGCTGTGCACAAGACCCTCGGCCTTTGAGTGTAAGGCTTGTGTTCGGGCCGTTCTGCGCCCCCCCAAAGCCCAACACCCAATTTTGGATCGGTGCAAAAAGGGGGTTTCAGGCCTTGCTTCCGGGGGAGGGCGTCTCGTGGTTGTGGTTGTGGTTGAGCAAAAGAGAACTGAATCTTGTCATCGGCATCGGGCCCTTCATGTTTGTGGCCCCTTAAGGCAGTTAAGACTTCAGGCTCCTAGAGCTGTTGGGTTTAGTGGCCTTCGTCGTGGGGTGGTCAGCACTCCCGTTCTAGCATGGCGATGGGAGAGCCCTTTAATTCATTTCCTGTAAGGAGCCATCTCTTCGACCTTTTGGATCTGTGTGTGTGTGTGTGTGTGCACAGTCCTCTCTAGTCAACCACTTCCAAACACAGACGGAGGCGCATGGAGTGCGGTGAGCCCTTTAGGCCCCCAGATTCTCAAGTAATACGTCAGCACCGAAGAGATGGGTGCAAGCCGAGCCACCTAGCAGCGCCTCCCAGGAAAACAGGTTCCACTCGTGCCTCGGACGAACGGAGTTTCTTTGTTTTTCTCCTCTCTTCCCGGTTTCGAAGGTGGAGGTGCCAAGGCTCAGGCTCACAGGCGCGAAGCGTCCGAAGGCCATGCCGCAAAAAACCCTTGCACCCTGTGGCCCCTCCTTGGGCTGTGGGCTTGTGGACCTGCAGGTGCATCAGACCAAGCTTTTTGTGCCCAAAAAGCTGTCCAGCCCTACTGCTTCACTGCAATGCCTGATCAACTCGGGGCACTGAGAAGCCCTAAAGGCCCGGAACAAGCTCTGAGTTTTGTCCCAAGCCCCACAGTTTGCAAGCCGAAGAAACATGCAACGCTGTCTCGCATTGCCAAACAAGGTGCCATGAAGACCATCTGCAAAACAGCTGGCGGGGCATCAAACAGCAAGGCCCTTCAGGGTTCACGGTCGGGTTTCAGGGTGGGAAGGCATGGAAGTGAGAACCATCCAGCTATAGTAGCAGATATGCCTAGAGAACTCCTAGAGATTTCGTGTTGTTCCCGAATGGTCTTCGACGTGGTTGGGTTTTGCTGCAGGGTCAGTTGGTTCTTGCTTTAGGCCTTTGGTGCCCAGGCCCTAACGGCCCCGAAGCCACAGAAGCTTAAGCCGCCACTTCGAACGTAGGTCACCAGTGACCCAACTCAATGGGCAGGGCACTTTGTGTGACCAAAGCTGTCCATGCGAGAATTGTTTCTTATAAGAACATGCCCCCTCAACCCGAATGAGCCACCCTGGCGCTCACGGTCTCTGTCCGGCTTCATGTGGGTTTGCTCTTCGAGACATGTGTTGCAGAGAGGTCCTTGAGCGCTTCTACTGCGAGATCAAGATCATGAAGCGGCTGGATCACCCAAGCCCGGGCCTTTTAAAGATAAACAGCTCGCAGTTTCATGCAGGCTTTGCGAGGGGCCCCTGATGGTATTGGCCCATGGACACGTTTGCTTCAAACGCTCATCTCCAAGCCAACGCGTGAATCAAGGGCTCTTTGCCAAGCCCATCGGTCCATCGCAGCCCTCAGTGCAAGACAGAGAGACTTCAAAAGGGTTTTTTTTGAGAGCAGCATGCGGCGCCACAGGCATCATCAAGCTCTACGAAACCTTCGAGGACGCCGCTCCGAAAGTCAACAGTTGAGAGTGGGCTCCTTGCGCAGAAGAAGGAGCCCGAAGCGCCATCCTGGACAGTAACCCCGCCTGAAAGCCGAACCTCAAGCCCAAGTGGTAAGGAAGTAGCCCGAACCCCCTGAAAACCAGAATTGAGCTTTCGAGCTTCATGTGCCTCCAGGACAAGCGCAACATCTACCTCATTATGGAGATGTGCTCAGGTTCTTTTGTGCTCGGCATCTTGTGTCTAGACGCCTTGTGCTCGCGATTTTTGGGACCCTGCTTTTTTCAGAGCTGCCTCTATGCAACCATTGGAACCCAAGTCTAGGGGTAAACTGAACCCGGGGATTAGGACGACGACCGGCCGTAGGGCGCCTTCCAAGTGAAGTCTCTCGGTTTCCCCAAGACCTTGGAGGGAAAATGCCTAAGAGGGAAGGTTCGCAAGCGCCCTGCAGGCCCCACAGGCCCCACATCCAACTTCTCCCCAGACCACCGCCTCGACTCTGCACACTGCAAAAGCCTCTGCAACTTGCCAGGCGGCGAGCTTTTCGACCGCATCGTAGAGGCGCGAACCAGGGCTCTGCACCTTCGAACATTGAAGCTCTCGACCCTGCAGCCGCCAAAAGCCCGTTCAGCTCAACACCTTGAACGAACCTTCTTATTGAGCCCAGCCTTCGCGCCGGTCTGCTTGGGTAGCAGCCGTAAGCCTTAAGCCTCCCCCAACAAAAACTTGCCCTTCTCCGAGTGCTGAAAAAAATCCCCCTTGCCTTGTCTAGGCGGGCCACTTCAAGGAGTCGCAAGCGGCACTCGCCAGGGCCTCTGAGAGCCTAGGCCGTCAGAGCACCTGCATTTTGCATTCGCTGGTTTGTAGGTTTTTGTGACACGTTCAGAGCATGCACGACTTGCTGGGGAGCTCCAGGAGATGTAGGAGGTTGAGCACTGGAGCACGCTAAGTTGTCCAGTGTGTCCAGTGTGTCTGAAGGTCATGAAGCAGATGGTCGGCGCCATCTACTACCTCCATACCAACCGGATCTGCCATCGGGCATCTCGGCTCCACGGTCCCTACAGCTCCCATGCTGTGGAGCCAAAACCGAATTTCAGGGATGTGGGGGGGGGGGGGGGCCCACCCCACCCCACCCCACCCCACCCCGCTACATGCCTTCAGACTGTTGCGCCACCCTGGAGTGAAGGTGCACTTTACTTGCGGCGTATCTATCTTGAGCTTGTACAGGGCGGCTGTGTCGGCATGGGGCTTTGGCAAGTCGCTGTCAAGGATCTGAAGCCCGAGAACTTCCTGTTCCAGACGCAGGAGGGCTGGGGGTTCGAGACAGTTAGGGGGGCGTGTTGGGTCTTCAAAGTAGCACCCTTGGGCTGGGACCCTTGTTCAGGATTCGAAAGGCAATATAAGGGCCATACTAGGAATTGAAACCTTAAGGGGTACAATCTTAGGGGTACGAGTCCCTTGATTCCTGTCATGGGGATTTTCTCGTAGGGCTGGAATCGGTATTGCTACAGCAAGTGAAGGAAGATTGAAGTTCTGTGGAGCGTTTGTGCTTCGAGGATAAAATTGAGAACAACCTCCTGAAGCTGATTGACTTCGGCTTGGCGACCAGGTTTGAGTTCGGAGCCCAAGCGTTTTTTTTTTTTTTTTTTTTTTGGGGGGGGGGGCTTTGTGAAGGCCTCCCGCCTCTGTTTGTTTTTTGACGATAGTTTCGGTTTGCCTTTTCGATGGTTGCCCTCCTTTGGCTGACGTTGTAGTGTCCTTCGGTGTGTGGTTTCGTGCTTAGCAGGTGCAGGCGTGGCTCGAGGGATTTAGCACAATTTGGGATAGCAGTCCCAGCAGTCCAAGCACTTCTCACAAAAACTTCCAGTTGTGCTGAGCACTTTCGAGAATACAAAACCATGCATGACCAAGCTTCTCTAGCCTGGAATAGTTGACTTGTGCTCTCCAAACAGTGTGCCAGTGGAATTCCAACGGTCAGGGTAAGGATGCGACCGGTTGCAGGGCACTTGCCTGGACATTTTTACTCTTGCCTAGGAGTGGCATAGTGGAAGACCAGAAGGTCTTGGCATCGCCCAGCGTGAAAAGTCGCTCTGCCTGGGTCCCGTACACTTTCTGAGGCTTGTCACCAAAATGTGGCAGGGACGCTCCTTCCGGCAGTGTGGGCGCGCGCTCGTGCTAAGGGGACTTGCATGTCGTGGGTGTTGCAATTTCCTCTCGCGATCTTGGAAATTTTCATTCGCCGTCGCAACCCTGGACCCATCTGCTAAGATCCTGAAGCCCACCAATGCCCTTTGAGAAGCCCTTACGGGGGGCATAATGGCTTCTGCCCAGGCCAGGCCAGAAGTTGACCACGAAGTCTGGCACCCCGTACTATGTGACTGCCTCAGGGGCAGGGGCTTTGGGGGCTTTAGATGGCTTTGGGTTAAAAGGGATAGGTAGTGTAAGTAAGTTTGCTTGGGGCTGGCTTGTGTAAAGACTTGGAAGGGCCTTAAACGAGCTCATCGGTATGGTTCACAAGTTTTTACAGGCGAGTTTCGTTTGTCCGGTTGAATGTTGAATGTCCGTGCTTGTTCGGATGGTTCCAGCAAGCTCGAATAGCAGTGCTGAGTTTAACTACGCCAGGCTTCTCAAAGGTAGTGGGGGTCTTACATAATGCATACATAATTTGAAAAGAGGTTTGCTGCTGCGGATCTGGGATGGCTTTGCATCCGGGCCCCCTGAACGACCCGGACCCCAGGTGTCACCGCAGGTCCTGCAAGGGAGCTACAATGAGCTTTGTGACGTTTGGAGCCTGGGCCGAACTCGAGCAGGTTGCCCGGTCTTCGTGAAACCAGCTGCCTAGGACCAGGATTGGGCCTGAGCAAGAGGGCTTCGGCCCAAAGCCCCTAGCAAAAGAGAGAGGGTCCTCTCAAGCGATAGAGAAGAAGAAGAAGAAGGAGGAGAAGAAGAAGAGAGAGAGAGGGACATGAACTTCAAAGCCTGTCGCCTTTGTGGGTTTCTTTGAGAGACTTGGCTTGGTGCTCCTTTCTCCCGATGGTCTCCGAAACTTAAGGAGCTGCGGCGTGATCATGTATGTGCCTCGCCGTCGAGAGTCTGGGGGTTGAGGGCAGAAATCTACATGTAATGTTTCTGGTCTTCGGGGTGCAGCTGTCATCCAGATTCGAAGCAGATGAATTTCAAGAAGCGTGGTGTTGTGGGGGCAATTGCCAGCTTAAGGGTCACGGCTATCCTGGTGAGCGGTGACGAGTCCGGAATTAAAAAAAAGGATCGGAATGTCAGCACAGGTTCTCCTCTGTGGCTATCCGCCCTTCCTGGCCGACACAGACCCGCAGGTTTTGGCGTTGGTCCGGAGGCAGTGCTGTTGCCCGACCATGCGTGTTCGAAACAGCCCACGTCTTGAAAGGACTCCCCTTAGCCCCCTTACACTTTGGATTCCGATTAGCTGACTTCCATATATGGTCGCCTCAGGACTGAAATTTGGCTGACGCTGATCCTCTCAAGCCCTGGAGACTGGATAGTTTCGACCCCCAAGCCCCTTAGGATCCCAACACACGAAGGTGTCCTCTTTTCAAGCCCATGAAAGCTGTGACGGCAGGGGGCAATTCTCTTTTCCGGCGGAGGACTGGGCTCAGGCAAGTGCTGATGAGGGTGTCTTGCATGGCAGCAGTCGAACCCCTTGTGGAAGAGGGGTTTGCGCTCAATTCCAAACTGATCGGCTACACGAGCCGTGGGAACATTTCCCATGCAAACCCGGCTCCTGCAGGTTTCCTCTGATGCAAAGGATCCTTGGAAGCAACGCTTGGCCTGATCACAATGATAGGCCTGATAGGCTGCGAAGGCCACGCGTGCCTTTCAGTGCCTTTGTTTTGCTGAGGGAGGGGCGGGTCGAGGGATAGAGGGTGGGAGGGAGAGAGAGGACGGGGAAAGTCATTTTGCCGAGTGCTTCTTGTAGTTTTGGTCTAGTGTTTCTTGCAGTAGTAACTACTGGTACTAGCACTAGAAATTGAAAGCAACTAAGACCAGCGCAAGTCCTTGTCCAGCTCGAGTCTCAAGTGTTTGCGAGTCGCAAAAAAACATCGCTGGAGCTATGAAGCAGACACTCTTGCTCAGGTTCAGTGGTTGAACCTCTTTTCCCCGATCGCCTAGGACTTGATCAAGAGCCTTCTCGAGGTGGTGCCCTCCCAAAGATACACCGCCGAGCAGGCGCCGAGGGCCTCGAAGTCGAACCGCAAAGGGTTCAGTCGAGGGGTTTCAGGGTTCAGGACTGCTCTACAGAGTGTTGGTAGCCTTTTCCTTCAACACCCAGGTCTCCATGAGTCCCGCATGCTAAAGCTCTGTATCTGAAGCCCGACACGACAGCTCAGGCCTTGAACCATATATGGATCAAGCAGAAGGCCCCCCATGCCAAGAATGAGCCGCTGAACACGACCTCTGCGGCCCTGGCTGCGATATGCTTTGTTTGGATCCGTTTGGGGGTGTTAGGCTTCGGTTCCAAGAGCCCAGACGGTCGATTGCGGCGTAAAGCTGATCTCGGGGGACGCGTCGTGCATCTGTGACTTCAGATGATACATGTTCACATCCCGAGGTCAAAAAGCGTCCAGAGTCTTTCCCTGCCCACATTCTAGCAGCGGGGTGTGTGACGTTCAGCCTGTTGAAGCTTGGCTCTCTTTGAGGCCCAAGCTTGGGCCAGAGGAGCCCCAGGAGTCCCAGGAGCCCCAGGAGCCCCAAAGCAAAAACCCCCACAGGAATCCGCCAACCCCTGAGTCCTGAATGGAAGAAGAACCCTCAGGTCAGCAACCTCCAGAAGTTTAATTCCACCAACCACTTCAAGCACCTTCTCCTGCAAGTCTTTCGGGTTTGTTGGGTTCGAGGAGTCGGGAACTTGGGCCTTCGTTCCTTGGTTGAGAGCTCCGGTCTACGGTTTCATGTTGGGTTTCTGGTAGAAGGGTTCAAAGGGTCTTGAGCCGACTCTGATCTTGCGCCCGCATCACAAGCCCAACACTTGATGTTCTCCACAAGAAAAGCTTCACCCGGCTTTAGATTCGGAATGGAAAGGCCGATCCCTACGTAGTGGGGCCCGAACTGGTCCTGGAACAATCAGGGGTGGTTCTTGGTGGCTTCCGAGAAAATGTTTGCTGCTGTTTCCAAGGCTTTAGGGTCCAGGGCGCTGCTCAACGTGATTGTCTTGGGTTACGAAAAGCTTACTACGAGAATCTTAGAGCTGGCCATTCCGGCTTCATTTTCCCCTTCATGTTTTCTTCATTGTTTTTCGCCGTCCGGTTTTCTGCTTTTGATTTATGTCTTCGTTTGTTCTTCATGTGCATCTTCATGTTCATCTTCATTTATTCTTTATGTTCATCTCCATGTCTTCATCTGTGTAGTCGTTCGATGTTTGGGCTTCATTTTTCTTCAGGTCCATCTCATTACTTCTTAGTTCTTTCTTCGTTGTTTTTGTCATTGGGTTTTGTGTTCTCAGCTTTTTCATTCTCATCTTATATGCCTGTTGAGGAGCTTTATCGTCCGGCCTTGTGTCTTCATTATGCCTTTGTTCACTGCTTGACGTCTGCTTCTTGTAGCAATCCTTCCCTTTCGCTCCTGGATACCCCCCCCCCCCCCCCCCCCCCCCCCGCCGAAAGGAGAATCAAAAGCATGAACAAGAACACGAAGAGGAACATGACAATGAAGAAAAGCTGAAGAGCAAAACACAGTGGAAAATGATGAGGAAAATGATGAGGAAGACGATGAGGGAACATGAGAATGAAGAAAAGCAAAGAGTGAAATGACAATGAAGATGCCGCGGAAAGGGAAACGAAGAAAACATGAAGCAGGAAACGAAGAAACCCAATAGCATTGCAAACCATGAGGAAAAATGGAAAGGAACATGAAGAAAATGAAGATGCTTCGAGCGAAAGGCGCCTCCCCGCCTTCCCGGAGACCCCCTGACCCCCGGCGCGTCGGCCCCAGAGGAAGAACCCTTCCATGTGGCCGACCCCGCTCCTTCACCGGGCAAGCAAAACAGAACTTGAGGTTCAGAGGCTCTGTCACTCCCTGCCTTCTCTGTAACAACCGAGTAGGAAATCGAGACAAGCGGGCAACCGCCACAAGCTCCCGCTGCTCTACTGAAACGGTAGCGCCAGACTGAGTGCGCCCTCCGAAAAAGACCCGAAATAGCTCCTGGAGAGGTGCCCATGACGACAAAAAGAACATGAAGAAAAGCATGTGGGGGCAAAATAAGCTGGCCTGAGTGGGTTCGGGCGCCAGGGCTAGGTCGGCTGCAGGATCTAGCACCGCCATCTGTCTGAGTGGAACCAGATCTTGCAAGATACGAATGAAGAAAAACTGATTTGAAAAGAGGACGAAAATGATGGTGGAAGTGAGCGGGTAAAGGAAAACGTGAAGATTGAAGTGAAGAGGAAAATGATGATGGGAAAGAGAGGGAGGTGCCAATGAAGAAAAATGAAGATCAGAATGGGGAAGAACGTGATGATGGGAACATAGGGCATAGGGGCCACCCAAGAAGACATGAAGAGTAACATGATGATGTAATATAAGGGGAACAAGACAAATGAATATGAAGGTGAAGAGTGAAGAGGAACATGACCAAGAACATATTTTGCAGATTTCCAATCTCTGGCAGGCAAAGAAGCTTTTATTTTAAGTCTAGGAATCCGGGCAGCTGGAAGATGTACGGCCTAAAGCCACGCCCTTTATTTCCTTAGTTGAAGCTTCCCAAACCTGGCCAAACCCAGCGCTTTTCGAGGAAAGCAGCATTGCAGGTCATTGCGCCGGGGGCCCAGCTCAAACAACGGGCCTGGCGGCCTACAAAAGTATTTCGTGTTCGTTTTTGATCTTCGGGTTGGGTTTGGTTCCTCCGTCCAACCCGATGTCGAAGGCCTTTAGCCTGAAGCACCTTAGCACTGCAGCTGAGCTTGGTTCTGTAGGGAATTATTCGTGGACCGGAGACCTAAACAAGGCCCTGGAATCTGGGTGTTGGATGCCTCCACCACTTAGCCTGTCTGAGCTTCTCCCCCTCCACAGACTGGAAAGAGACAAGGACGCAGCTGAGCGAGGATAAGATCCAGAACCTGCGGAATCAGCGCTGGCCTCAGTGCGAAAAGAGGGCTTCGGGGCCCTGTCAGGGGGAGGCAGATGAAGCATCCCAAGCCCCTGGCCTGGACTGTGCAGACCTGGGTTGCAACGTGAAACTACGTCTCCCTGGCAAGGTTCCTGGCGCTGGACCAGAACGGCGATGGAATGCTGAGCATTAAGGAAATTAGCCACTTGGGCAGAGGAAGCCCGAAGCCCTGAAGATCCCTGAAGCAAGGCACGAAGCACCCTCGCCCTCTCCCGCCCTCTCCCGCCCTCTCCCGCCTTCCAGCATCCACAAATCGCTCTTAAGCCCTGAGCGCCACGTGTGTTTGAGCCTAAGGAAGGTCCCCCACGACCTTCAAAGCTTTTGAGGCCTTCCCGTTTTGGCTCAGCAGCCTCAGGTGATGGCCTGAAGGCGGCTGGAATGAACCCAGCCGACATGTACGGGCCTCAGCCTGCTGGGGTTTCCTGCCGTGTTGACAGCTTCGAGGCAGGTAAGGGCATGTAGGAGCCCTCAGCGAACAAGAGAAGCCACAATCTACGCGAGCAAGCTCGTCTGGCATGCAGAGCCCTGCACGCGATCCGAAACCATGTAGGCGCACGTTCTCGGGCTCAAATTTGCCAACCGAGGCAGGGCATCTTGAACAGCGTCGACACCGACGGGACCGCAAGCTTGCCACATCTCTTAGGTCTTAGGTTCAGGGCATGCTGCCGAAGCCACGGTCGTGCTCCCAAAAGCACCGTTTGGGCTTTCTTTGGTTTAGGGTTGCCGGTTTCGCATCCCCAAATTGCAACGGTAAACCAAGGAAGTACATTTTTTCTTTGGTGTTTTTTCGGAAGGACAAACGTGCGCTGCGAGTCTCCAAAGTCGTTTGGCATGAGTTGCTTAGGGCACTGTTGCTTCTGACTGTGTTTGTCACGCACAGCCCCAAGGCTTGTCAGCACTGGTGCTCTGACCCTAGAACGTTTTTGAATTTTCAAGGTTTCTCGGTTTTTCGTTCAGGCTTGAGGCGTGGAATCCCCCCGCCGCTGAGCCCCCCAAAACGACGACAAGCCGTGTCTAGTGGTCCGTCCAACATGCAAGACCCACAAAAGTCGGCAAGCCATCCCAAAATCGGACCGAGCATTTTCTTGCAAAAGCCACTCCAAGAAGGTCGAGTGATGTTGGTTTATGCCCAAGTTTGACAAGACGTGCCCCCAGAGCCGATTGCATTGCAAATAAGACAAAGCACAAGCAGCTCACACTGGCGTCTGAGCAGACAGCATGTGGAAGCCAAGCGAATTGTTTGTGAGGAGCGGCTGCATTGAGTACAAGGACCCTTCCGTCTGCGCCGTAGGCTTTCAGTAAACGGCGCAACGGGAACCAGTGGGGTGTAACGTGCGGAAACAGTGGGCAGAAGCGGTCACTGGGAACCGTAATTAATGGAAACCAACCGAGACACGGAACCAAAACCAACAAAGGTGGCGGAACAGAAGGGTGCAACATTAGGCAGTAGGCTTAGGTTTGAGAAACATGAGGGTTTAGTGTTCAGAGTTTGCGGTTTTAGGCTCTAGGATACTCTAGGGCTAGATAGGGTTCAGGATTGGGCTTAGGGGTTTGGGCTTCAGGGATTGCGAGTTTCTGTTACGAGCAGTTTTCTGGGTTCCGTTACAGGTTCGCTGGTTTCCGTTACGCCCGCGTCTGGTTTTCGTGGCATTTTCCTTGGTTTCTGTTACGGATTCCGGCCTGGTTTTCATTACACCCTTGTTTGGTTTCCGCTAGGCCTTCTCAGGACATGAATTCCATAAGGACGAAGAAGTTCGAGAATCCTTGTTTTAGGACTGCGGTTTCAGGATTTTGGCCGGATGTGGAAAGTGGCCTCCAACGCCTTGCAACCGGCCATAGGAGTTCCTGGCGGCGACCTTGGACAAGAGGCCGTCATCCCTCTGCTGGTGGTTGGGGGTCTGGGGGGTTGTCATCCCGAGCCCCTGCAACGAGCTGGCAGCACGCCGATTCACGATTCTCTGCTCCCTGTTTGTTCATGTAGTAGGAAACCCTACCTCACCCCTCCACCGCCCCACCCCCCTCCCAAAGACCAGCGGAAGTCAGAAGCCAGGATGTATCTTCAGGAGGATGCGCTTTGGTCCGCCTTCTGCGTCTTCGACAAGAATGGGGACGGCGCGCTTCCTTTTCTTGAAGGGCCCTCTCCACTCAAAGCCCCCAAAGCTGGGAGCCGAATCTCCCTGCCAGATAAACTCTGCAACCGGAACCGCTTTGGCATCGGTCGAATCCATGACCCTGGACCCGAAAGTGCCCAACCGCCTGTCAGGCAAGATCTGCATGGACGAGTTAAAGCAAGTCCTGGAAGATGACAGCCGCGAGCTGAGACGCATCCACCAAAGCTGCAGATAGCCTCCTTCAGTGATAGACATCGTATACCCTAAGCCCCAAAGTTCGCGCCCAGGTGTCGGAGCCCTTGTCAATTCCAAGCAGCTGGCGGGCAGCTCAGGGGATAGCTTTCTCTAGATTGTGGGTGATGTGGGTGACCCGCATTGTCGTGAACAAGTGTGGGTGGAACCAGCAGCCAAGACATGTCTAGAATGTTCCGGCTGAGCCTTCGGACCTTGGCTTTTGTTGTTGTTTCTGGCAGCTCGCTCCGACGGCTTCAGCATGTTCCAGCACTTACTTCTGGCTAAGGGCTCGACCTATTGAACCTATTCTTTCAATCGGACGTTCTGCGGAAGCTTTGGAAGCCCCTGAATAGCCGCAGCAACGTCCACGACCCCAACCAGGCGGGTGGCCAAAAAAGAAGACATGCCCCAGGAACCGGAAAAAAACCCCCCCACAAAGCCCTGAAACCTCAGACCGTCGAACCTTACCTGCTGCATGCGAGGGGTCGAAGCCTCAGCCCCGAAGCAAGAATAGCAGAGGCCGCTGAGATCTTCAGGGAGGTTGACGAGGACGGCTCGGGAGTGATCGAGTTCGAAGAGCCCGGGCCCCCTTTTTTCCTTTCATATGTCAGGGTCGACAGGTTTCTAAGAAGGGCCTAGGGTAGGTGAAAACCCTCTAGACTCCAGCCACGCACCGCCATCGCCGAGCGCGAGTTGGGAGAATGGGACCGGGGTTTGCGTCTGCTACGCATGCTCCCACGGCCCCATGACCTGATGTAAATCTTCGAGCTGCTGTTTTGCAATGAGCTGAGGTTCGTGCAGATGATGCGGAAATCGTGAGCTTCCATTGCAGTTCTCACTCAGCACTCACCCTGTGCCTCTGTTTCATCACCCAGGATCGCTTGGCCCATGGCCCGCTTAGTTTTGCATGGCGAAGATGCTGTACAGGCATACCTCGCCGACCGAGCCTGCTCGTCGCTCCTTTGGCGCATGTGCCGAGAGGTAGACGTGTCTCCCAACACTTCCCATGAAGCCAACCTCAGTGCCCAAGGCATGTTTAAAAATAATAACTAAAGCCTGAACCAGTCCTCACAAAACTCTTGCGCGCCTGGCGTTTCGTGGACGTGGCCCCTTAAGAATCCCAATCCCATGTGCTCAGCTTGCTTCAGGGATTGTGGGGATTGTAGGGTACTTGAGTTGAGATGAATTTGTTTTTCCCGCGGGCTTCGGGATGGTTCCAGAGGCTTGCTGAGACTCTGTCTGAGTTGGTGTTTGGGGCTCAGGAGCTCCTTGAGCTTTTTTTCGCCTTGAAGACGGAAGACAAGCAGAAGCAAGCTCCGAACCACATGAACCACCCCCCCCCCCCCACATCGCTGCCACGATTCAAGAGGAACGCCGACGCTGAGTTCTGCCGCTTGCGGCACTCGTTTTCCGTTGCACCTGGCGCCTTGACAGAGGGCGCCTCCCAATTGTTTACCAAAGAAGGGGAAGCAAAGAAGCAAACACCCCCCACCACGACCGACCGGGCTCTAGGTCAACGAATTTTCGCTTAGGTTCTGGTGTCACAGGGCTTCAATAGGTCCTCGGTTCCGGGTTGAATTTGTCATTTTGCCTCTGGTCTGTGCTCATTCTTGCCTGGCGTGGACGAAGAGCGCCGCCGTCCACCCCAAGTCCCTGAACCGTGTACTCCGCGTATTCCATTCTGTTCTCACCTACTGTACGAGACACTCCAAGATTCTGAATCACCCGGCCCAACCCTTTTGGGGCAAGGCATCGATTAACAGCTCCCCAAGGGGCCGAAGGCCCTGGCACCACCGTTAGAGCCAGGAAGGAGGGAGGTGCGTTGGCAAAAGGGGCTGCGCAGGAGGCATAACACCAAGACAAGCCTTCAGCGATTGCAACCCATTTGCCCTGAGCTCTCTTCGGCAGGCAAGTAGCAAGCTTGCAGGTGGCTTTCGGACAAAGAGTCAAAACGCAGCTTGGGATGTGGAGTTGTGGGTTTGGCCCCTAGCCGCTAGCCCTTTGCTGCCGAAGGGTTTTGGACGTAACCCCGGTGCGCAACGAGCTTGAGGCTTCATGTTGTTGCAGGTCTTTGCTCCGGGTTCAGCAGGGAACCGGGACCCAGCAAGTTTAGGAGCCCAAAGACGCCCTTGTGGCAACATTCCTGCGCATCGCGCTTGCCAGAAGATCCTCATTCGGGGCTCCGGAAGTTTCACTTGTACCATGGCAAGCCCGCCAAACAGGCATAAATGCCTTATTTTCGGCTGCAGCTGTGCACCTTTCTTACATGAAACCGGCTGATTGGAGGTCCGATCTTCCAAGCCTAGTGTGGGTCTTGGGGTGGATGGATTCGGACTGTTGGGAAAGGCTACTCAGGCGTCTTAGGATCTCGCAAGACAGCCTTGTTTCAACAACGGTACCCTGCTTCAAAGGTCTTCAAAGTCACGTCAAAGGCAGCTTCCCATTTAGGAGCCATGGCTGCCACATTCGCTAAGCTGAGTGTCGCGGCTGCAGTCCAGAATCAAGTCCCTCAGACTCGTCGTAGTTTCAGAAGCCTTCCTCCCCACTGCGCCGGCATGTAATCAAGGGATCTGTGCCCCCTGACATAACCAAAACAAAAAGCACCGAAGCCCCCCCCCCTGAAACCTACAGTAGAGGTCTGCCTCCGGCCAGCACTGCTGTCGGTGGCCCAGAGCTGCCCCGCGTTATGGGGGTTGGGAATGCCTAGCCTCACCGATCCTCGTACTGCCCACAAGGCAGGATCCTGGAAGGAAGTGACTAAGTAAGTATGGAGTTCTGCAAAAGCCCTCAGCGCGCGCCTTAAAGTCCGTAAAGCAACCCTGAAGTCCTGGATCATTCAAAGACCGTGTTAGCCGATGAAGGCTGATACGGCGCTGCTGCCACCAGCCCTCCGGGCGCCGCAGCTGAACTTACGGCGAGGACGGGCAGTTCACCTCCCAAGGCCCCAAAGCCTACCAGAAACCCCCCTACAAGACCCTGCCAGTGTTCCCGACTCTAAACATCAGATGCCCTTCTGCGCCTGTAGCCGGGTCTTTGCAAAAAACAAGTTTGAGCTTTAGGAAACCTTCCCAAGTGGTTGAATCACCGCTCCTCTGCTAAGCCCGTGCAACCCATCCTTAAAATCGGGTTAGAGCTTCTTTTGTCTAGCTCACCGAGCCTTGGCAATTGAAGAGTGTTCAGTGAAGTCTTCGCTTCGAAGCCTGGGGTCCAAGCCCCACTAAGAGGGACACGTTGTCAAGGTTCTCTGAAGACTGACAGCTCTCTCTCTCTCTCTCTCTCTCTCTCTCTCTCTCTCTTCCCTGTATATATGCATATATACATATATGTATAATTCTTATTTAATCATAATATATATATATATATACACACTATGTGTATCTTCACAGCTGAACGGAGAACCCCAGCAGCCCGGCTCATCCAGCCACATACGACTCGGACGTATCATCGCTCAACGGTCCCTCACAGCATCGAGCAGGCCTTGCACAGAGAGGCGGTAAGGTCGTCTTAAAGTTTTAAAGGCAGAGCAACCGCGCAGTGCAGCAAGAGGGAATCAGAAAAAATCAGAGGACACACAGCCTTGAATCAGAGAGTAGCAGGTAGATGGGCCGCTTTGGTAGTAGCCGTCGTTGTCAAGGTCCCATCAGGAATTCGCAGCAGTAGTGCTGTAGGAGGCCTCTGGCACTGTTGGGAAGGCCTTCCAAAGATCCGTGGTTCTCCCCGATACCCCGGGGAGCCATGCAGCGTCAGTGCAATGCCATGGAAGAAATCTTCGTCGGCGCCAACATCCGCTTCGCTGCTGCTGTGGCCCTTCCGCCGGTGGATGTCGGGAGCGTTTGTTGCGTTTGGCGCTTCGGGCCTTTGGGGCTTGAGGGTTCCGGGGCAAAGAGCCTAGGAACAGGCAACGCGAGCATATCTTCTGAGACATTTCGCCCACAGTACTGCAGCCCCAGAGCCCAAGCTTCGAGGAATTCGCGTGCACCGAAGCTTCCCTGAACCTCCAGGATGTTTGATCGAGGAATCGGCACTACATATGTACTTCGACACTAAGTGGTTCACCTGTCAAGAGATGGTGTGACTTCCTAAACCACTGCCTCCGCGCAGGAAGGCGCAGGCAGCCTTGCTGGAGGCGGTGGCGGTCATAACCGGAGCGCCTTTGCACATCTTGTACTTGGGCCGAAGTGAGAGCATGAGCTCCCAGCTTGAAGCTTGTGTAAGGCCAAATGCTGCAACGGTTGGAGCTTACTTCAGATTTATGGGGTGGGTGTAGAGCTCGACTGTTAGAGGCCCTCGCTCCATGAAGTCTCTCCTTGTTGAGCGGGTTGAGCGTGTCACAATTAGGGTCTAGAAAGTTTGGGATGAGGGCTCGATCAACCAGTGGCGGAGCGTAATCCCCCCGTGATTTCAGACTCATAGACCCTCCTAAACCTGAACGCCACCACCCCTAACACAAGGAAGACGGACCCTGCAACGCTGGGCTTTTGTGATGATGGGTCACCGTCCAGCCGAGATCTCGGCTTGACTGTTTCGACTGTTTTCCCCAAAGCCCCTTCCGAACTCTCAAAGCCCCCCGAGGCTTGGGCCTGGAGATTTCCAGGGTCGCGATGCCCGAAACGCTGGCAGAGGCCCTGGCGCAGGAGCACCAAGCGGTAATATGCAGATTTCCAATTTTGTTTTGTTGAGAGTTGGTCAAAACCCTTGTATTCAAAATGGCCATGCCACTTCCGAGCCCTCAACCCTTGACCGTCTCGGCTTACGTGTTCTTCACTCAAGGTTATGTATACAAACTGGCAGCTCGGGGGCTTACAAGGGCTTGTAGTGGCACTTGGCTTCACGACACTCAAGGCAACTGGGGGCTCACGCGGGGAGCCTTACGTGCTATTTGGTAATACCTCGAAGACTGCATTTGCAGCAACACAACATCAGCGCGCGCCTTGGTTTGCATTAAGCGGGCAGGAGCTGGAGATGCCGCGCCCAGCACAGGGGCCCTTGGCGCTGGTCCTTCTCACCCGAGGAGAGGTGGGCCTGCAAAGAAATTGTGGATTCAGGCTTTGCCTCAGAGGGATCTTCAAAGGCTTCGGGACTTCAGGTCTAGGCATGGCTGAAAAGGACAAGCGCAGGCCCTGGCCGTGTGAGGGTTGTTGGCTTCAAGGGTTCTGGTTTCCAGTTTGATTACGTGTCAAAGTCCTAAAGCTCTATACCCCGCTCGACCCTGGCCACCACCAAAAGGCCTCTAGTCTAGGTCTGCTGCGGCGCTGTCATCAACGCCAACCATGCGCTCTGCGATGGTCGGGCGATGTTCCAGCACCTGCGGGCATTTCTCGGCAAGCTCTTCGTTGACGACTTCCAGGCCCGGTTTCAACCCTGTGATTAGTCAGTACACTACAGTTCCCGCACCTGCAAACAAACGACTTACGCTGAGTTGCACCAGATTCTGCCCTAGTTTGGTGGACGTGTCCTTGTTGCAAGAGGGGAAGGCCCATTCAGCCCATGCAGTCATACTCTGGGTTAAATCAAGCAGCTGTTCAGATGGTGCCGGGGGCACCAGCTCTGCCAGCCGACTGGGGCCAGTGTATTTCCGAAGACACTGCCTCTCCGGACTTCTTGCCGTTGCCGGGACGCCCTTTGCAAATCAAAGCTCCTGGACTGCGTTGGCATCTGCCATGGCATCTGACATGCGATCTCTGCATCCATAGGTTTGCATGAGATGTTATGCGAATACCCAGGTTCAATGCAACCTGATCATTCTCCAATACAAAATCCTTAAAATCCCTGAAAGCCTGAACGTGTGCTTGTAGGCTGCAAGGCCCGGAGCTCCCAATTCAAAAGAAGCATCTTCAGCCAGTTTCCAGGATCTCCGGCGAACCGGTTCTGCGGAGCTGAGCCTCCGCAAGACACTGGACGCGGCAGTCTTTGGCAAGGCACGCCGGGAAGACGTGGACATACGTGGACTCAAGGTGAGGCGTGCTGGTTGGAGAGTTTTGGAGCTGGGGCTGAGAACTGGGGCCTCAAGGCCTCAAGTCCCTGAACCTGGAAGGTCAGAGCTGCTGGAAAGGAGAGCTCAGCGAGTGCTACGGGGCTCCTGGTGGCGATGCTGCAACTCTGCTGGTTTTGGGCGATGATTTTCGTGGTTTCTTTGTGAGTGAGAGAGAGATATTAGAGAGAGAGAGAGAGAGAGAGAGAGAGAGAGAGAGAGACAGAGACAAAGAGAGGGAGAGGGATGGGCGAGGGGAAGGGAGGGGACGGGAGGGACGGGACGGGACGGGACGGGACGGGACGGGACGGGACGGGACGGGACGGGAAGGGAAGGGAAGGGAAGGGAAGGGAAGGGAAGGGAAGGGAAGGGAAGGGAAGGGAAGGGAAGGGAAGGAGGGAAGAGACACGGGCTTGCCGCTATGCCGTTATGCCCAAGAAAGACGGGGGAGAGCGAGAGAGAGAGAGAGAGAGCTGGAGGAATTTCACACAGACAACCCTTGGACGTGCGCGCCCCTGGGGGCAGCCTCCCTTCGGGAGGGTTATGCGTGGGAGAGAGAGAGAGAGAGAGAGAGAGAGAGAGAGCTGGAGGTTTCACTTCAGACCGGATTCGAAGAAGAAGAAGAAGAAGGAGAAGAAGAAGAAGAGAGCGCAGCGGAGCAGAAGAAGAGAAGAGCAGCTTAGGCAAGATGCAATCGGCACCGCGTACCTGGAGCTGGGGATTTGGGTTTCAGTTTAAGATTTCTTGAGACGAGTTAGGAGCCACTGCAGTGGTCGGAAGCGCCAAGTTCAAAGCAGTTTCGAAACAGTGGGAACCTGGATTCTCAAACATCTCCAGGAGCAGACCGGTTGCGAATCCTGTGTCGTGGCCGTCGAGGTCCTCGTGGACCTGCGACCACTCATTGAGAGCCAGGCTACCCATGGCGGATTCTGCGCTGGCTTGGGGGTGGGACTGGGTGGGCAGGGGCAGTCCGATCGCCCACTTTGCCAGTGCAAAAGAATGGCCAAACTACACTTGCTCGGGAGGCATTGGGTTTGAGCCGAAAAGCTGAGAACGTCGTCCTATGTGCAGTCTGTAAAGGGACAAGCCCTTGAACAGAAAGGTTGCCCTAGTGACCTCACTTTTCTCCCCAGCGCTTTCGAGGCCGTTGGATGCTTTACGTGTCAGGAAACACCCGCGCCCAAAACCTCTGCTGCTGCCTTCCAAACCCTGTGTTTCCGCCAGGCCCCCCTGGTCCAGGCCATTGCCACGGTGACGACGGGCGCGGAGGTTGCGTTGTTTCGATGTCACTTGAAGAGGCTTCAGGGGTTGGCGAAGTGATGCTTCAGGGTTCGTGGATCGCTCTTTCGCGCTTTGCTGTACCACCCCTTGTATGGGGGCAATGCCGCAAATCAGCCCTCCAAGCAGGTGCGGAAGGGCTCTGGGGAGTCGACGCTTCTGTCGCTGGCGCAGGCTGCTACGGAGGAGCTTTTGTCAAATCGCTGGCGGTGTCGGCTTTGCCTAAGTCACAAGGTGCCTGGTGCCGGGCCCCGAACCGTTGCGGCAATAAGCCGATGGCAGATGCATCGCAGGACATTAGGAGGCGGGTGGCGAGGGGCGAGGCGCACCGCCAGGCCAGGATATGTCGGATGTGTGAGGAGTGAATGCAAGCTTGCATGTTTCACTGAGACAGTTTGAGGGTCTCAAACTTGGAGCCAATGCAAGAACTCTCTTGGAGTCAGGCTTAGGTATCTGAAGCTGTATGGATCCTAAGCCCATGTGCCAGGCACGGCTAATGACCACAGGGCAATTCGACCAGGGCCCGTTGCCCGGGACGGTGGAGCTGAGCAATCTGGGGACGTTTGGCCGAAAGCATTAGAGTTTGAGGAGGTGTCTGGAGCTTGCTGTAATGCTTGAATTGAACCTCCATCCCACACCCCTGAACCTTTAAACCTAAGCGCCTAGCAGCACCAGCAGTGTCCAAGGATGTTCCCGGTGTCGGGTCACGAAGTGCTTCTGGACCAGCGCTTTGATGGCTACGAGGGGTTCAGCGTGCTGGCCCACACGGATGGAGACGACGGTCCTCTGAGACTACGAGCCTCTGTGGCTGGGTGACTTCAGAATTCATGGCTTGAGGAGTCACGTTTATGATTTGGGGCCTGGGGGCCAGGTGCATAGGTCTGGCAAATCACTATGTCGTTCTGGGGAACATTCGCCTACAGGGGACAGGGACCGGCATATTTGGGTAAGCTCCTGCTGATGGGTTGGTTGGGCCTGCACTGCTCAGGGGCAATTCTTGCATGATGGCAACTTCCGGAATCATAATGTTTGTGTTGTTCTTTATCTGTCTGTCTTTGCAGCTCTCTCTGCGAAGAAATCGCCTCATGCTGTTCATGGTTTCTGTTGGTCTGCCTCTGTCCTCTCTCACTGGCTCGCTCTCCGTCTCCTCTCACTTGCGCGTTGTGCTAAGCTCGTCTGAGTGCGTCAGGGGATCGTGCAACGCCTGTTGGCCGGTTGTTGTGTCAGTGCTCGGGGTCATTTTATGATGTGTTGAAGAAATTCACAACAGCCTGCTGGCAAGCTTCCTGCTCAGCCGAACCAGATGTGTCCTGGATGATGAGAAGCTCGCCTTTTGTTCTTCCAGGGGTGTGGTGTGATTGCCATGAGGATAAATGCCGCCGCTGCACATGTCATCAGCCTGGAACACCTTGTCCCCAAACTTGCGATCCATGCGTCCTAGAGCTGTCAAGCCTGAGCAAAAACTATGTAAACGTAGATCTCGGACGCCTAGTGACGAGTGGCCCAGTGAAGAAGCCGCAGTGCCCAGGTGGGTGAGGGTGTGGATGGCCACGCCATCTGCAGCATTCTGGATTGGGGTCTGGCCCAGCTGACCTCTTTGGCCAAATAGCAAGCCCGAAACGGCAGCTTTGCCCACAAGCCCCGGACCTCAAAGAAAGGTCTGAGGGTCGGGCCCAGAGACTCTGTGAACGGCAAGGAAAAGGTCATTCATTATGGGAGATCTCTTTTGAAAGGAGGGTTTGGGCTTTCTGCTTGGGTTGTGGTGTTTCTTTTGTCGGTATTTCCTTTCGTGGGCAATTTGGAGCGAGGGCTACGGCTGAAGCCTGAACTCTGTTGAGGCCAACCCTTCTCTTTCTCGAATCTCCGGAAGGTGCAGGCGCTGAAGCAAAGCAAGTGCACAACCGCAAGCCGTTCCAAAACCTAAGAGATGCAAGCTGAAGAGCTCAAAATTCACACGCCGCCTTTAAGATCCCCAGCCATACTGTGACTCCTTCTCCAGGATGCGGGGACTGTCCCTCGTCACCCAGCACAGCGAGGTCCTGGCAAGAGGGATCTTGGCAATGATGTAGGGCGTGAAGAGAATCCTATGCAGATCGCCTATGCCTGGTGCATTTCTGGAACGTGCGCGGAATCTGCGTTAGGGTCTCTCGTTCCAATACCAACGAAGTAAAGGAGCCGTAAGGAGCCTCTTCAGTGTTGCTTGCGTGGTAGGTGGCGAAACGGCCACAGAAACAGCCTGGCAACGGTGCTGGTGCTGCCCTCGTGGGGGTATTCTTCGTTCAGGGATCGTTCAGTGCTGCGCGATTGTGATTATTTGGGCACTGATTTGTCAGGACCTGCTTCCCAGCGGTTTATGTCGGAAGGTTTTCCCGCCTTGTGTTGTCACCTACCCGGAAAAGCAAACTCCAAATATTTCTCGGAGATAGGCCGGACAAAGCCAGCCCAGGCCAGCAACCCTAAAACCCGTGCGAGAGTCAGCGTCGAGTGAGAGAATCCCAGGCCGTGCCCATCCTGGGGGTGCTGCAGCTGCGCCGAGGAAAGGCCGAGGCTTACAGCTGTAGGGCTCGGGCTGTAGGGGCTTCAGGATGTTCGGGTGCCAGGGCATTTGGGGAACAAGAGGTTTGGGTGGTCGGCGTTTCGGGCTATGGGGTTGCAGTTCGGAGTTCTAGGGTATGGGTCTTTGAGGACTTGGGCTTCGCGGCTTAACGGTTGCAATTAGGTAGAAGTCTGACAAAAAGGCCATCCACGAAGGCCTAGAACCCTCTTATGCCCTCAGCAATCCTTGGGCTCCCAGACCCTCAAACCATGGCAGCGCGACAGTCCCCAAGGCCTCGGACTCGGACCCATCCCATCGAAGGCTCGGGGCCGTGGGCGGCACCTCACCTGCTGCGCTGCGGAGGCCGCCCTGGTGGCGGCCTTAGACGCTTGGGGTTGGACGGTTGTTGTGGGGCTTCGGACAGATTTCTTAGGGCTCAGGGTTTATGAGGGTAGGGTTTCATTGGGCTTGGGGGTGTTTTTGTTGAAAGCGCAGGAAGTGTCAGGTGCTTGACACATTTTCTGCGGGCTTGGTTGTGGTCAAAGTTGACGGTCAGGGCTTGTTAGGATTTGGGAGCATGAATTCTTTCGGGGCTTAAAGGCTCATCTTAACTTTCGCCACCTGCAATGGGCCAAGGTGCGGTTCTGGGGTGCTTCGAGGGCCGTCCAATGACAACACCCCAAGCATCTGCCCCGTCGAGGCAGGCCGGCCAGGCCAGCGCTTGGTTTTCTTTGGCGGCAAAGGCGGCGTAGGCTCCTCCCCTGGATGGCACGTGGGGTATGTGGTGCTCATGATCACGGTTCAGGATGCTTCCACGTTCAGTTAATCCTGATGGCAACTTGCAGCAATTTTTGGTGGGAGATCGCAGTTTTTCTAGCGACTCAGGGATTGTAGGCCTTAGTTGGGGGGGCCTCAAGTCGCCAAGCGGGGCTTGGGATTTTAAGACCGCAAGGCAAGACGTCGTCCTCCTCCTCATTTGCAGCAGCTTCTGCGGCTCAGGGCCAGAAGGCTCACTTGCTTCCCTTGTTGTTGGCTGGCTATCCAGAGCCCCGAATCCTTGGCGTCTTCGCACCATGGCCTTAAAATTCCCGGTGCTGTTAGCCACTGACCATCTTAGTCTGGTACTTGAAAGTAGTCCATCGGCCGCCTTCTTTCCGAGACGACAGAAAGGCGGGTTGGCGGCTAGATGTCAAGACTCGCATGGACCGTTTGCATCCCGGCAGTGTGGTGCGAAGGCTGCCAGGGAGCCCGCAACAAATCAGCTCCACCCCAAAGCTCAAGCTAGCTGATTTTCCAGAATTGCTAGCAGGTGCTGATCATCTCCACTGATCCAGCGCACTCGCTGGGCGATGCGCTCTCTGAGCCACTCTCAGGGAAGCCGCGGCAGGTTGCTCGAAGCTCAGCACTGGCCAAAGCAATCAACCGGATGTTTGCATTTTTGCCTCCCTATGCAAGGACTGCCCCCGTTAGGAAAATTAAGGTTCAATTCAAGAGGGGATGAGCCCCGGCGAAGCCTGGCCATTGATTTTGGTTTAACAACCTCAAGAGTTTAAGTCAGAGGGCAGAGGTCAATAGCCGCGCAGATGCTACGTCTGGCTGTAGTGACAGTGGCTGTATGTGGCTGTTGTATCGCCTGCGGTATAACCTGGTCTCTTCACTCTCGCTCTCTCTTTCTCTCTCTTTCTCTCGGTCTCTCTCTCGCTCTCGCTCTCTCTGTCTTTACTTTCTCTGCTGTGCTGACTGCAAGTGCCCTCGCCGAGGCGGACAACCTCTTTGCAGTGGAGGCCAGGGGTGCCCCAGAGAGAGGTTCAGTAAGCTTCCCAAGCCTGAAGCGCTTGCAAGAACTGCCGAGAACGGCTTTGAGGCCTTGGGTCTGAGTCCCCAGAGATCCGGTGGGTTCAGTTGCATGGTGATTTGCGGCCCACAACTTGCACGGTTCCATCATGTCTCAAATGCGAGACTCGGGGGGTAGACCGAGCAGTTGCTTCCAACACCCTAGGAGTCAAAAATGGCTTGCGTTCCACGAGTCGAGCAGGTAGACCCCGAAGAGGCTTTGCAGGAGCTGCGGGAGAGCCTCAAGGCTCGCGATGGGAAAGCTGGGGGTTCGGGGGGGGGGGGGAATTGGCAGTTCAGTTTGGTTCAGTTTGGCCTCCTTCCCCCCTCGCTCTGTTGGGATTTGACCTTGGGCCCTTCAATGTTGTGCTGTCATCGGGTGGCATTTGAAGGCCGCCTCAACACGGCTTTGGCTGCAATTTCAAAAGAACAGCCTCCCGCCCAACCCTTGCCAAACCCACCGAAGATGTCCTTAAGCCTTGAATCTGCAGAATCTACAGAAACTGGAGGCCTTGGATGCCAAAGCGCTGTGGGTGGCTCAGCCCTGGTAACGGTATCGTCTCGCCTTTGAATGTGCAGCCGAAGCATTTGTAAAACCTGGAGAGAGGCTGGACTCTTTGGGCCTGCCGGTGTCCGAGAGCTTCAGTGGTGGTTCAGAACGAAGGATGTGTATGCCACACGTGAGACGTGCCTTTCTTTTGAGAAGAGCTCCGAAGCCCCGGCTAAGGCCCGGCGGCACGACGGCGGCCCTGGGCCTCACGGAGCTTTCGGAGCTGCTGGAGCCAGGGAGCCCAGGGGCATTTTGGGGGGAGGGTCCGAGCTGAGCTCCACTCCCCCCCCCCCCCCTCCACCCACCTGACTATGCTGTAAGCAGCTTTCCTCATGCAGCATTAAAAGAGGAGGACCTCATGAAAGCCAGGAATATTGGTTAAAGGCTTGGCACGAGTGAAGGTCGCCCCCGCCGGGCGTCGACGAGATTGCAGCCATCGCCAAGGCGATCACGGAGACGGAAGGCGGAGACAGCGAGATTGGATGCAAGGGCTTCGGCTTGACTACGATTTCGGGGTTTGAGGGGTGCGGTCGTGGCGGTCTGCAAGCCTCAATGAACGCCACCTCGCCATTTCTTTCACTGCCACGGGGTGCCTTGCTTGGTTTGTTTAGAGCAGTTCTCCGAGGTGCTGCTCTGCAGCTCAAAGCCTGGAAGCCCGAAAATGCCACAAACTTCAAAGTATCTGGACCAGAGTGGCTCTGCGAAGTCTTGCCGGGTGCGATAGTGAACGAGAAAAGTTACACGAAATCCGACATCGACAGATGCTTCAGAGGGGCTTGTAGGAATTCTGAGGAGGCTCAAGGGCTCGCGAGACGCAGGCTACGACGTCGTGGTTTTCGACACGGCGCCGACGGGTACCTCGGCCCGGGAGTAAAAACTTGAAGCAGTTGTGGGGAAGTCCCTGCAGGTTTCGCAACATTCAGGCTCGGCTTGCCAAGGGTCAATCCTGTGTCTGTAGGCCACACACTGCGGCTGCTGGAAGTCCCGACCTTCCTGATAGGCCAGGCGTGCTTTTTCCCTGCAATGCATCTTCGGGTCAGCAGCCCTTCGTGACCCTTTCAGAAGCTGCGAGGCTTCATCGACAAGGCACTAAGCGTCCGCAAGAGCATCGGAGGAGTGTCCGGCGCCCGTCAGGTGTTGGGGGTCTGCTGTGGGGTCGAAACTCGGCTCCGTGATCCAGCTGTTCGGAGGTCCTGTGATACCTGTATGCCATCCATCTCAATCTCCTTTAGGATATCCAAACACATTGGATGAGTCATCGCCATCGGAACAGCTTCTGCGCTGCACACTGTGAATGCACATGGCTGAGAAGTTCCGCTAATTTCATTGATGTTGTTTGCTACCGCTGGCAGAGTAATCTCAAATGCCCGTGCGTAGACCTACCCGTGGCCGCAACCCAGCCTAAACACCTTCTCAGAGTTGTATAGAACACGGCTAGATGGACACTTGACTGAACCCTCAGGCCCAAGCATGCCTAGTTCCACAGCCCTCAGCTGCAAGCCCATCGAAATTCCTGCGCGGCCTGTCGATGGCATCATGGCCGTCTCTCTTCGGGGGCAAGTTGCCAACGACGAAGGGCCAGGAGGAGGCGTGATTTTTTGGTTTGCTTGGCTTTCGGAGTTTGGTGTGGTAGTGTCCAAAAAACATTTCCCAGAGAAACCCAAAAAGTTGGAAGGTGGCCTGAACCTCCACCATTCTTCGTTACAACCCCGAGAAGCCCCCAACAGAGTCCCAGAGCTATGAAGAGTCAAGACTAAATCCACATGTGTTCATTTTCTTGGGGTTTATAAAGAGGCTTCAGTGCGTCGTGAGAATCTTCTACCCTCACAGCAATCGCACCAAGCCTTCCCAGGAAGAGCTCCGCTGCCGTGTGGCTGCTCTAACGGGGCGACTGGCACAGGCCTCCTTGAGTTGGCAGGTTGAGATCCAAGTCTGTGGGGTTCAGGCGGTTCCAATATATTCTTCCTAAAGCATTCTGGCAGGCACAGCTGCAGTGCCGCGCCCTCGAGGCAGAGGTGGCTGGCGAGGCCCAGGGTGCCTCCACTGGGGCCCGGGGTGTGTTTCGGAGGGCCCGTGGCGTTTGCCTTCAGGGCGAAGGCGCTTCAAGCATTCCAGGCGCCGGTGGCGTCGGCACTCCGCCGCCTGACCGCGGCGCAGCGCCACCTCCAAGTGGCCGAGGCCTCTCCGCACCTTGGCCAACGGGTGCCAGGATCGCATCTCCGTGCCTCTTTGTCGTGTTTACGAAACTTCATAAAGCTTCTTCTCGAAAGCCCCAAGCAGCGGTTCAGGTTTCGGGGTGTCCGCAAGGTTTCCCACTTGGAGCCTGCTTCCTTTCGTTTTTGTACTGCTTGGGTTGCGCGCCGCCATATGGGCACATTGTTTAGAAGGATGCAAGCTCAGGGCTGTTTTAGGCCTGTCGGATTTGTTTTTTCAACTCGTTTCAGAAAGCCGAAGACGTCAGGGAACGAATCCCGCCAGGCATCCTAAACCTGAAGCCGAGGATCAGAGATGGGACCCCGCTCGATTTGGACTGGCTGACGCCAGATGCTGCCGGCTCCGGCGAGGAGCCCGCGGCCGCGACCAAGGTGCTGCCTGGGTCATGGGTCGACGAGGTTAGTCGAGGGAAACGTGACCGCAACCCTTCTCAAACGTTGAGAGCTCTGTACTTGTTAACTTATGTTGCACGTAGACGTAGACGGCAGAATGACGATAGCGCAGTCTGCAGCGTGCAGGTCTCAGAATCCTGGCATCCTAGAGCCGCAAGTTGAAGTTTACAAGGCATTTCTCAAGGAGCCGCGTTTAGTCTTTACAATGCGGTTACACAAGAATCTGTTTCTTGGCTACGCTTTCTTGTTTTGCATAGCCACTTCACATGGAACCATACACAGTTGAGCCAAGTAGGAGCCAAGGTCTCGACCAAGAGGCTTGAAGAAGTTATGTTAGCCGTAGCAGACTAATGGACACAATAAGGACGATCCTGGTATTTTACGGTCTCAGGTACGCTATAATCTTATATGGAGCAGAAATTGCCCACGATATCTACCTTAATGGTGAAGTTAAGACGTTCGACAAGATCATGGCGCTGTAGTGCGCGATGCAGAGAAGAATCTGTAGTTCCTTGAAAGCTTTATCCGAGGGTGGTGGATAGGTCAATTGTGCAATCTTGTTCACTAATCTACGGGTTTTATCCGCCAGCCCGAAGACCCCGTGTCCAAAGCAAGAAGCCACCCAAGCACAACAAGCCGCAGCACGCCCAGGAGGAGATATGAAACACAGTGGAAGAAAGGACTCCTTTGTTTTCTGCTTCATGAACGGCTCGAGTCTTAACTGAGAAGCCCCTGGAAAGCAGAGGCCAAGATGAGCCTCACCTCCGCTGCCTTCGGGGGCCCCTGGCTCCCACGGCGCCTCCGCGAGCTTCCCGAGAAGCTGGGCCGAAGATTCCAGAGCTACCCCCTTGGGCTATCTTTACAGGAATCGCCCTTTTGAGTTCAGCTGTCAGCACATGTCATGCCCATGTCATGCTGCATCATGCCCCCTCGTGTTGCGTGATGTTTGCTATCACTCAGTTATGCTGCCTAAGGCTGGGTCTTTCCCATGAGCAGGCGAGGGCAGGGCGATCCGGACCGCAACATCCACAGAAGCATGGGGCAATATGGGAATTTTGCAAGCCCACACCCTGTCAAGAAGTGAGCGAAGCGAAACGAAGATTTCGATCCGACAGTTACGTATTCCACCCTCTGGGCTGCACTACTGTCCTCGGCATCCTTGCGCAGCAGACGTTCTCATTTCGCAAGCATGGAGCACACTCGTGCCAGGCACTGGACGAGCTCTGCCTCAGTCTGGAAATGGCCCGGCGTGATCGGAACCGCTTCGCGGTAACGGAGTTTGAAGCCTTTGTTCTGGACGCTGAACAAATGGCCCACGAGTGAACCCTGTAAATGGTGGGGTGTTCCTTGCGCCGTCTTCCATGCTCACGGTTGTTTAGTACTAGCCAGAGATGGAAAGACAAGAGACACCTCCGAGCACATGAAAAAGCTGAAGGAAAAACATATCATCTTGTGCGATCGCTTATTGTCTCAGGCTTTGTTCTTATTGTTATGGTTTTCTGTTCTTTTGCACAGAGTCCGATTCACATGAACTGTATTTCACGAGCTCTTCCATCCACTTGCAAATATACTTCAATATTCAGGAGCTCGGGGATGCTTTCCTGCGCAACTTTCTATGTCATTCTCCTCATTCACCGACGGCGCAAGCAAGTAACCAACCAATTGAGGGACTTGTTTTTGTGTCGTTTTTTCGCACACGAGGTAACCATATAAGATGTAAGAACCTCTCACCTCGACAACATGTATGGCCGTGTTCAGAACAATAGGCGCTGCTTTTGGTGTTGATGGGAAGCTGTTGTTATTTCTTTGCTTCTTGCAAGAGGGGGCACGGCTGGCCCAAGGTTACTTCGACCAGACCCTCGAATGCCGGCAGGTGCTGCTGATGCTCGCAGCAAGACTTTGGGATAAACACTTTATTGTTGAAACGAAGCCACGAACTTGAAGTTGCTTGCGTTTCAGCTATATTGGAGGATTTGGAGGGCTGCTGGACTTCGAACCCGAAGACAAGCACCAGACTTCACGGACTGGCCTCAATTACACAGCCACTGTATTCTAGTCACATGCCGTGTCAGCACCCGGATGCAGGGTTTGCCCGTAACCCCAAACACAGCTGTAAGGAAGGGCTCTCGCGAGAAAACCTCCTCGAGCAGCGCGCCAGCCTCGGCGCGCGGCCGCCTGTCCGCTGACAAGGCCCCGGAGGAGATTTGCTGTGAAGAAGGGGCACTTCGGGGAGATCCAGGAATGCGGGGTTAATTTCCTTCTGTTCGGTGGAAGAGGTTCAAGGGAAGATGTACAATGTCGCGGTTGAGGAACATTGAAGGCTTTTTGCGATCCTTGTTGGCCTGCGTCGGTCATTTCGGCCTCCGCTTGGGTCCTGTCAAGCTGCCCTTCACATCTTGTGTCACCGTGTACTTCGGCCTCCACTTGGGCACGCTGCTGCACGCGTCTTTGCATCTTGCTTCCTCGTGTACTTTGGCCTGCAGTTGGGCAGTTAAGTTCTGCATGCCTATTGCATCCTTCACTGAGGATGTTACTGACTTGTTTGTCACACAGAGCACACGCTCCACTTCCCCTCACTTTTGCACGCACTTCAAGGCAGGAGGTCCCCAGGGGATGTGGCGTCCTCGACGACTGCATGAAGCCGTACAACCGCCAAAAGCTTAGCATGTGCAAGTTGAGAGCGGTGAAGTCCTGGACTTTCCGGGTGGCAACAATCCAGAAGACGCCCAAAGTCCTGCAAGAGATTTCTCGCCCCGCCGCGTGTCCGGGTTTTTCTCAGAGAGAAACATATGCTGATATTTTCTATGCTATATATGTGTGTGTGTGTGTCCATATAAATACATCAATCGATAAGCATAAGTATAAACATAAATACACAATATATGTGTAGACATACATATATGTATATATACATGAAAAGAGAACGCGCGGAAGAGACAGACTGACACGTGGGCCGAAGGTCCCCGGGTCAGCTTCGCAAACAGCCTATTAGCACGCGAACCCCAAACTCCTAAACCAGTTCGGCCGGTCTACGGCTCCGAAACTGCTCCAGTCCTAGTGGCTGCAGTAGCTGCAGCAGGGGCTGTCTGAGCCGCAGGCCTTCGCTGCTCCTACACGCCGAGCGGCGACCCCGCGGGGAAGGCCGCAAGGGAATGGTTTTCTCCAGCGGAGTTTCACCTCTCGCAAACAGTCCCCCCCTCCTCCCCGCAGGCGTTTCCCAAAGTCCTCGACTTGGACTCCCTAAACCCTTGGAACTCGTAGAGCCTTGAAACCCTTTGAGTGAAGCACTCCAAACCGCATCAAAGCCTTGAGGCTTCCACCTTTGCCGCCGAAGCGCGCCCAGTCGGGAAAGCGGTGGGAGAGCTTTTGGCAGGATCCTCTCGCCCAGCAGTTTGCTCAGGGTCCAGATGTCAATGTCGCCTACTTTGCTCATGAACCACTACCGCAGCCTTGAAGGATTCTTGGGTCGTTCCTGGGTCGTGCTCGGTGTTGCGGCTCGTTGACGCATGCACGAGACGCGTCCCAGGCTGTAGTGAGTGAAGCCGTATGCACCTGCAGGCTCCGGTAACCGGGAGCTGTGTAAAGCTGGTTTGAAGTATCTGGGGCGCTGCGAGGTCCGAGGTTTTGGTACGGAGGGCCGCCCTCAGGGCTTCAATGTAGGGGCCCCAGGTCGATGAGGAACGCAGGCTATCGCAGGCTGTAGGTGTTGAGAGCCAAAGCTTGACGTCGAAATTCCTTTTTATGTTGAGTTTGTTTTTTGATTTGGGGGCTGCTGTAGGCCTGTAAGCTGAGACTAAGCTGTGGGGTTCCCGGTCGCGGGCGGACTGGAGCTTGTTCATAGCCTGATAGCCTTCTCAGCGCCGTCTTGTCACGTTCCCCCAAGAGTCCGAATGACCACGAGGAGCTCACCAGCACCGACCCGGCCATTCTGCCCCTGGAGCAGTCTTTGAGAACGGTTTTCTTGCCTCTTTTTCAGAGCCCAGGGAACCTTAGAATGCATGCAATGCAATTGATCAGAGCTCTAGAGCAGTCCCTTCAATCGATGCTTGCGTCTCGGGAGCAGACGAGGTCTTTGGAATCCGACAGACAGCACTGGCAAAGTCCCCGTGGCAAGAGCCCAAGGCAACAGCCACCGAGGAGCGCGAGTTAAGTCAGATGCGCGTGTCTGAGGGCATTCAAAGGCCCGTCCCCGTCTGGAAGGACCCGCAGTGATTCCAGCGAGTCCAGTGCTCATCTCAAACCAGACCCTGGTCTGCTTTAAACATGGGGCAGGCTTCCGGTTAGGACCTCGACCATCTGCGTGCACACTGACATGAACTGGCCACCTTACCCAGGAGTCCTTTGAGAATGAGTCCTGCCCACTGACTTTTCACAGTTATCGGCCCTCAATCATGAAGCCCTGTACTGGGTTTACAGCTCACAGATCTCTCAATTCATATGTTGAGGCCCTTTATCATAGGCCAACCTGCCAGCGCGCTTTGCGCTGAGGACGCCATGTCAAAGCACCTGGCTGAGCGTCGCGAGCTGGAAAGGCCGAAGCTTCCAGCAGTGGTGGGAGTGTTTATGGCTTTGGGCCAAGGCGGTCATGGGTCGGGTAACAGCTTGGGATGGAGACTCCGGAAATGGCACCCGCAGCCTGGAACGCCCTGCGTTCTCCCCTCTCGAATTTGAGAAGCAACCAGCTGCCCAGTGCCTACTGTGAAAACACCTGAGAAGTGCAGGCAGCTTTGCTTCTGGGAAGAGGAGACCTTGAAGCTTTGCGAGCGCCGCTCGGAGCACATGACATCGCCATGTAGGACTTGCATGGTGGCGTCCGCGCAGAGGTAGGTGTGTGTGTGTGTGTCAGGCATAGTGAGAGTGGATCCTAACATCAAGGTGCCTCCGGACCCCGTTTTGAGAAGCGGGCACCCTGAACCCGAACCAGAAACCCGAGTTTCTGTCTTCAAGGCGACCGGCGCGCGGAATCGTCGCTGATCTGGGCAGGGTGCCGCGGATGACAGGGTTCCAGAAACATGAGTTGAAGTTTCCATCTGTGAGCTTTTTTTTTTGGATGGTGTACCTGAAACTGGCCATCAACTTTCGAGGGCTCTGCGGCTTTTTCTGTGTTCCAGGCGCCTCCGGGAGGCGTGGGAGGAGCTGGACGCAGACCCTCGCTGGTTGACGAAGGGGATGTTTGAGTCAAATTTGACGCAACTTCGAGGGGGGGGGCCTTTTTGACGTAAGCTTGGGGGCTTGCTTTTGTGGGGTTTGAGGGAGGTTCTGTCAACAACTGCGCTTTGGGGCGCCGAAAGAGAGGCTCTTCGAGTTCAGGGTTTCAGGAGGCCAGACGGTCTGGGCTCTAGGGGGTTATGAAGTGGACAGTGGATGTGATTTGGGGGAGTTTGGAGGTTTGGGCTGTTGTGGGGTCACTTAGGTTCGGAGCTGAGGGCCTCAATTTTGGCTTGAGCTTGGATGAGCATGGAAGAAGATTGTTGAAGCCATGGTTTGTGGGTTTCAGCGCAAAAGGGACGTTTAGGGATGTCCCAAGGCTTGGGCAGAGACCAGGCCAAGACTCAGACCCTTTCATTTGGCTCGGTTCGGCATTCCCGCTTGGTTGAGGCAACTTTCAACGCGTTGGCGATTCTCACGCCCGAGCGGATGGCCGCCATGGTGGGACAAAAGACACGTCAACCCAACCCGAACCTTACAGACCTGGTGCAGTAGACCAGCAGACCGTACCAAGCCGGCTGAAGCCCCACAGTCCTCAGTCCTGGCACTCCCACGACGGGTCAGCTCACCTTCAAACCAGAAAGGTTGAGGTGTCCCGGTCCGAATCAAGAAGCCCTAAGAAGATTCGAAGCTTCCAAGCTTCAACCCCAAGACCCGAAATACCCAACTCACAGCACCCGGTTCCACTTGTGTGGCCATCCTCGAAGCCCGATGGCCCCCACATCCAGCCGACAAACCTGCAGACCTCCGCTCGCAACGAGGCTCGGAATGCTCGGCCTTGGCCTAGCATCGGGGGCCGACGAGAAGTTCGATGAGGCGTGACAACTACTGCTCGCTATATCCAGCGGGCATGACCGGCCTGGGTTGAGACAGGTAGTCCGGTGCATATCTGCAGCACGAGGAGGCTCCAAACAGCGATGTTGGTGCACCGCAGCACTTCTAGAACCCCAAGAAAATCAGTGCCAACATGCGAACCCGCAATGCTTTCCCTACGACTCAGACCCGTCAGCAACAGGCCAAGAAATCCCACCAAGCCTAGATTTCTCCGTCTCTTGCCGCCCTCGGCCACAACACTGTGGTCCCAGAGGTTTCGATTTGCAAGGTCTAGGAGTCTAACATTTGTAGGCTTCGGGACAAAGGTTTCCTGTTGCCAGCATGTTGCCTTCTTTGGGCCAGTCGCTTGCAGCCTTTGTCCCGGTGCCGCTTCTGTTGCGGCCGGCAACTGGAGAAAGCGGCGCAGTTTCGCGATGCGGGCATCTTATCTGAGTCTATATAAGTTTTGATCAAGTTCCTGGCTCTCCCCTGCCAAGCCCTAGCGCAGCTCGGCCATCTACAAAGCTCTTTTTGAGAAGGTCGGTCCCAAGAGGCAACCACCCGACAGCCAGACGATGGAATTTGGCAGTGCTTGCTGCGGCGATGGCATGGGCAGCAAAGTCTGCCCAGGCCAAACCAAAAGCGACAGCAGCCCGGATTCGGAAGGTGCCGGGCTTCATGTGCTCATAGAATTGTGTCATAGTAGAGTGTCGCGGACTTGGAGGAAGCCCTACAGGTCAGCATTCTCAGCAGATCCCATCGTCGCCCGACCCAAACTACTTCAACCCGAAACCCATACGGACATTTATGGACCTGACAGCGGGCGAAACCCTTTCCAGCACTGCGACAATCCCAAAGGTGGAGGTTCCGGCAATCACGGAGGCTCCGCCAGACGTTTCTCCGGCCAGGAAGAGGGTCTGGATGCTGGGCAGCAAGCCAGTATCAGTATTGCTCAACAAGGCTTCACATGTTTACGCGGAAATGCGGTCGGGAGCCTCTGTCGGACGGCAAGCAGAACCCGAAAACAACTTGTTGAAAGGGCCAACGCCCTTCCGGATGGAAAGATAGTATTTTCCAATTTTGCCAGCCAGCAGTCATAGTAGAGGCCTCTGGAACACTAGGCCTGAAGTGATCTCTAATGATTAAAGATATGGATGACAGAAGAAACTCCGCCACCAAATTCCAGGAAGGCCCGGAAGTCCCTGCAATGCATCGACGACGTCTTCGTGGAACTGCTGGAGGCCCTGCTGCGGCGCAACAACAAAGCACCGAAAAACTGAGGGATGTTTAGGGTTTAGGGTTTAGGGATGTTTTGGCAGGGTCAAAGAGGGGCTCGACTGGATTTTTTGGCTAGTCGTGGGAGTCTTGGAGGCTTTCCTAGGGTGCACGGTGCCAGGAGGACCGCGGCGCAGCGCTGCGCCGGGAGCTACAGAAGGCGAGGAACCTTTGAATTTTGGAGGCTCATCAAACTGAGACGAGGCATGGAATTGAATATTAAATACATGGTACCATCTAGTACTAAAAACATGAATGCCATATATATATATATAGATGTGTATATCTGTGTGTGTGTCTCGACATGTGTACATTTACAAATGCATTCATTCGTTTATGCTCTTTCCGCATATTTCGTATAAACGTGGCTATCGACACATGAGCACATGTATGTGCTTCGTATTTGCGGGCCCATTTTTCTTTAGTTGCGAGTGTGCACACGAGTGTGGGTATGCAACGAGCGTATGTATGCAATGTATACATGGGTGGCGTTGCTCTCCGAGTTTGGGGGATGGCAGTTCAGCCAACAGCCTATGGCAGAGTAGGATCACTTGCAGACCTATTTCGTATACAGTAAACCCCCTAACAAAACCTGCATCACTTACCGAGCCCTCGCTAGGTCATTGCAGAGCTGGGACCAGTGACGCAGCTGGCACAGGAACGGGAACCCCTTCCAGAAAGCACCAATCTTGAAGTCCCATCGAAAACCCTCAAGCTTTGGGTTTCAGTCGCGATTGGTCCTGCTGCAAACTTAGCTTGGGAACTGCTTTGACGGGATTTGCATGGCTTTGCTACAGGACCTCGTGGATGAGCCGGGTCTCTTGGCCTCATTAGCTCGACAGTTCTGTCCGCTGAGCTTGCAAGCGTTTGCGGTGTTGACAGGGCCTCCTTGCCGGTAGTAGGAGAAAGTTTGGCAGAGAATCCGAAAAAGCTTTGCGGAGTTGGCGATGGGTGGAGGGACCGGCGGGTATCGAACAGGAGGAGGTCGGGCGCATGTTCGAGGACAGTCAACACACCTGGTTTCTGTAGAAGAGGAAGTTGCCATGGCCAAGATCACCGAGCCCGCTGAGGACCCAACAACGACGCCGACACCATCCTGGCACTGATCGACCGACTCGGCCGTGAGTTTCGCCTTGCGGCCACCCATCCCAGAAGAAGGGGACTTTTGGGCTTATGGGGGTTCCCAGCTTATGGCGGGACTGGGGGGGACCTTCCGGGTCCTCAAGCCGAAGCCTGGGGTCTGAGGTTGCGTGGACCAGTGAGGCCGACGACTGCTGGAACTGGTCATGCAACGCCACCCGTCGAGCATGGTGTGGTTCTAGGGCCGGGCCTTCCGCATTGCCTAAACTGTTAAGGGGTTGAAGCAGCATCAGCTAAACGTGTCCGGCGTACTGCTGCGGGGTCTCATTGTGGGTCTTGTGTAGATCTGGTATCTTCATGATGCCCTAGGCCTTGAGACCGACACATCGAAATCTCCAACCTAAATCACTCCGATACCTTTTTTGCAATCATATGCTTTCTCCTATCTTTAGCAGGTGCAAGAGCTGGATGAGGCCAGGGTCAGTTACCTCGAAGCTGTGGATGTGCTGCTGGAGCTGGAGAGCTTCTGAGCCCCGTGAGTGGAACACAGAATCTGCCGAATCGTTGCAGATGGCACCCCAAAACGCCCCTCACTTTTAAAATCGTCTGGGACGTGTAAAGGGGCTAAGCTAGGATCTCAAAAACTAGTCTTTGTTGCACTCGGGATGTTTGAAAAGGTTTCAGCGGGCTTGGAATACAGGACTCGGGCTTCAAGAACGCAGAAGCTCTTTGTAGGCGGGCGCGCCGCCACCCAGGTTTCGTGGCAAAAGCGGGCTTATGAAGCGTTTCACCGGATCCGACGACAGAGCTCGCTATCAGAAAGTCAAGCGCGCCCAGCTCAGGCTCCAAATCTTACAGCCCAACCCCAAGGGATGCAATGTTGCAAGCGTTTTGGGTTTTGAGGGTTCTTGTGCAGAGCCGGGTAAGCTTCCGACAGGCGGAGAAACGAGTTCGCAACATCCGCGACCGTGCAAGCTGGCCGCAGTCGGGAGCGAGAATTACAGGTTTATGGGCTTGGCAGAACTTCACAGGCCCAAGCCAAAAACGAGCATCACCCCAAAACCAGCCAAGCCTCGAACGCTCTTACTTTCCTAGGCCAGACCAAACGACGCTGAACCTTCCAAAGCCCAAAACCATAATGGGTATTCTGTGCTGTGAGGTCCTGGACAGTTTTCCCCCTCGTCTGGAGTGGCGTGTAAACTCGAACATGCTTGCCGGACATGTGCCCTAGTTTTCCCATGTCCGCTAGGCGGGCGGCAAAAAAAGATCAGGATTCAAAATCAGGGGTTTTCAAGTCATCTACACCATCCTTCAACGTGAAAGCCGCCTCTGTGAGGTGGCCTTCCTCGGCAGCGCCCTGAAGACGCCGCCCCCGGCGCCAGCTTCTGGAGCCACGGCAGAGTTACCTGGTGGGCGCTCAGAGACGTTGTGGAGCTGGAGTTTTTGATTCGCAGGGGGCCGTGGGTTTGGGGGCCTTCGGGTTCGGGTTTCGAGTTTGGTGGGTGGGGGAATGGCTTGTCGATTGTGGGGTTCGGGTGTTATAGGATTGGTTTGTCTTCAATTCTGAAGCCCCAAGACAAGTCCGCTGAAGCCAGAGCAGGCGCCAGCGCCAGAACACATGACATGTTGAACCCAGTTGAACTCCCAAAACCAGAGCAACTCAGATGTCTGCATCCAAATGAAGGGCCATGGAGCCTCGGAATTGTGGCCGCCGCAATCCCTGACTCCCAAATCTCCACCCCTCCTGTGGCACGCAGAGGTTTGTGGTCGTCACCAGGCCCACGGAGTTGGATGCAGCGGAGGCACAGCGCTTGGCGACTCGGCCGCTGACTTGACAGGGTCTTGGGGCTTTGGGGTTTGGGGCCCGGGCCTTTGAAGCACACATGCCCGGGAACAATAGAAGTTATAGAAGCAAAGGTGGCGTTTGGATGTTCTCAAGGATCCAGCACGATTACGTTGGCACTTGGTACAGGATCAACTATTCTGTGCACACAAGCGCACGGGATCGACTGAATGGTTGCATCGATCATTTTGCCTTGCAAGCGGCCGCATGCGGCCGTCTTCTCAGAGTACGTCGATTTCAAGGCTTGTGAAGACGGCCCTTAAACTCTTACCGTCACAAGCTGCCAAGGTTCAACTGCAACGTGTTGTTGACTGTATTCACTCATGTGGTGCTGTCGGTGGTGCTGTCGGTGGTGCTGTGTTTCAGCACCTTGCTTGTCCGTGAGGTGCACGAACTGAAATCGCAGGGCATCTGCTGCCGGAGGCTGGAGTCTTTCGGTGTTGAGCCACAAGCAGCCTTCGAGCCTATAGGGGCCTATTATTTAGGGTCTCCAGGCCGCTAGGGGGTTTAGCACAGCTTGCAGGCTGATTGTGAACCAGCTCATTGAGGAGGGCAGTGGCGAGGCGGAGCTACTTCAAGTCTCAGTCCAATGCGAGAGCTGGAATCTGAAGTTCTTGCCTCCTGCAATCTCCCACAGGCCTATTGGAAGGCGCGGGTGGACTCGCAGGTGCAGGCTGGGACCGGCAGCGACCCGCAGCTTGAACCAATCGCCTGCACCTCCAAGTAGCTTCAAGATGAGCTGTTTTGTCTCTCATGATTGGGTTCCGTGGCATGTTCTTCCTCGCATCAGACTCGAGTACCAAGAGTAAATCTGCAAGTGCGGACCTCTTTGGCGCTGCACAGCCCGCCAGGTGCTCACCGAGCTCCGGAAAATCTGCTCCGCGAAGTCGTTGCCCATGTACGAGGCGAGTAGGATCGTATGTCGTTCGGGCCGGGTGCTCCGAGTTGGGCAGCACGCTCTGCAAATGGAGTTGTAGCTAACCATGAAGGAATCGGGCCGTTTGCTACTGCTGCCGCTGCAGCAGCTGTTGCAGCACCTGTTGTTGCAGCTTTGATTTTTGTTTTTTTCTTGCTGCTTGCTGTTGATGTTGCTGTTGGTGTCTTTGCAATTGTGTGGCTTCTGTAACATGAAGCCCCAAGCTCCGTCTTCCCAGCCTAGAACACCAGCAGGTCAGTACCCTACCTTTCAACTGGAGCCGGAACAGATGTGGAGGTGGGCGACCGGCCTGAGAACCTGGTGGGCCCGCCGGCCCTGGGATACTTGGTCCGGGGCCTTCATGTTTAGGGGAGTATCTGGGGGTTCTGTGTTTTGGAGGATATAGAGAGTCATAGAGAGCCTGTTTTTTGAGTTGCATCGTGTTGCGTGTGGTTCTTTGGGTTCGGTAGTCACGGTTAGTCTGTTTCCACCCGTGTAAGGCCCATGATCGATGTCCGGGGCTTCCATGTTCCCAAGCTCTAAAGTTTCAACCTGACACGCCCTCGCTGGATGCTTGAGCGCTGGGCCCTCGAATCCTGATCCCCAGTCTTAAGTCTTAAGTCTCGTTTTGTTAGGGCCGCCCCTCAAGTCAAACGGCCCTCAAAAGCTCCTCAGCCAGGAGCCGGACGCCCTGAACCCTGCAAACGAGGCCAAACCATTCCCAGCCAGGCATCGCTGGCTTTTGGTGATGCTTCAGCCCTGCCAACGACACAGGCCCGGCCGGGTTGCGCTATTTAGGCTCAGGCTTTGGGATTGCAGGGTTGGCAAGTCATATAGAGTGTAGGGCATAGGGCCAACAGGGCTTTGTGGTTGTAGTCGGCCGTCTTTGAAGCTACTGCTGTTCGGAAAGCCGAACGAATCCCTTCAGTCTTCGGAACGGGTCTTCCCAACCCAAGACCTTCGAATTCACTTTTCACATGCCAAAGCCACAGCCCCCAGATGGGCATGGCATTCTGCAAACCCATCATCTGAAGGCTCGAACCCTCGAACCGCGTTGAGGGCAAGCGCTTTGGTTTAAGACCTCTTTGCTCTCGGGTCATGTACTTCGATAGCATTTTTGTTTCTTGCGTTGCTCGTGGGCAATGCCACAGCCGGCCTAAACTCAACCCAGTCGAATACTGCAGGTGACTCTCTTTGGCGGGAAGGGTGGCGTGGGCAAGCGGCTTGATGGCAGTACTTCTTGTTGAAGCACGTCGCATATGGCCCCTACCCCCCTCCCGAATAGTCGAAGCTGGCTAAGGACCCTCTTCAACCGAAGCCCCCGTATCCGTATGATTGTAATGGGATGTGTTAAGAAGAACAGCCTGAGGGGTTGAGGGCTTGGAGACCTCCTCCTCCCCCCCCCCCCACCTTCGAAGGGATGACGGTTGCTCCCCGCCTCTAGGCCCGTGGAGACCAGGCAGGCCTTTGAAATCCAATCCAAGGCTCCCTCGGCTTAAGCCTTAAGATTTCAAGAGCCGGGGCCTTGAAACCAGGAGGCCAGGCCTTGGAAATCCAAACGCGGCTTCGGCTTTGGCGGCTTTGAATGGTAGGCCTTAAGATTTCAAGTGTGATGCTGCGCACCCGCCTCCTACGATAAGGGTACTCTGACAAAGTACCTGCACCAACACAAATGAATGGGCATTTCAACAATAGTGGTACCCTTTATACCCCCCCAATATAGTATCATCCTGGCTCTTTGTGCCCCGCCCCCCCCCCCCCCCCCACCAAAAAAAAAAAGATGAGGAGTGCCCTATCTTGGGGAAACCTCCCCAACTTCATTCGGCCCGAGAGCTTCTTAGGACTTCCATGTCCTCGGCCATGGCGGTAAAGACTGCCATGGATGGACAGCGGGCCGCACCCTCGGCCCCGATGGTCCCTTCAACCCTACAATCGCAGATTTCTGAATGTTATGCGCTTTGCTTCGGTGGCCCTGTCGCGTTGCAGACGGCATGTGCCTTTCTGAAGCCCGGAAGCTAATATGCCCAAGCCCGAAGTACACAGGTGCTGATCATATCGACCGACCCAGCCCACTCGCTGGGAGATGCTTTGGGCTGCAAGCTCTCAGTCCCGGGGCTTAGCTCAGGGGGGTGAACATTTTCGGGTTCTGGGTCTCGGGCTGGTGGTGCTAGTAAGATCTAGGAGTGCGTTCAGAGGTGTTGCGCGGAATATATCTGTAGAAATTGGGGAGAAACGAGGGTGAGGCGACACACAGTTCGGCAACTAAGTGCTATGGCTCATACAGGAGATAGTGACATGCCGCATCGCTCGGGTTGTTCATTCTCGGAGGGTGGCCGTGGGACGGGCAGCCAACTCAATACTTAGCATTGAGAACTTGAATGCGTAGCTAAGCTTGAGCAATGCCTCACTCATCTACATTGATGAATCCTAGGCATCAAAGATCTGGTGCTTCGCACGGATAGATGCCCACACGTGGACATCACACCCTCACCACTGGCCGCAACAAGCGCCAAAACACGCACTTAGACTGGACATGAAATCCCTCAAGCTGCACACATTCCCAATTCGTATTCCTGATCTTCAAACCCGACCTGGCATGGAAGTTTGCAAGTTGCCCACAAGTCCCTGTTTCCTTAGCCGCCTCAACCCCCTTTCCGAAACGAACCTCAACCCGGCAGACGCAACACCAGGCTTCTGCACAGCCCGTGGAGAACTTCGCAGGTGCTGGCGAGCTTTTTGCCATGGAGGCCCGAAAGCCCCGAAGTCTCGACCTGAACCTCCGGAAGGCCCCGGGCCCCCTGGCTTCCCAGAGTGGCGCGAGGTCGACACAGCAGCGGCCATGAAGCGATTTCAAGAGACGGCCGGCTGCCAAAGGGCTGTTGTTCTTGGGTGGCTACGTAGCTTCTCGGGAACAGGGAAGAGAAACCAGAGCGTTCATCTCTATTCGACACACAAGGTCCGGGACGCGCTGCAGCGGAGGCAGAGCGATGGCGGAATCGTTGGGCAGGTGTTGAAGCAGCTGCCCATGCAGGATGGGGGGCCTTGGAGTTTTCAAGGGCAGTCCAGTAGAGAGCCCCCTCGTGGGCTGCAGCATGTGGTTGTTTTGGTTCAAGTTCGAATCAAGAGCTGGGATGTGTAGGGCAGTGTAGGGCTTGCTGAGGTCCCCCAACGAACACGTCGACGAAGCCGCCTGTGCAGGACTTCGTTGACCTGTTCGACACCCTGCCACCGGGCAGCGACGAAATCGTGGCACTGACGGAGGTTCTAGAGACTTGGCAGGGCAGCCGAGTGCTTGGTGGGACCATAATGACAGTGATGAAGAGAGCGATGTTGCCCAGTGTACCGTGATTTCTTAGGACGATCTTTCCAAGGGTGGCAGGCATTCAGGTTAATTCCTGCAAGGCTGACGGCTGCCTTGCTAAGACCTCTTCTTGCATCGCAAAAACTCGCAAAATGAAGTGACGTCTTGGGAAGAGGCAAAATCCTGCAGCTCTGAAATTCAGGCGCTGGTAATCTGCACGTCCCGAAGTGAAGGCATGAAACGAAGGCTAGGACGTTTTCGCCACCGGCAGGCATGTTCGATGGCACGATATATCACAGCAGGCTTTGTGAAGCACCACCTCTAGGCCAACCTCATGATTTCAAAAGCAACGTTTCCTTACTCGGTGCTGTCGCTGCAGGAAAGCGTGTGCCTGCTAGTTGCACATGCGTCGCGAGACGGTGTTGGTTCCCGTTAGATTAGGCCAACGTCTTGCTTGAGAGGTTTAAGGCAAAAGATGGGATTTGATCAGATGTTGCTTGGATGATGGGCAGCAGCTGAGGAGAAGGTGGAGAAGGACCTTTCCTTGCAGCGCTCTTTGTAGAGTAGCCACTTGCCCCCCCCCAAGCCCCCACATCTTCAACAGCCTGAAGCAGTTTGGCTGTGAGTGGCCTGATCTTTGAACGGCTGGCAGCAAGAAGATTTTGTGTGCACAAGCCCCCTTGCAAGGGGTCAGGTAGCCTTTCTGTCGCTTTGAGCACGATGTTGTGGAACAGCTGCTGTTGCTGCAAGGAGAAGTTCGACCGCATCATCATCGACACTGCGCCCACAGGCCCGCATGGATAAGCCTTGTAGGATGTTCAGACTATGAAGGGTTTGTCTGGGTGGCTCTCGTGCTCATCCAAATCTTGCGCATTACAAAGTCCCCGAAGCCCGCAGCTCTCCACGAGGCCACGCCGTGCGGCTCCTGACATACCCTGACTTCCTGGCTGCATAGCTGCACTCGGGGGGTGACTTGCTAAAAGCCGCGGGCGAGGGTATCATTTCATGCGATGGAGGGGAGGTTAACTCCTATTTTTCGAAGAAGCCCCCGATTAGAGTAAAGCTTTCAGGAGCGCTTGGCTGAGCGGGTGGCTCGGCTGCGGGAGCGCTTCGGGTGGCTTTCTGGAGAAAGCAAAGGCCTGGTCTCGGGGATATTTCTTGATTTCTATTCAGTCTATTCACCACCCGGCAAGTTGGATTCTAAATGTAATGTGCCCCCCCCCCCCCCCCTCAGGGCCTCAAGCCTTTGGGACCTTAAAGCCTGAAGCTTTCCAGCCTTTAAGATTCCTGGAGCCCAAGGGCCTCAGGGCCTCAAGCCTTACTGCGTAAGCCCTGAACCCGTAAAAAAACCCATCGTCCGGAAGACAACTGTGCATTATAGAGGGTGACCAGACAAACTTACTAAAGACAGTCCGGCCGGCCCGTGGACTACTTATCACAAAATTTGTTTGGGGCCTCGTTTCGTAGTGAAATTCCATAAGGCTTTACATGGAACTGGCGGGGCTTGGCTTTGTGGATTCTCCGGGCTGTAGCTCTTTAAGATTCCTGGAGCCCAAGGCCCTTTCTGCATAAGCCCTTGACCCTAAACACGAACCCTTAAAAAAGACAACCGCCCGGAAAAAAACACTTGTGATGGTAGCGGGTCACTCCAACAAACTCGGTTCGCAGAATAAATGTTCGAAACTTGTGAGTATGGACGGTGCGTACTTTAAAGCCAGTGCAACATTAAAGGACGAAGTGGCACGCATCATGTGACGCAACGTGCTCAGGACGGCAGACAGTACAGCTGTCATGTAGGCTTTGAGGCAGCACAACGTTCAGGGCAAAAGGCGGGCAACTGTACCAAAATGTGACTTGAATAAGCAGTCCAGAAAGGCTCAGGTGGGCAACTGTACCGGCATGTTGCCTTCATAGGCAGGACAGGGAGGCTGAGGCGGGCAACCGTGCAGATGTTGCCCAAAGCTTTCGGAAAGAGTCGGTTGTAACATGTTGCAACAAACAAAAACTACCAGCCTGCAAGGCTCACTCCACCAAATTCACAACACCAAGCCCCAAGAGGCTATGCCTTATCTTCTCCCGCCGCAACAGAAATGGGGCCGTAGTGCTGCCCGAGAAACCTTCACCTTGTGCTAAAGCTTGTTTCCGTCGGACCAGAAATTCTGAACCAGCATGGAAAACAGCAGCAAAGTCCTCCCTTCACAACACCGCAACCTTAAATCCTTGCGGTTGGCTTTTTGGGCTTGGGTGGGGATGTTCGAAGTGTTCGAAGTGGTAGTTAGTTTATCTTATTTACAAGTATAATTTTCGGATTCTTTTGGGCCAGTGAGTTTCAGAGTGCGGCTCAATCAGGCTCAATCGATTTTCAGTGCGGTATAGTTCGCACTTGCACCCGGAAGCCGCCAAGGCCCACACACAACACCCAAGCAAGCACCTCAATTGGCTGCACTCCGTGTGTTGCCAGGCGCAGATCAGGTTCGATCCTTTCAGTTCCGGATGATTGAGCTGCAGGTGCCTTGGGGCCGGGGGCCGGGGGAGTTCAGGCTTCCAAGGATGTGGAGACCCACACACACACACTCTTGCACATGCAATGCAATGTACATCTATATGTGCAAAAAATTGTCTGATATGAACAGGTACATGTTGATAGCGATGTATATATATATATATATCTATTTATTTTGCTTATTTATTTGTTTATTTATTTAGTTTTTATTTATTTATTTATTTATTTATTGTTTATTTATATTTATATAGATATAAGCAATAGATAAAAATATGTGTATACATATGCGGCCGAGGATGATTGCCCAAAACGCTGCGTCCTTAAGTCTTCAGGAACTCTTCACTGACCCGGAACGCGACCTGCATCGCATCACGGGGGAGGGGTTGAAGGAGTGTGCATGATTTGCCGCGCTTGTTCTCACGACTGCACGTGAGAGAGGGACTTGCATGGTTCTTGTTTTGGACCTACGCTTGGCAAGAGGGGCATGGCGAGCAGTTTTCTTATTGTTTGATAGCCCGCCAGAATCCACCCCAAAACGTAGATGCCAAAGCAACCACAAAGCCCAAAGCCCGAGAGCTTTGTGCAACTGCCGTTCCGAGGTAGCTCCTTCTCTGTGGTGACCATCCCGACCACACTGGCGCTGGAGGAGACAAAGCGTCTGCTGGTGCAACTGGAGGAGCAGGCTGCCAGGACGCGTTTAAGGATTTGAAAGGGAAGTTTTGTCTCGCAGCGAGGATCAGTTGGAGGGTTTTCCTCCGACTGACATGTTTGTTCTGGCCTGTGTACTTTGAGCGCGGTCATCGGCAGTCGGTGCCCGCTAGTGACCGCCGCTAGTGTTTGCGAACCCTAGATTCAGGTTTGAGGTTGCAGGATGTGCAAGGAGACAACCACCAAGCGCTCGCAAAACCAGACATAAGCGCAGACGTCTTTAAAGTTTAAATGCGCCGGGACTCTGTCAACAAGTCCTCGAGGTATCTGATGTTTTATTTGTTTGGGTCCTGCGTTGAGAGATCCACAGACAGAAACCAAGGACATCCGATGCGGTCTGGCTCCTGCCTCGGATGTCGTCCCTTGTGGGGTTGGCCTGTTGATAGGGGCTTCTCGGGCAGTTCTTGTCGGAGCAGAATTCGAACTGAAACTTTGGTTTCTGCGATTTCTTCTCTGGCTCGTCTTGCTCTGGAGGTCATTGCCAACCGCATCTTGGACATTGAGCAGGCGCGGACGAAGCACCCACCAGCTCATCCACAGATAGTTCGGGATCGGTGGTTCTGGAACATCCAAGTGGCAGGTGGGCCAGATGGCGGCGAGCCAGCAGAAGACCCAGAAGGTCGGCCTCAGAGCCTATTCTGGGTTTAGGGGCAGGCTTCCGGGCTTTAGAATATTTAGCACAGATGGCACGCTCAGCGCCCCAAGGCCCCCCTTAAGGCAGCTCTTGCAGGTGGCCTTGGATGCTCTGGAAGCCCTGGCCAAGCGTGAAGGATTGGAGGCGCCTTGTTTTGAGTTACTCCTGCACTTCGCCCTTGGTTGTTCCAGTGCTGGTTCCGGTGGTTCCTCGGTGTTGGTTTTTGGTTGGGGAGGGGGTGTCTCCAACTCTGAATTCACAGAAGGGATTCTGAAGGCCGAGGGGAAAGGACTACTTTGTGATTCTGTGCCAGATTGAGGGCTGAAGCTGCTAGGTGTCTTGCTTTGCCGGCACCCCTGTGAGGTAGTTCGCGTGCCTTACCTCGATCGTGAGGTGCAAGGCATCTATGGCTTGCAGTATCTAGGACAGAACCTCGTGGAAGCCTGACGGTCGTTCAGAGCTGGCCCCAGAACCTCGAGGCAGGCGTAAGCCTGGACGTGCAGGGCACACGTGCCAACCCCCTACAAAGACAAACCAAAGACTCGTCACCAGGAGGTTCCTCCAAAGTGTTTAGAAAGTTTTCTGGCAGCTGAAGCTGAGGCAAGTCCTGGCTCCTAGAGGGGTGGGGCGAAGGGACAAGTCTCAAATCCTTGACTAGAAGGGCCTTGGGGGCAAGGCTGAGCCTTGACTTGCCTGTCATCTTCTGCCCTGGCTGGAGTTGCAGCGCATGCTGCGGTACAGTGTCGAGCTTTCGAGAGTGGAGGGACAGTGAGACGGTGGCCGTTTTCCTTGTTTGCTGAAGACTGTTGGGTTGCTAGGATGTTGAAGCCATGTGGAATGTCGTGAGCGGGTTATGGCGCGCTTAGAATTGCTGAAGCCCTTTTTCTAGGGAGTTAAAAGGTGCTGCTGCTTCTGGTTTGGCAAGCCAAGCTACGGAAGGGCCTGCTGTCCTCGCAGCTTTTAAGCGATCTGATCCCACCACGACCGAACAAGGCATTGAAAAGGAGGCGCAATTTGCAGGTCGAGTCTTCTCGGGGGTTGAGTCTTTTTCATCTCCATGCAAACGCAGGGATCTCAGGAAAGTGATTGGGAGAGTCGGTGCTGAGGTCCGTGTTCTCAGATGTCAGGAAGCCCAGAGTCCAAAGGTTGGGTGAGACTCACTTGAGACCATATTCCATACATGCATCGCGTATCCCTTTTGGCGATTCTGAAGACCTGCTGCCTCCGGATTGTCTTGTCTATCGTTTGGTTGCGGCTATGCGGCTTCGGGTGTTCTGGTGAGGGATGGGGGACCAGGCACAACCCACCGCGGCCATGGTCAGTTGCTGTTGGAGCCTGCCCAAGTTGTCCCCACTCAGAAAAGTTCCCGCTTTGGGATTCTGTAGTCGCCAGCGAAGTTCCGACGTGCCCATATCACAATCGCATCTGTGGAAGGGAGGAGGCGTTGTACAGTGTCACAACGAACAGATGTTACTAAATTCGGAGGACATTCAGAAAGTCAGGGGTATTTGCTTTTTTTCCAGAGTCCTCGTGGTCGGACTTGGAGGCCTGGAGTTGTTGCGCACACACACAGCCATAAATCCTAATCCTGTTACAGAGACCGTGCCTTCCCCGCCGCCACTCACAGCTGACGAACCAAGTAGTGCTTCGCCATGCCGGGCGAAACAGAGGCACGGGAGTTGGGCTACGAACGTGCATGCAACCCTCAATTCAAGCAGTCATTGGGAAACGGACGGACAGCCAAAGCCTTCTACATCTCCATCTCTGTGTAACTTTTTGATGCAAACCCTAGCTGAACCCCAAATCTTTGCGAAAGCGGATTCATTATCCAGATCCCGGACCCTGAACCCCGAAATCCCTCCCAGTGCAGGCCGCAGACGCGGCAGACAAGTGACTCGGTTCAAGGGTGCCGCTTTGGGGTTCTAGCCGAGGCTTTGGTTTGAAGCCGCCTTGGCCTGAAAAGCCTGATAAAAGGCCTATAAGCCTTAAGCCTGTATGGCCTGGCTTGTCCGAGTTTTGGCCAAGGCCAAGCCCCCAAGCCCAGGTCGAAAGAAGCAACAGCCGCACCAGCTGGGGCGGATATTGATGTGACCATTAGCATCTTGCCTTGGCTTTATGTTCTTGAGGGCAGTGAAAGCCCGGGGGACGGTTCGCAAGTGATAGTTTCTTGAGGATGGGTGACTTGCAGGCTGGGGTTTGGAGCCGAGGAGCACACAAGACGTCGCCGCCGTAGGCTTCAGGGCCCCAGAAAGCTCTCATGCGCCAAGTATCAAAACTCAAAGTTTCATGAGGTTGTGTGTTGTGCAGGTGTGTTCAGGCCAGGACAAGGCTTCCATCATTGCTGGTAAGCAGAACAACAGTCCTTCAACAAGTCGTTTGAGTACCGCATAGATGCTTAGTTAGTCTCACACCGCTGCGACGGGGTCCAGGTACAGAGAGAGCGGAGGGAGGAGAGAGAAAGAAAGAGAGAGAGAGAGAGAGAGAGAGAGGAGAGAAATATTCCTGCGCAGTGCTCAAGGTGTGCCAAAAGAAGGAGAAGCAGGCGCTTCTGCGGCGTACGCAAAGTTCCTCTTCCTTCTGTCTGCGTTGTCAACATGCTCCCCTGGTTCGTGGTAGTTGCCGTGCGAATTACGTCTCATGTTGTCCATCTCCGTGTCAGCTTGTCTGGGAGGTGCTGCCGCCGCGGCAGCGGAGGCCCCTGCGGCCCCTGCGGAAACAGCAGCAGAAGGCGGCGAGGCAGCTGCCGAGCCTGCCAAGGCCGAGGACACGACAGCCACAGGCGAGGCCGCCGCCGACACCCCCGCAGCTCCTGCTGAGGCTCCGGCCGAAGGAGCACCGGCAGATGCAGGGGCTTCCGAGCCCGCCAAGGCTGAAGACACAACAGCGGCAGGCGGAGAGGCCGGCGACGCAACCACGGCCGACACGCCTGCTGCCCCTGCAGAGGCGCCAGCCGAAGGAGCGCCCACAGAGGCTGGGGCCGAGCCGAAGGCCGAGGAAGCAGGGGAGGCACCGGCGAGCGCCGACGCCGAAGGAAAGGCTGACAAGCCTGAAGATGTGCCTGCGGAGTCGGGGGGGGAGGCACCAGCTGCGCCAGCCACCGAAGGTGCCACAACCGAGGGTGCTGCGGGAGCGGAGGTGGAGGGCGAGAAGGGCGCGGAGGGCACCACAACGCCTGCTGCACCTGCTGCAGACGCTGCAGACGTTGGGGCCGAGGGGGGCACCACCGATGCGGCCGACACCAAGGAGGGAGTTCGTTTGGGGTCCTTAGGCCTTGTTTTGCCCGATTGTGCATGTGCACAAGCAAGCCGTGCAACGCTGTGGCAAGCAAGACGTCGCCCCTGGCTTCACTTTCAGGATTCTGCCGCCGAAGGGCCTGCTGCCGGTGACCAAGTCTCAAGAATATTTGGCTCTGAAAGCTCAAGTTCCGAAATGCAAGCCGACCTTCGAAACTGAAAAGCCGCTCAATGCGGCGACACCAAAGAATAGAATTTGGACATCAGTCCTTGAGGCAGCCTTGGGAGCAGGACACACTCTGGGTTTCTTGACTGACCGCACTGTGATTATTGCACCGCGGCCAGATCCTAACATACAAGCAACGCCTTCGACTCCGAGCCATCTCCAGGTACTAAACTCGTATAGTTTCCCCAACCGTGTCCCACATCTCTCAAACATCTTAGCCGCCCCAAGGCCGAGCCAGGGGATCCAACCACGGAGGCGGAGTGCCCTCGCAGGTTTCAAGAAGCTTCAAGAGATTTGGATTCTCGAGTTGAGGTCGCTGACTTTTGGGGGGCAATTTTGGTGCTTGCATCTCTTTGAGTGTTTCATAGGCTTGGGGAGCTCCCAGCTCTCGCATGTCGTTCTGCTGCCGAAGTTTTCGCAGTTGTTTTTGGTTGTTGGTGGGGCGTATGGACTTGCGCCATGTATAGGACGAACCCACACATGATCCAAGCCACACCAATCTGCAATGCAAGCACAGCGAGCGCAACTTGTTGTATGAATAGTTGCCATGCTTTGGAGTTGTCAACTTCACCTTGCGCTGCGTGTCATGCGGTTCAGCTTCTAGGCGAACAAAAACCCCGCATGGATCGTATAAAGAACAGAAAATATAAAGAACAGAAAACAGCCACCAGAACCACAGGCAACAGCCGATGCGGCGGACGAGCCGGCAGACAAAACCGAGGAGGCCCACGCCCCGCGGCTCCACAAGCTTCGATCGCTCTTGTCTGTGCATCATGTTTCTCTGTTGTAGCTGCTTGAACGCCAGTTGCACCTGCCAGGTCAGGGCGGCTAAGCTTAAGACTTACAAGCCTGAGGCGCAAGCGCCGGACTGCAAGCCCGAAGCCTGAAAGCCAACAGTCATGAACATGGTTGCGGCTCAAGACAGCGCCGGCCGCACTGCTGCACGCGAGCTGCGCCCCATGCTGTTGGCGAGGGTGTGCAGCTCGTTTGGCGCCATCTGCTCCTATTGAAGCAGGCGAAATGCTCGCCATTCATTTGGTGGCCTTGTTAGGCCTCGTGGGGCCCTGCCTTTGCGCCACGCGGTCTGCGCTGAGGCGAAACGAGGCGATGCCGGACCCGTCGGCAGTCGCAGCGCCCTTCTTCCCCTTCGTGGGCCGTGTGGCGGTGCTTACTCCGAAGGAGAGGCTGACAGAGGCCATTTCCAACATGAGCATCACCGATGTGCTCGGCAATTTGTCAGCGTCCGATGAACCGGGCTCCGGGGACGACAACTCGACTAATGCCGCAGCGCCAAGTAGTACCGCGGAGCCGGAGGTGAAGGTGGAGGGCGCTGCGAGCCCGCTGGTGGGAAATGCCAGCGCAGATGTCCAGGCGCAGGTGTCCGAGGCCATGCAGCAAGCACAGGCCAAGGGAACTGCGGAAGTCGAGGACGCGGTTGAAGATGCAAAAGAGAAGTGGGTCGATGAAGCCAAAATAGTACAGCTGGAGGACTCTGCCAAGATGGACGAGGCCGTGTCGGCCGACCTGGCCGATGTCAGGAAGAAGGTCGAGGCTGTGCGCAGTGTCCAGATCCATGCGCTCCAGAGCATGGCTGACGATGTGAAGGCGGCGATGGCCAACATTACTGAGACAGCCTTAGATGCTGCAGTGGACACCACCAGGACCTCTGGCCAGCAGTATCAACATCAGGTCTTGAGCTCGGCCCTCCAAACGATTCAGCACGAGGAGGGCTCCATCGAGCACCTGCAGGGCAGCGCAGTGCAGCACCTGCAGGCCGCGCAAGAGCATGCGACAAGGCTCCGCGCAGCGACCGCCGTCGCTCAGGGAGTGGTGCAGAACTACACGACGTCCCCAGAGGACATAGCAGCCGGTTTGCGCAAGCACGTGGCAGAGTCCATGGCAAAGGCCCGAGGTGCCAAGGCGAGCGCTGAGGCCACGCTGGAGCTGGCCCGGAAGGCCTCCGAGGCTGCCGGGGTAGTTTTTAGCGAGGCCAACGCCTCCGAGGCAGCAGCACAGGGGCTGCTGGACCGAGCGCTGGCCCAGGCAAAGCACCTCGACGAGCTGGAGCAACGCACCGCGACCGCCGCCAAGCAGGCAGCCGTGACGGAACTTCTGCGGAAGGCCGGTCTGATGGGCGCGGCGGGATGAGTGCAAAATGCCCTGCAGCAGTGCAGGATGTTGCACGCCCTTGCAGACCTCTCGCAGACCGTCTTGCCGGGCATCACAAACTCAAGATCCTGGGCTCTCCGACCTGTGTGGCATAAGATGAAAAGATCTGTTTTGTGAGAGAGAGAGGAGAAAAGTTGAAGATGCGCACCGAGCCCCCGCAGCCAGCTGCAGCCACTTAAAGTATTGGCCTTTTCAAAAACCCCTCCAGGGTCGGGGCTTTGGAATTCTTATGCTTGCCAGGAGGTGGATCCTGCGACCCAGGAGGCTGCTCTCGCAGCAGGGTTGGGGTTCGTGCCAAGGGATTTTCTGGGGAGTTTCTGGGAAGTTGAAGTGGAGGTGGTCGGGGGCGGAGCAGATCAATCGGCTGCATTCAGTGAAGCTGTACTAAAAAAAACTCCCTGAGTCCCTGGAGTCCCTTGAGTCCCTGCTGTACCACAGCGTGGTGCACCCATGCGAGGCCATCGACAAGCTCAGCAAGGGCGTGGAAGGCCTGCGGGGATGTGGCGGAGCTAGGCCGCTAGGCTTTCTACCCTGATTCTGGGAGTTCCTATAACCTGGTGGGTCCTTGAGCGAAATGCCTGCCGCAAAGGAGGCAGCTTGCGTTTTCCGCATTGTCCAAAAACTCGGTATGACTCAGTCCCCAAACCTCTCTTTTCGATGTGCTTCTGAGCCGGCTTAAACCCGTGCAGCCCGTGAAGTCCTCAATCCCAGGTCCTGAACATATAATCAGAAAGGCCGAGTCGGGTCTTGTTGGCATGTGCAAGGTGTTCAGACGTAGTGTTTTAGGTCGCATAGTTGTGGGTTTCTTGAGGTTCATTTGTCCAGCTATGAGGTTTCAAAGTTCAACCAGGGAGGTTGCAGGAGCAGCAGGTGGCTTTAATATAGGTTCGTCACAGAAGTTATAGACGTTGGGGATTGAGATTTGAGGGCGTGCACAGCCCCAAGTGCCCTACAACTGAGCGCAGAACACAGCGCCGCCCACAAGAGGTGAAAATGCAGTGTCGGGTTTAGGGTACATCAGCTAGCGTTGTACAATGACTCGCATGGGTTGACACGGAGCAAGGGTTGGGAGGTTTGATTTGCCGAAAAGCCACCTGTTGGCCCGAGACCTGGCGGGCGTAGATCGTGATTCAGCCAGCCATGAGTTTTTTTGAGAAGCTGACCCAGCGGGCGCACGATGTCAACTCGCTCCTGTGCGTCGGGTTGGACCCGCACAAGGCACGGCTGAGACCTGAATTGGAGATACAGAGACACTCCTCTCACAGTCCAGGTTATGTTCGTCGGGTGACATCATGGAGGGTCTGACGGCGAGGGCTCCTGATCCTTTGCTCCTAGACTCTGAACCCCATCCTTAATTCTCACAGTGCCTTCTCCAATTGCTTTCCAGTTTCTTGCAACTCCACTCAGTGTAGCTGGTATCGCCCGTTGGAGTGGTAAGAGAGAAAGGGCCACCAGCCCAGCGACAGCAGGCTGTTGGCCTTAGTCTGCAGGGATGCGCGCAAGCCGCTGCCTCTAAGAACTCAGATACCCCGGGCAGACCCCTGGTGAGGCAACTGTTGGTTGAGTAGGAATTTGGCTTTGTAGAAGCTGCTTTTTGTTGTCCCCAGCATCCCATCCACTGCCAAGCGTCTCACGAAATTTTTGTTGTTGTACGTTTGGGGTGGAGTGAAGCCCTTTCAACCCGGTCAACATGTCTAGGCCCCTCATATGAATGCCCCCAGAGGCCGTCAGCAAGCCATTGAATCCTTTGTCCGAAGCTGGAAAGGTGCGCGGGCTGTGTGTTTCGGTTGAGATGCAGGCCGAGCTCGAAGAGGACTCTGCCGAAGCCGCCTTCAAATTCTGCCAGCGGCTCATCGAGGAGATCGAGTTACGTTTCTGGGTAGTTGAGTTTTGTGCCTGCTGATGGCCGCCTTGAAGTTTGAAGAGGGGGAGGGGTGGGTGAGGGTTGAGAGCGCTCGGGTGCGGCTTTGGTGCAGTGTCTGCAGACCGTGCTGTCGGGCAATGATCGTTCGAATGATGTTTGACAGCTTACTTGCCGTGGCCACGAGAGGGAAGATGATTCTACAAACCCTGTCAAAGCCATGCAGAAAGATTGAGCAGTTTGTTCTGCTCGGACCTAAGCCAGCAACGCATCTCCATTCAGCCTGTCACTCGCGAACGCTAACCCCGTGCACGGAATCGAGTGTGCTCAACAAGGGCCCGGCCAAAACCTCAAAGGAAGCTTGTTGAACTGCCGTATGCCGAACAGAAGCTCTGTCAGGAAGCAAGACGTGCCGCTAGCCGGCACGAAGGAATCAAACATGCTGCGAAAAGAGCCAGGAGACGAAAGACCTCGTGGCGGCCTACAAACCGAACGCCGCCTTCTTCGAAGCCTACGGGGTTGAGGATGGGTCTTTTGCAGAGAGCAGCTTTTTCTGTTCCCACGGATCCAACACAGCAAGACAGAAGAGGACAAGGAATACAGATGTCTGGCAGACAAGAAGCCCCGCATCCCCGGGCCTCCATGGCTCACGAAGGTCGTGCAGGGTCTTGTGCGAACAAAGTGTAAGGCCCCGAAGCCGAGCCTGCCTCAGTGGAAGACTGGGGGCCCAGATTGTGGGGGGCCCATTGTTCCGTTGGAAAGACTTTTCCCGGAGTGCCCGGCAACGCGGCGAACCACAAATCATCCAAAACCTGTATGTCAGTGTTTACGGGGCTTTGGCGCCCTGCCCTCAGACTAAAGCAGGGTTCTACAGGGCTTGGGGATGTTTAGGGCATTGTAGGCCCTTCCAACGCTCGCCCAAGAATGCTCCAGGGCTGGGCTGCCCTCCAGCGTACGCTGGCGGCGATACCCGAGGAGATTCCGCTTCCTGGCCCAGAGTGTTTGTTGGGGTCGCTTAAACTCTTACCCCAAAAGAGTATGATTATGGGAACCCATCCAATTGTCAGAAATCCCCATCTGGCAGGTGGTTTCTTCAGGGAGATGGCTTGAAGAAGTTGAAGCAGCAAAACTTTCGATTCTGGGGCCTTGCGCGACCTCATACCACTAAGAGCTAGAGCAGCTTCAGAGTCCTAAGGATTGTCCTGGACGCCAAGCGCGGAGATATTGGCTCCACCAGCGAGGTAGCTTCGACCATTTCAGGGCCATGAGTAGAATGCCTGATCCGCTTGCCACTGCAGTTGAGGCCTATGCTTCCTCGGCCTTCCAGACTCTGAAATGCGACTCCGTGACCGTCAGCCCATACCTAGGCCGGCAGAGCAGTACGTGCAGTGCCCTCGATTAGCCCATAACGGATAAAGCTCGTCTCAAACACGACGTTCTCCCTTGAAGGGCCAGGAACCCCTAGTCCCGCTCTCAATCTTTGATCCGAAGCCTGTCGACGCCCCACCCCCCCCCCCCCCCCCTGCCACCCTGTGTTCTGCTTGTTTCATTGTCCGTCCCTCCACACACCTCCAAACTTTAGATGAATCATATACAGTAACTAGTGACGGGTACTCCCGAGTTAATAGGAGAATGAACCTAAGTAAATCTCATTCGTCTCCAGAGGCCCCTTAGCCTAATTCGGGAGCACTCCAGGTGGCGATGGTCTCCAGCCGTTCTTGAAGGACCCTGGCACTGATTTTAGGGTCCAAATGGGTGGTCACACCATGGTTCTGAAGGGGTCGCCATATGGAGACAGGTCTTCAAGAGCCCCGAAGTCCCGGTTCCCTTGAAGTCCGAAATCCTCGGGTCCAGCACCTGGGGCGACAAAGAAGTCTCGAACCTCGCTTACGCCTCTCCACCCTCAGAACCTAGGCTTTCGGGAAGCTCCAAGCCACACAGGGTGCAGCAGAGAAATCCTACAGGCTCCAAAGCCCGGACGCCCTGAAGGCATGAAGGAAATAAGGATGAACGCAAGCCCAGGATCCCTCGAGAGGGGTCTGGGTGCTCTGCAAGACCTCAAATCCAGGCGGGCTTTTTTGGCCTTTTTGGATTCGGTCCAGAGCTTGCTGAACGGTCGGATTGGCGGCAGGTTTCCCTCGCTTTGGGAGTGTAAGGTCCTGCCCCAAAATTTCGGAACAGAGGTTTCGGGTGAAGAGCCTATAAAGGCAGCTAAAGAATCTCAAGAATCAACAAGAGCTTCTTCTAAAGTTCCCGGCAAGGCAAAGGGCCTTGGCCTTGCCTGTGCTCTTGCAGCCTAATCTGCACCCTGTTCCCTTCGAAAGTCCTCGAAACACAAGGCTCCCAGGACATCCAGGCGTTGCAGCTGCCCAGCGGCGAGCCGCTCTACGTCCACGTGGCGAAGGCAGGGGCCAGCTCACGGAATCCGACCTCCTGGAACCCCTGGGTTTAGGGTTTAGGGCTCCAGTGCTGTGCCCAGCAATGGAGGTGTGCTGCTTGCAGTGGGCGAAGGAACACAGCAACGCAGGCCTCGTTGTCACTTGGACTACCAGTTATTTCTCACAGGGCTCAATTGCCCCAAGCCCGGCTTTCGGGTCAATCGGAAACCCGCTGAGGCCCAAACCCAGTTGGACTTTAGGCTTGCTATATTCACCATGCGCCTGGACTGGGTCACGACACGCATCCGATTCCCCTCCCCGCAATTTGGTGTTAGGTGGGCGCGACGGACGTCGAGGCGATGCGCGTCATCCGCGAAGCAGTTCCCGAGCCTTGCCATGGAGGGCCGTCTGCTTGTGAAAGCAACAGCCCCGCTTCCCAGCACTGCCACAGCAGCAGAAAAAATAGACCCACAATTATACTTGAACACCATACAGGGCTCAGCAAGCAAGAACCCTGCAATCCTTGAGCCCGAGAAGCATCGAAAGCACCCTAAATCCAACACCAAATCGGCTTCAAAAGTGCTCAGGATGTTTGGTTCCTGTCCCCTGGCATCGGCGCCCAGGGTGGTGACCTGGAAGCAGCGACTGGGGATGCAAAAGTGGGACTTGCCGGAGAGAGTCCATTCTTATAGCGTTCGCATGACTGTGAGCCTTATCCTATAGCTCTTAAAGTTGCTGCAACGGCGGCATCAAGCATCCCGTGGTTGTCATGTTGTTCGGAAAGCTCCCTCTGGCAGAGGGGGGGGGGGGGGAACCCCACATCCCCACCTAAGGGTTTTGTGGTTGCAGGGCTTATCCTAGGAGGGAGAAACCAACTCCGGCTAGTGCTCATGAGGTTGGGGTTGTGGGCGGACCTGGCCCTCAACTCTGCACCCTGAAACCCCCAGAGGGCTCGAGGTCGTCCTTCAGGGCTGTAGGGTTGCAAGGGCATGCTGTTTGGCTTTCGGGGCCAGACCCCGAAATGAAGGACATTGGTTTCGGGTGACCGTTTAGAACTTTCGAGTTGAAGGGCTGGCGTCTGCAGCTCGGAACAGGGCATCAACCTTCCACACTTTCAGTTCATGCTATCGATTGCCACCGCACAGCAACTGTGCCTGCTGCCGCCGCGCTTCGTGAGAAGTCTGTTTGTTCCTTGCTGCTGCTCCTGCAGTCCTAGGCCCTGGAAGCGGGGCTCCGGCCAGACGGTCTGGGCATGCTGCTGCCCATCTCTCGAGGTCAGGGAGTGCAGAAAGTGATATATCGGGATGCGTAAGGTTTTTGCGTGGGATCACGGCGCCGATCGTAGTAGGGTCTATGGCAAGGCTGAGGGTGGTTTGAGCGTTGTGGTAGGTGCTGCCTTCGCTGGTCGTTGTCTTGCATGCAAGTCGAACATGTGTAAGCCTCTCTGTGGAGCCCATGCTCAGGTATCTCCAAGGCTGAGAGCCCGAGGAAAGCTGCCGAGGGCTTCCGAGCCGAGATCAACAAACTGCGTGCCAAGCGCACCTCAACCAGCAGGTTTACCGGTTTATGGTTTAGGGTTTAGGGTTTAGGGGCAAAGGTTCCTGGCCTCGCCCTGGCCGGGGGTTTTGAGAGCTACAACGGTGCCGTTGCGCCGTGTAACCCTTCAGTGTGTTGCGCTCGCTCAAAGCCGAGAGCGAGCTGTTGATCGAAAGGCTTGCGGGGGCCACGAAGCCACGCTTCCTGATGTGGCACACACATTGCCTGACTGTGTGAAAACCTTCCAAAGATGCCATCTATGGTCTATAGTCTGATGTTGACTAAGAGGCTTGCTATCTGAAGCCGCTGGTAGCTGTTGGTGAGATAAAAGGAACTCCTCTGAAGGGTTGCTTCGTTCCTACAGTAGCTATAAGACTGTCAAGACGAACCTGCCAATCGCCAAATGTTTAAACCCCTGAAAGCCCGCAGCCCCAACTGAGGCGTGGCGCGCGCATGAGGCCGACTGCGGCCCCCTGAGTTTCACGCTTTCTGCAGGGCGCACCGGAGGTCCTCCATGCACTGAATCCAACGATGAAAAGGCGAGGTTTTGCGGGTCTGCAAAGTTAGTAAAGTGGCCGTTTGGCTGCGCACCAGTGCTGGGATAGTTTATATGCGAAGGGCGTGAAGGGCTTCGAGGAAGCATCAGATGGGCTCGGAGTGCTACAGGATTTGGAGGGCGGTTGTGAAGGAGAAAGGGCGGTTTTGGGTTCAGTCGGAGGGTGTAGACAAGCTTTGCAGCAGCCACATAAACTTTGAAATGGCAGGGCCTTAGTGCTGGCCTCTGCAGACCAGGGGAATGCAAGCAATGCTGAAGGCAAGGCGTGTGAAGATTCTGCAGACACAGGTGAGAACAGAAGCATCCATCGGCACAGCCTTGTGGCATTGCAGTCTGCCCCAGAGCACCGACGTTTTCTTGACCCAGCGGCTCGCAGCTGGCCTTGCTGCGTCGCTGGCGCATCATAGTTAGATGTCGACTGCTACGTGGGGAGAAAGAGTGTCGCTTGTGCTTTATGGTTGTGCCGTTGAGCCGTTGAGTACAGCACGTGTTTGAATCTGCTGATGCTGCTGTTCGGGAGCGGGGTCGAACCAAGATTCCAAGAGTGACTGCATGGCCCCTCAAAGAAGCGATTGGCAGGTGTGGTTAACGAGTTCGCTGATGGATTGGAGGCTCTTTGCATGCTTTGGTTGTCTACTTGAGAAAACAAGCTGCAGCTATGTCTCAGCGCCACTTGTAAGGAAAGTAACCTGGGGTCACCTTGGGCTAGAAGTATTGTCAGCAAGTAGATGATGAGTCCTCGACCGACCAGCTGAATTCTAAGCCGGTTCAGGTTGCGACCGACTGTGGCTGTAGCTCGTTGTTGCCTTGCGATACCCTTCTGGATCACGGATGCCCAGTGTGAGGAAATCTGTCATGTGTTGCAGGCCATACCGGACACCGCTTTGCGATCTGCTCTGCAAAGCTGGCCTTTGCCTCGGTGACCATGTGCAAGCAGGCTTAGGCTTAGGTTTAGAATCTCTAAAGAAGCAAACTCCTTCATACATGGGCTTCTCCGCCTTGACACCCTTCCTAAAGCTCTTATCATGGCTTCACACACACTCGGAATCACGTGCCCCTTCACATCACTTGTGCTGTAGATCGAATGGCAAATTACTCAGCAAAGAGGGTTACAGCATGTTCCAGCCCCTTGGCGCCCCTCTTCCTCAAAGCATCTCCGGCGGCCCGAAGGAGGCTTTGTAAGGCACTCTGGCCCAGTGAGCTCTCAATCAACCCTGACGCTCCCAGGGCTTCCAAGATGAATGGGCACGTCCAGGAACTGAAGAGTCTTGGCTGCACTTGAGCATACCATGAACACTGCCTGGTGTTGATTTCGGATCTGAGAATTTGGTGTTTCGGGCCTGGGGTTGTTCAGGCGTTGGGGCTTTGTGCTCTTGAACCTGCTTTCTTGGAGTCGCGCATTTGGGGCGACCGGGCGTGCAAATCACCCGCAGAACTTCAGAACCTTTTCTTGCTACCCAGACCCGTCGCCCGTTGCCTTGCGGGCGCTCTCTTCTTTCGCTTCTTTTCATACACTGTTGTTACTAGCGGGCACAGTTAATTCGCACGATAAATTCATGCATGCGTGCGATATCTTCGTGCCTGCGTAAAAGAGAACAAAATTAGTAACAAGCCCCTATAAGAATACAAAAATTAACGGGTTTTTACAATGTTATGAACGTAGTACGGACGATTAAAAGATCTTTTCACTCGCCCGTAATAACATTTTACTGGATTCTGAGTATGCACAGAGTCCCACCCGGAAACTTGGCTGGAGATCCCAAGCTCGAAAGCCCAACCCAAAGCGTAAACCCGAAGCCTTAATGCAGCCAAGGAGCATCCTGACTGCGGCCCGTGAGCGACTCAGGGAGGAGCGTGGGGGTCCGATTGAAATGGCTTAAAGGCATCTGCCCCTGCAGATGAGTGATTGCTGTGACATCCCTATAACACATGGCAGAAGTTGTGTGCGTTGCTTCAGCAGGGCAGTTAGTTGTTAAACATCATGATGCTAGCGACGGGTAGTTGTGCAAGCGTGATGGTACTCAGATCGTCCCCAACTTTCTCTAATTCTTCCCCTCTACTACAATAAGAACGCTTCCTCATGGAATTCAAGAACTGTTCAACCAGGTGGAGCCATGACGAAGCATTGCACACACACACACACACAAGCGAGGTTCCGGTGATGATCCTGTGGGACCCTTGGAGTTCTCGGAGACAGGCTTTGTGCCCTCCATTGGGAAAGCTTCGGGTTGGAATGGTGAGATCCAGATGTAGAGAGCAGGCAATGAGTAGCGTGCAGTCTGAAGGGAGAATGTCGTGACGCCATGACATCTGCACTGTCTTCTATTCGCAAGTTGCTCACGTTTGGACTCTAAAGAACCAATGAGCAGTTCAGCAGTGGAGCACAGAATCATTTCATAAGGGTTCAGGTTGACAATGAAGAGTTGCCTACGGATTTGCAAGTCTTATAAGTTAGGGACCGTTTGAGGGTAGGTTTGGGCTGCAGCTTGTGCTGTTATGTGAGTGGGTAAAGATTTCAGGCTTTCCCGCTGCAAAGTCGCCCCATCAGACCCTCGCACCTGCCTCCTGCACCCGGGAGAAGCCCTGGAGTGCCAAGGCTGCGGAGGGACGTGAGAATGGGTCAGGGCCTCTGTTCTTCCATGTTCCTCGAGCTTCGTCTGGGACTTGGGTGTTCAAGAACGATGTAGCGGAATTGTGCTTGCCCAACGCTTCCACAAACCCCCTTTTGCAATCGCCCTACTCAGGGGGCCCGAATACTTAACGCCATTTCAGGCGTCGAAAGCCTCGAGGGTGAACCTGCTAGCGCCCAGTCTACACCCCGTCTGGCGTGACCGTCTTAACGCCAATCCAACTCAGGGAGGAGCATCCGGAAGACGAGGCGTGTGGAGGGTAGTTGAGAATCTCCCTTGGGCCCCTTCAGCCTTGGAGTCTTGGAGTTCGGGATCGAGGGCTGAAGGCTTAGGAGTCTCGGAGGCTGAGATCTGCAACTGGCAGCAACACCCACACATCATCCCCCTCGAGTGCGGTATGCGGCATTGTTGCCCCCTGTGCTCAAACGCTCCCCGATCCTGGAACATCAAACCCAAGACCTGGCTGTACTTGGCTCATTGTAGGTCCTGTGATAACCCGCTCTCTGGGAAAGCCGATCGCAAACCTATGCAGGCACACACTTCAAAACATGACAGGAACCTTCAAGGCTGCCAAAACACCATCGAGCTGTGCTCGCCAGGAGCCGGAGCGCCTCGAGCGAGAGTCGGTGACCGAAGAGGAGCTGCAAGGGGCCGGATGCCCCAGATGGGTCCCTTTGAGTGGGCTTGTGAGGGGGCCTTGGGTGACTACAGGGGTATCGTCCAGGCTTCTTGAAGGGCTCAAGGCCCTTCTCACGCTGGTTTCGAAGTGTTGCCGCAGTGTGATGGATTTGGCCGACAGGAGAAAGGGTTTGGGAGTCAAAGGGGGCTGAGCGCCTGAGCTACAGTCACGTTCTTCGGCCACAGTCCTTCAGCAAAATTCCTGGTGTCTAGTCTAGCTTTGCAAGATCCACAAAATCCATCAACATCCGCTTGTGGCTGCGGGTGAACAGCTTGGAGTCCCTCATGTCCTGAGATCATATGCCCTAAGCTCCCTGACCCGATATAGTCACCTCTCTAAACTTCTATTCTTGTAGGCTTCCATGCCCGTTTCAAGTTAACAGAGGTCAGAGACATCGGCCGGCAGCTAGCGCCTGGCCCCTGGCTTGCATGCCGGGGTTAGCCGGGTTCATCTTGCTCTTTGGCCTCGATCGGGCAGCGACGACGACCACGAGATGAGGACAAGGATGAGGAGGAGGAGGTGGAGGAGGAGGAGGAGAACGATGATCAGGCTGAGGATAAGGATGTTGTCCAGGGCGACAACAGTGAGCACGATGAGTACCTTAGTGATGTGTTCCTTCGAAGAAGGGTTGGTCAGCTGAGGGTATGTTTCATTGTCTCAGCCTTGCGAGTGTTGTTGTGGCTGTTGATGACGTTTATGCATGTACATAAGCGAATATTGCCTGACGCATTATCTAGGACACTAGGAAAGTATCGTTTTCATGTCGCGAATATAAGGCCGAATCAAAGGTACGCAGCCTGAGAGCTCCACTCCTGGAGCTGTCCCGAACCATGACATAACACATGCAGGTAGTGGAACCCTGTAAGACATGAGACATGGCTAAGCAGAACTTCAAGCCGTAGCCTGCCTGAAGTTGGTGTCGGGAGTTGGGTGCTCTAGTCCTGAACCAGAAGCACCTGGGAGGTTCTGTGCCAGTTTCGGTGGCTAGGACGGGTTGAGTGTTCACTTGGTTTTTGACGTTCTCCTCGTTGCTTGTCTGAGGGCTTTGTGGGTTGTGCTTACCACTGTGAACTCCTTTGCAATTCCCTTGCCTTCGCGCCGGCCTCAGCCCGGTCAGAAGCGGTCTATGCCAAAGCACTCCGGAAACCCGAAATGATCCCGAAACGTGGTGCCTGCAAACCTCAACCTCCACTCAAGCCCTCCTGAAAACCCGACGCCTTCAATGATGCAACCGCAAGCTTACTGGCCGACAAGTCAACTCCTGACAACACATGAGACGTCCGGAAGACCTCCCCCCGCCCCAGTTCAGGCCAAGAAGGGATTTAGTTCTTTAGGGCAGCTTTTGCCCAAGCGGTCCCCCAAACTCCGCCATGGGTTCCATGGATCACGCCCTGACGTCCCTTGGCCTGTCCACTACGACCCCTTCACGGCCTTCGACCCCCCAGAGCCGAAAGAGGGATGTGGTAAATGAGGAGCAAGGGGGGGGCACACCATGGGAGCTGATGTCATGTCCGTGCTCCTGCCCTTCTGAATCCTGCTACAGTCTGCTACAGCCCCCAGGTTTTCTTCGATCCCGTGAGCTTCAGTTTCGTCCTGCCTCCCATGAAAAAGGGCTGCTAACCGAATCGCAGGTCCCGACCTTTCCCGTGAGATCCCGGGACTTAACTGAAACCCTTCAAGCCCTCCAGGAGCACTTGGACGAGACTTTGGCCGCATCTTGGCTTCCTTCGGCTGGTTGTCTTATACCTACGATTCAACTTACCATTCTTCTTGCCGACTTCTTATGAAACACCGCGCGTCGGGCCTAGTGGGACTCCGGGCTCACGGAGTGCCAAGCATGGTAAGGAGAGCAACCCAGACCTTTTCAATTACTTAAAGTAGCACTTTTTTTGGCGAGACCTACTTGATGTCGACGAAGACTTCACCCAAGCCATAGGGACTTCATGGTCGAGGTCCCTCTGGGTTCCTGTGTGCCTGATTCGCCAGCTCCCGAGAAGCTCACAGGTTCCCCTACTCTGCATCCTGTCCTTGATCTCATACCAACTGGAAGTCCCAGGTCTTGCGCACCCTGCGCTTCAAGAGCTTCGACCACGCGAAGCCCTGGCTGGACCAAGACGGCCACCTGATTTGGTCGCGGGTGGCTGGGATGAGTCTATGGTGCAGCGGCGTTAGTGTAGGGTGCCACTGCCCCTGGGGGCGAGCGTGTTTTTTCTCGCAAAAGCTCCGAACGCTTGCAGCGAAAAGCCCAAGAGGGTTTAGCGCTTTGGGTTCAATTCAGGCTTAGGGTTTGGGGTTTAGGTCTCTGGTTTTAAGTAGGGTTTAGGATCGAGCCCAACATCCCTGGAAAGCCCCGAGCTGTTGCGACGTGCCGGCCAAGGTCAGGGTGCGGATCGCCGAGACGATCTACACCCAGTGCTTTGAGACCACCATGGGTGTGATCATCATGTTCCACTTCGGGCTCATCCTGGTCGAAGCGAACCAGGCCTTGGAATCACGGGCTTCGTGAGCCGGTCAAAAATCCCATCGACTGGAATGCCCAACCTCCCATGTAGGACAATGTAGGATTCTCAGAACTTCCGAACCGGGCCGAAGGCCGAAGGCCTGGAATTTGCATTCTCACATCAGGTGCTGCAAGAGGTTGCAGCATGGTGACCGTAACTGTTGGGACTCAAAGGAAGAAGGGTCAAAAGTCAAAACGACCCCAAACGCGCAAGGATGCCCGGTGCTGTCCTCCGCACTACTCGGGGCCGTTTGATCACTGCCCCTACCGAAGCAGTACTTTCCTGTGGAGTCAGGCGCGGGGCACCCTAAACCCGAAGGCTAAAAAACCGTCATTCAGTTATATATTTGTGGTGTGGGCGGTTTGATGAGGACCACTTCAGTTGCATGTTTGTGGTGTGGGCGGGTTAATGAGGACCACTGGTCACTTGGTTCAAGTCACAGGAGATATCGTCATGAAGCTTCCGGGACCCATAAGTTATGGACTGGAATCACGAGGACAGGACTATTGTTCTGCGAGGGCTCGCAAGCTTCGCCCCAACTTTTCCAGGACTCTTGCCTAAGCACGGGGTATACGGTATAGCTCCTTTGGGGCATGCTCAGAACTAGCTACTTCCAATCCAACTTGTTCAGGATGGACATGGCAAGTCTTGTAAAGCTTTGAACCTAAGTGTTTTATACACTTCACAGGATCGGATCTCGGAGGTTTGCAGTATGTAGAAGCGCCTCAAAAGCCGAGAAATCCAAGCAATCTGCAGAGAGAGAGAGAGAGAGAGAGATTGACATGGATAGGGCGCGCCGCGTGTGCGGAGGGTGCGTCTGCGCCCTTCAAGACCCGAAGAAGAAGAAGAAGAAAAAGAAGAAGAAGATGAAGCAGAGGAAGAAGAAGAAGAAGAAGAAGGAGAAGGAGAAGGAGAAAAAGAAGGAGAAGAGTAAGAAGAAGAAGAAGAAGAATAAGACGAAGAAGAAGCAGACGAAGAAGAAGAGCCGAAGAAGAGGAAACAGACGGAGCGTAGGGCCTCGGCGCTGGGTAGACGACGAAGAGATGCAGGTACTCGATTGCGTATTGCTTGTCATCTACACCGCCGAGTGCCTGATTCGTCTCTATGTCGAGCGTGGCCGCTTCCTGTGGAAAGTGTGGAATGTGGTGGCGCTTCGTCTGCTGAGTCTTAGGAATGTCTTTGGACATTTCGGGTTCGCGGGTTGGGGGGCTGGATCATTGAAGGGTTGCAATTGTTGGCTGGAAGGTTCGGCTGACCGATCTGTGAGCAGTGACGAGCATCCTCAAGCCCTCCTTGCATGCGAACGGTCAAGCCTCCCCCGCGCTGTCCTTCAAAGTGACAAATCGCCTTGTCAGGGTTATGGCTGAGCATATGCCATCGTGATTCGACATTGTGGAAGAGAACGGGTTGCGCAGCAAGACTGTAGTCCAAAACGCCCCTCCATATTTGCCCGACTGCCCGAGCTGCAGAGTCCTAGTGCTGTAAGCTTCCGAAGGACATCGCCACACTGGCTGCTGGCTGGCCCAGCTACCTCCTCGGGTCAAGGCTCGTGCGACATGCTGAACGATCTGCCAGGCTGATGTCTATAAAGTTTGGCGGTCTTCAAAAGCCTAAGCCTTGCATGTTGAGCTCAGTTGGAGGGATTGTTCCGATTTTGTTCAGAGTTCTAAAACACTTTGGTACGAATTCCTATTCAATCTGTCCACAAGCCAACTCCTACTTCTGAGGGCGGCGCCAAAATACAAACACACAAACACTGCTTGAGAGATGTGAGGAAACATACCAGACAAACACTCTTGTGCAGTAAACTGGGCTGGGCTTCCAAGCCGAGGTCGGAATGTGGCTCAATCAACACACAGATGCAAGAAGCACTCTGAGTCTCGAGCTTTGGGGCAGAAGCGCTGGCGATTGAATGGCAAGCCAACAGGTTGTTGCAAGTCGGTTCTTGAATTCCCAAATTGGCCGAACACGGTCGAAACCCAAAAGGCCCTAAACCATCCTAAGCCCCCAAGCCCGGGATGTTCGGCGAGGCTGAACCCGAACGTCCTGCGGCTCTTCCGCTGCATACGGACCATTCGGGCCGCACGCATCTTTATCTCCGTGCCGGAGCTCTATCTGCTAGCCGCTTGGGCATTTGACATTTGCGATACAGGAAGAGGCGTGCTATCGGCAGACGTCGAGGATCAGGCGAATATCTAAATAACATCGTAGCGAATAACTACTAAACCCTGAAACCCTGTAAAGCGTCGAAACCCTGTAAACGCTGTGAAAACCTCAATGCGCCGTACAAGCCCGTAACAAGTCAAGTCTGTCAAGGTCACGGGGCTGTCCTCCTCGATCAAGGCAAACAAGGGCCCGCGGTCATGGAATTCCATGGGGGTTTCGGGAGAAGTGCGGCTGGGAGTCGCTGAAGGGTCTTCAGAAGGCCTTCGGTGCAACTGGCGCATTCGTGAAGATGCACATTCGTGAAGGCTGTTCTTTAAACTCCGCTAACATATCCATCATCATTAGCTTCTCAGAAGTGGGAGAGGGTTCGACTTTTTGGGCACCCTTGAACCCCCCGAAGCCCCATGTCCTTGTGATTCTGGAACTCCCCGGCTTCCGCGGAACCCAAGAATCGACAGACACCCCCCAGCTGCAGGTCCCACTGCAGTTCCTAAACCGTCGAAACCTCGATAACAGCCCAACAAGTCCTAAACCCCAAAGCCGTGTAACCCCGAAAGCCCCCCAAAAAGCCAGGCCATCCTTTTTGGCTCGCTTCTCCTGATCGCCTCTTTGGTGTTTTGGGCCGTCATCGCGGTGGAAGTGCTCCACCCAATCACCTCAAGGAGCTCTCAAGTGCGGAGAGGGGTTCTCTCGCTAAATTTGATTTAGGGTGGGGCGCCCCGGTCGAAAATATGTGCGCCCTTTTTTTTTTTTTTTTTTCTCCTACGAACCCCCAAAAAGGACCCGGGTGTAGAGAACTACCCATAGGACATAGGACAGATTTAGATGAGGCGGAGTGGCCATGGGTTTGAGGATCAGTAGGGGTCCAGAATGTGTAGGGCTTCGATCTTGGAGTTTAGAGCATTTGGGGTTTTCAATCCTGAACCTTTTGGAAAAAAAGCATCGGCCCTCGAGTCGAAAGAGTCGAAGTCGAAGAAATTTCCAGGTTTCGAACCTAACGCTGCCCCAAACATGCGACTGCCAAAACCATCGGTGCCCCGAAGCCCTGAACGGAAGCGCCATCCCTAGACCCCAACAAATTGAAGCCGAACAGGCTTGCACGAGAGCGCCCAAATCGACAGAGCCCGACTAAAGTAAGTTGCCCTCGTTGCAGGATCCCTGCTTCCATCTGCGAGCGGTGTCCAGAGACTCGTATTGATTTGTATCACCCGCTGCGTTCACTGGCCTTGAGACTCTCTTCTACTGAGTGCTTTTGCACGAGTAGGGTGTGTTATTGGGGCAGCATGGTACGACGCTCCTGGTACATCTGGAGGCCGCGTTCCTTTCGTGGCTTGAGGGTTTTGTGCCCTTCAGATAGGGGTAACTTGGCTTTTGCGCCCTTTTCGATTCCCAATGCAGAAGCCTTGAAGCTCCAAACCGCCTGTTCACCAAGCCCTGAGCCGTCCCCAGCCCTCACAGCCAGCCTGAAGCCCCAAGCAATGACAACACTCAGAAATTATAATGTGCGTGCAGGCTAAGAAGCAGCTGAAGCCGGACACCCTACACTCCATTGTGCAGTGGATATAAGGAGGGGTTTGCGGGAATCTTCGCCGCGACTGTGACCCTCTTCCAGCAGGTTTCTCCGCCTTGTCTAGACCGTTGCTTTTGGTTTGTGCTGTCTGATTGGGGCTTGTATCTTCTTGCGAGGTTTAGGTGGGGGGGTCCCTATAAGAACGATGGGGATTCAGTATCAAAGCTGAGCTGCGCTGGATCAAAGGTGATTGGAACTGGGAAGCTGTTTCAACCTAAGATACTGTCATGCCATCGAGGTAGTCTTGTGTGTCATATAAGCCAGAAGCCATAACGCACGAGTTGCCGTCCTTGGACATCTGCAGACCGTGAACAAAGCACGCGGTCGAAGTGATTGTCTTCTGATGGAAAGGCATTCTTCAACACATACCATCGTGACAACCCAGCTTGGGTGTTTAGGTGCTGTATATGGCATCGGGGTTCCATTGTTGCTGCAGTACCCCGGGTGCGAAAATCCAAAGTCATTGCGCCGCAATTGTGCTGTGACTTGGGCCACCCCACACGTTCCAACACGGAGTTTCTGCTTGTGGGGGGGGGGGGGACTTCAGCTTCACTTGTCCGAAGCGAGCCGCCCGCAGGTCGTTGCCGGCGACGCTTGGGGGCAGATCTCCCTGCCACTGCTTGCGGTTGAGCCCTGGATGCTGGGCTTGCAGAAAGAGTCGTGGTGCAGCGTTTCCGAGCATTGTTGTCAGCTTGAAGTGCTCCAGATTCCAGGACGGCTTCCGAGTGCAGCATGTGCTACAAGTAGCAAACAAGCTGCGCATTCCGAGCTTCTCTTCCAAAACCCTTTGAACACGCGGGACTGTGCTCAGAGTATTTTCGGTGGAGTGATCCAGACTTGTGAATTGTGGCTGCTGCTGATGCGAGCAGCTCAGGGCAGGTGTAGTCCTCTTCTTGATCGCGGTGACAGTTTCGCTGGGAATACTGAATCTCATTTTGGCAGTAATCGCCTCTTGGCCGCAACTTGGGGTTTGGGCGGTTTGGGCCGGTTTGGGGGTTTCAGACCCTTGTGATCTTTGGCTATTCTTCTGCGGCCTTTTCAAGGGCTGCTTCCGAGATGGCTGCCGAATCTTGCCTAGCCGTTGTTGCGGCCACATACTGTGAAGCCCTGGTTGTTCATCCCAGCTTTTCCACCGTTGATCTCTGCAAGCTTCCTTGCCGTCGGTGATCTGGCAGTCTTCAGGTCGAGAGAGCTGCGCAATCGCGGGACAAGGACCAAGAGCGGAAAATCAAGCAGAAGGACGGGCGCGGCTCCCAAACCGATGCTGTCCCAACCCAACGCCCTCGGAACGATGGGATGTTGCATAGCTTGGCACAGTCCCCAATCCCATGGCCGAGGTTAAAGCAGTGTTTCGATGCTTTGCATCAGAAGGGGTGGAAGTTATTCTCCGTGGCGCTGGGGTCTCGAGCATTGGAGATCTGGGATCTGACCCAGGAAGGACCCCAGAGAGTCCACTACCACCCAAAGCCTACATCCGATTCAGGACCCGTCTACATCCCTATATAGTTCACGGAGCTTAAGGGCTGTTCTTGAATAGAAAGGGTATTGGGATCTCTTTGGCAAGGAGGAGGAGCGATCCAAGAACATGTTCGACTTGGCGGTTCTGTGCGCCAGCATGGACACACGGCTGCCTCTCTTGGGGATAGCTTCCCTTCTGCGACTGACCTAAAGGCCTACGGAGCCCCACTGTCAATTAAGTGTCGGCGGACACAGGTGATGCCCAAAGCCACACAAACAAGCTGAAGCTGAGCAAAAGAGGGTGAAGGCCAAGCCCTTCACCTTGAATCTCTTTTGTGAGCCTGGCCAAGGACCAAGACAGCAGTGGCGCCCTTTCACTCGAGGAGATGCTTCAAGGATACGATCGGAACGAAGACTTCCAGAAGCGGATGCAGGTTGGTTTGCAGACTAAGCACACCTTCTCCCCAACTTAAGCCTGAATCTAAACCCTCAACACTCAAGTTGCCTGCTTTGGCCTCGCAGGATGCCCTTGCCATCTTTAAGGTGTAGATTCCTCTTTATTGACCAGCTGTTTTCTTGCAAGGGTTTGCTGTTTAGAGGGTGCTACTAGGTGATGGACGTGAAGAGGGAGGACATGCAGACCATCTTCCGGGTGCTTGATAGCGACGACTCGGGCGAGGTGTCCTACCTTGAGTTCTGCCAGCATCTCGGCAGCTTCTCCGCGCGGGATCCGGTCGTCATGCACTCCCTGGTGAAGTTCTCGATCATGGAGCTGCGGAAGTGGATGGTGCAGGAGATGATGGGACTTCTCCACGAGCCTGGGCTCGCACCCTGAAACTTGAGAAGCGCCCCTGGGGCTTCGCAAAGATCCCAACCAAAAAAAAGTACCAGAAAAGCACTTCGACGCGTTGTGATGCCTTTGGCTGAAGGTGTGAAACCTTGTCAGACCCCCAAGAAACACTGCTGTGGCCAGCACCGCCCGAGAAGAAGTGTCGCAGAGCCCTAAACCCTGAAACCCTAACACCCTACATCACTACTCCCAGAAAATGTGTGGCAGCCCCCCGCGGGGGGGAGGCGCAAGGCATTAGAATGCCTTGCGCACCCCCCAAATGCCTTGCAGACCCCCCCCCCCCTACAAGTATCTAGAAAGCACCTCCGTCGGTTCAGGGCTGCATGAGGCATATCTAGGTTTGTTATACAAGCCCTCAGAGGTTGTACTGTTCTGAGTGGGGGTCTCATGCTTTGTCTATACTTCAAACAGGGTTCGGGGTCCGTGGGGTTAAAGACTTGAGTCCTTGGGGCGCTGGTGTGTGGTGAGTTGTGCTCAGTCCAAGGGCTTATGGTGTAATATGGTGTAGTACTGGGTTCAGGGCTCAGGATTCCTTGTCTTTGGAAGAGCCATTCTCGCATATTTGTTTTCGCCGGCCGGTCAGCCTCGGATCCTTAGTTGTGCGTGTGCACGACCAGGGTGGCTAGAGTCTTGTACTCGTTGCCATGCCTGAGCGAAGTCTATGATAATATTTAAGGGGCTGCGCCCATGGGCGGGCAGCGCACGCAGAAGCCCGGGGCGAGCAGTTTCTAAGCATGTTGAGCTCCCTAAAATCTCTAAGCGTTAAGTTTCTAAGCATTTTCAGGCCCCTAAACTCCCTTCAAATCTCTAAGCGTTTGAGGCTCCTAGACTCCCTTAACGTTTCTAAAGGCCCCTAAACTCCCTTTTTCCTAGCCCCGGGCTTAGACACGTCGCTTATGCCCGCCCTTTGGGGGGCCATGCTCCTGATGCGCCCCCGGGGTCCCGCCCCGGGAGCCGCTGATGCTCCTGATGCGCGCCTGGGGGTCCCGGGCTGGACCCGCTGATGCTCATGATGCGCGCCCTCTGGGGGCCTCCGTGGCGACGCAAAAAACCACGAAAAAAAAACCGTTCACCGGCGGCACGCGGGGGTCGGCGGCACTGGCGTCCGGCCTAATTCTGCTTCGCAGAAGGCCAGAGGCCAGCAAGGCTATTCCCGGGACGACCCGGGCTAAAAGGTCCGCATTTGCTCGGTCCTTTGGGGACCTCGCGCTGCCCGATTTAATGGCTACCGCCAGTGCCGCCGACCCCCTCCAAGGGGGGCCAAGGCACTGTGGGCTCCGGCCGCGGATTATGTATAGGGAAGTGAGAGAATGGAAAAGTGGGGGAGTGAGGGAGCGAGGAAGCGAGGGGGGGTTGGGGGTGGGGGTGGAGCAGGGGCCATATATAGGACCAGCATTGGCAGCCATGCAGGTCGAGGGATGAAGAATGGGACCAGGAGCCATGTCCATGAGAAGCATGGCGGGGTGCGTGGGGGGCTTGGGCAAGAGGGGGAGTATGCGGAGCGGGAAGGGCGGATGAACGGGGGGGGATAGGGCAAGCGGGCCAAGCGGGGGAGGTCGAGGGGATGGAGAGTGGGAGCGTGCGCCAAGGGGGGAGTAGGCGGAGCTGGAAGGGCGGAGGGCGGACGGAGCGGGCGGAGCGGGCATGCACTGGGCCCGAAAGTCAGCTGAGAAGCCACATCCATGGGCCGTGGACCATGAGCCAATGGGGCCAGGAGCCATGGGTCCAGTGGGGGGGCGGGGTGCGTGGGGGGTGGGGGTGGGGGGTGGAGCCATGGGGCCAGGAGCAAGGGGCCCATGGCGGCGGGGCAGGGTGCGTGCGGGGTGGGGGTGCGGGTTGGGGGTGGGGGTAGCAGGGGCCAGAAAAAGGACCAGCGTTGGCAGCCATGCAGCTCAAGGGATGAAGAATGGGACCAGGAGCCATGGGGCGGGGGGCGGGAGTAGGCGGAGCTGGAAGGGCGGAGGGGAGCGGGCGGAGCGGGCGGAGGGCCTGGGCATGTACTGGGGCCCTTTAAAGTCAGCTGAGAAGCCAGGAGCCATGGGTCCAGTGGGGGGCGGGGTGCGTGGGGGGTGGGGGTGGGTGGGGGTGGGGGCTGGGGGTTGGGGGTGGCAGGGTGCGTACGGTATGGGGGTTGGGGGTTGGGGGTTGGGGTGGAGCAGGGGCCATATATAGGACCAGCATTGGCAGCCATGCAGGTCGAGGGATGAAGAATGGGACCAGGCGGTGCTCAAGAGATGGGTCCATGAGAAGCATGGCGGGGTGCGCGGGGGGCTTGGGCAAGGGGGGGAGTATGCGGAGCGGGAAGGGCGGATGGGCGGGGGGCGGGGTGCGTGGGTGGTGGGGGTAGGGGCGGAGAAGCCACCTGCTTGGGCATGAGGGGCATGGGGCGGCGGGGCAGGGTGCGTGAGGGGTAAGGGGTAGGGAGCTGGGTCCCCAGAGCTTCCATTCTTGCTTAAATAAGGTTGTCTTGCTTAATTTTTTTTGTCTGCCTTAAATAGACGTTTTTCTAAGCTAATTAGACAAGATTTTTTTAAATAAGGAAGAATAAACGCATTATTGACTATTTAGAAGGTTTTACTCCTTAATTAAGAGGTTTTTCTTGCTAAATAAGGATTACATCTTAAATTTAGCAAAGACAAAAACAACCAGAAAATTACCATCTATTTAGTGTTAAGCAGTAATTTTTTTCACATAAATTTTGTGTGATCGACGATGCATGTGCCACGATGGGCTACAGCTTTGGGCTCTTGATCGGTTTGATCTCGTCGCTCCGCCTAAAATAATGTCGGGGGACCGAAGAAAGAACACGGCCAGTGGCAAAGACATAGCCCCGTTGCTACAGGCAGCTTTTGGTACTGAGGGACCCAAAGCAGGGGAGTTCCCCAGCACAGGGCTTCAGTTTTTGGAAGTCCATGAGTTTCTCATCAAGGAACTTTTGCTGGCCACACCGAGAGTCACTGCTGGATTGGTTCAGGAAGGTTGCAATGCATGCTTTCAAGGCCTGGATCAAGCAGTGGCCGTCTCGTTCAGTCAAGTGGTGGCAAGTGCTTGCAAGTTGGTGTGGGACAAAAAGGGCCAGGTACTGAATGGTAAGAAGCTCAAGCCGGATGCTTTGAGAAGGTTGGTCATGGTGCTGGCCGGGCCCAGGAGGTCTCTTGAGCAAGGGACGTTTTTGAAGAAGCAAAAGGAGAGTGCCTCAGGCTCTGGCTCCCGCCTGTCCACTGGATCAACAGCCAGCTCCTCTGGAGGTGCTTGTCTTGAGAGCGAGCTCGGTGCCTTGGCAGCCTCCTATGGCTTGCCAGCAGTGCCGGCCAAGGCAAATGCTCTTGTCCCGCCAGTTGGTGTTTCAGATGACGAATCGCCAAATGCACCAGCTGCAATGGAGATTTCCTCCTCGGAGGAGGTGCCCAGCAGCAGTGCCAAGAGCAAGGCGAAAGCTTCTGCCCCTCAGCCTCGAAAGCTTTCAGGCAAGCCGAGCCTCGGGGCCTACGATGCGAACAGGGCTTGCATGGTGAGGACCGAAAAAGGTAGGCTCTACGAAGCCGACATGACAGAAGGCACCGACGGTTTCATGATATATATATATACTGATATATATATATATACATAGGCTTTAGGGTTTAGGGTTTAAGGTTTAGGGTTTAGGGCTCAGGGTTTAGGGCTCAGGGTTAGGGTTTAGGGTTCCCAAAAACCTAAACCCTAAAGCCGAAACCCTTCAAGCCCAAACCCTAAACAGGTCCCTGAACCCTATAGGTATATAACTCATGAATTTTGATGTGTTGGGAGCCCTGGCCCGGGGAAGTGGGGTTAAAAAAGGTTAAAAACCTTAACCTTTTTTAACCGCTCCTGTCGAGTATGTTGCCTTTTAAAACAAGGTTAAAAAAGGTTAAGGTTTTTAACCTTTTTTAACCCTGGGGGCCCTGGTGCACCACTCAACTGCCCCGCTAGCATTTCGCTGCAAACCAAAAACGTCCCATTTTGGTTCTTTCGCCCGTGTAGCTGGCTGGCAGCCATGGCGAAAGCAACGGCAGCCAAGACGAAGCCGGCAGCCAAGAAGCCAGTCAAGCAGCAGCTGAAGAGCCCGAAAAAGGCAAGGAACACTTCGGCATCAGTGAACAAGGGCCAGATCAGTGGTTTCCTGACTGGCATCAAGTACAAGGCCAACAACCCCAAGGATCCCCAGACCAGCAGTGCCCAGCAGCTCTTGGAGGCCCAGTGGTGTTGCACGATCGATGTATATACATGTGTGTATGTATAATTAATATACACATATATACTATCTGCATATATATTATTATTATATATATATAATAACATATATAATATTTATAATACATATATATATAGATACTTTTGTATATATATATACACACTTAAATTGTGTATATATATACATATATTATGAATGAAAAGATATGGATGTACATATATATATATACATGATTATATAGAATAATACAAATATATATGTCGTATATATATATATATATCTATATCTATATATATATATAAGAATTATATGCATGCATGTATTTATATATATAATATAAATCGATATATATATATATATATATATCGGTATATATCGATCGATACTATATATAGTATGATCTATTATAAACTTAAGTATATATGCATGTATATATATAGATCGATATACTAGTACGTATACATCTATATATATATATATACATAATATATTATTAATATACATAATGATTAATATACTGATCATGGACTTAATTAATTTATAAAATACGAATATATATATATATATATATCTATATATCCATATATATAGATCGAAATAAATAAATAAATATATATATATATATATATTTATTTAGATTATAATTGATCGACTTTTAATAACCCATGCATAGTAATAACAGTCCTGGTGAGGCCTATCACAGCCAGGATTCTGACGGCAAGCACAAGCTCATTGCGCGCTACATGGACGAAGGTGGCATCAAGAACCTCGCCTGGGTCGCCTCGTACATCGAGAGCAGCGAGCAGCAGGAGCAGGAGCTCTGCGAAAACAAGAAAGGTTTCATGACCAGAGATGAGATCCTCGGGCTCAATGGCTTCGTGGTGAATGGAAATCTACCAGAAAAGCGAGCAGAGCCCGTGCTGCAGGCCCTTCTCAAGAAGTGCTGGGAAGCCAACGGCTTGGCTGATGCTGCAGCGAAGGATCCTTGTGAATTGATCCAGAAAGATGCTGATGTCCCTGAGCTTACAATGTACTACTATGTGAAGACACAGCAACGGGACACAAATGCCACAGTGAAAAGCAGCAAGCTTGAACAGCATGCTTCCCTGAAGCAGTCTGGCCTTAAGGCAGTGCTGGACAAGGCCACGGGATCCTGCGATGTGAAGATCGAATTCCCCGAGAGGATTGATGGCAAGAACCAGGGCAGGGTCCTGAAGTCGGGCAAGGAGAAGATGGAAAAGGAAATTGGCCAGCTGAAGGATGCACTGTGCCTGGGCAAGACCCTCAACAAGCCCGAGATGGAGGGCCTCTTGAAGGAGGGGGAGAAGCATCAGATGCAGGCCCAGGAGTTCGTGGAGCAGAAAGCCCGGAAGCAGCTGTCTGTGCTGGCCAGCCTGGAGAAGAACCCCGATGCCACCGCTGAGCAGTGGCTAGAGCACACGGAGGATATGAAGGCCACCTGTGCCAAGGCTCAGGTTCACTGCGATGGGCTGAAGGCCTTTCGTGCTCGCCTGAATGTTTGCCTGTAGGTATAGATCTCCAAGCACCGTTTGTTTTGGGCCGGCTTCAGTTTTGACTCATGCAGCACGGGGCCCATGTAGATCGACCATAAGCGACAGCAAATTAAAAGGATCGAGGCCCTTGCAGCTGCATGTTACTGCATGCATGACATATCGCCGACTGCATGTTATATTGCCTGCCTGCCACTGCGATCCAGTACATGCATTATAAATTGGACTGCTACTTTAAAATCCTTTTGCAGTCGAGATAGCTAGCAATGGATGTTGTCCAAATCAGCCAGAGCTGCTTCCAAGAAGCGACGGGGAGAGAGGAACCTCAGGTCCAACATCTCAGATCTCTTCCTCAGTGGCTCGATATCAGCTGCCAGGGCTAGGGGCATCTTCCAGGATGCTGCAGATGCCCAGGCCAGGCATGTTAACGACCTGGTTGTCTCGGAGGACAAAAACATCCATCGCAACCTTCTCAGGAAGCTGGTACGAGGTTCTGCCTGGCCGAAACCCTATATTGCAGACATAACAATGTACGACCCCCACACTCACAATGTCTGCAAAAAACCCATTGCAGTTTATCTCCCTCATGAGATCCACTGGTGCTTGCTGAGATGGAACGGAAGCCCCGAGGCCCGACAGCGATTGCTGGATTGGCAGAGTTTGAGGCGGGATGTTCGTGAGAGGGTTGCCTCCTCAGTGGAGGCCTTAACTCTCGATCCAGAGGCTTTGGTGGCCTGGGGGCTTTGGTGTGACGGTGTTCCTGTCAGATATGACCGGAGTGAGCGTTTGGAGTGCTTCAGCCTCAACCCTTTGATCAACGAGACATTTGTGCAAACCTTCAGACTGCCCCTGACATGCATCTACAAGAGTTTTTGCTGCAAGGATGGCAGGACTGTGGACGATTTGATGGCTATTTTTGCTCACAGTTTTCATTGCATGCGAGAAGGAATCTTTCCAGAGGTGGATTTCCAGGGGCAACCTTTTAAGTCATCGTGGCGCCGGAAGATGGCTGGGAGGCCTTTGCTGGCACAGGGGATCCTTGCAGAGGTCCGTGGGGACTGGGCGATGTACAAGCAGGTGTTTAAGCTCCCAAGCTGGAATGCTGCAGGAAGATGTTGTTTCAAATGCAAATGTTCGCTGCAGGAAATCCGGTCATGCTCGTCTTCAGCACCCTGGAGAGATCACCCTTGGTCCTTTTTGGAACTCCAAGAGCACATGCTGGACAAGTCTGGTGCAGTGAGTCCCATCATGGCTGCCCCAGGCATAAGTTTGGCCACCTTCGAGGTGGACTGGCTCCACTCGTGCGACTTGGGGGTCGCAGCCGATTTTCTGGGCAATTGCTGTTTTCTCGTTTCGAAACACATGCCAGGCTCCTCGGAGGAGCAGCGAGTGGCCAGCCTCTGGCGAGATATCAAGCAGTGGTACACCGAGAACCAGACGCCCAACCAGTTTAACACCATAACCAAGCTCATGATCCGAAAGGAAGCCAGGAAGAGCCCCAAACTTAGAGGCAGAGATCAGATACCTGATTCCCTGGTCTGTGCACATCACTGAGCGACTTTTTTCTGGTTATCCACCCTCCTCGGAGGAGGGCACCTGCCGGCTAGCAGCCAAGCAGATCCAGATCTGCTACTCCCAGTTATCGACCGAAAACTTCGACCCCAAGGTTTTGGCAGACAGTTGCAAGAGTTTTTTGCTATTGTACACTGCACTGGAAGACCTTTGTTTACTTGAGCATCGCTGGAGATACAAACCCAAATTTCATTTGTGGCAACACATGTGTGAAAGCACCCAGTCTGCTCCGAGTCTGTATTGGACGTATGATGATGAGGACTGGGGCGGGAGCCTGGGGAGGATGTCTGTGCGAAGAGGAGGCAAGCATGTGGCTTTGGGCTTGTCGAAGACAGTGCTCACAAAGTTTGCTGCACAGAACAAGGTACCTTCGCTGGCAGACCTGGCCTTGCGAGAAAAATCAACAGCACCCTTTTGCGAGCATTTTGCATGTTGCTTGTGCAAGGGTGCATGAGCAAAATAAATAACTATATATATATATATACGATCTTTGTGCATGGTCGAGCATTGTGGCTTGCGTTTTTTTTTGCTGAGTCCGGCCCCCTCTCCCTCGATCACCTGACTCAGCACCATCATGGACGAGTCCCCTTCAAAGAAGCGACGAGTTGGCTCCCGTGATGAAGTTCGATCCACCGCCGGGGGTGGCGAGACTGAAAATGCAGAGCAAGGTGCCCAGCTAAGCCACTTTCGGTGGGCCTGGTGCTGGGTGAATTCTCATGGAACCTGGTGGTGGCAGTGGTTCAAAAGGAGGAGTGACTAGTCGCATGAGCCCGCGAGCCGTGCCCTAGGATCGACAGTTAATTCGGTCATCTTTCTGCCCTGGGCAGACGACTTCTCGGATAATTGCTTGCATGCAGCCAGAGGACAAAAAAAAACCACTGCACCTGCAAGATTCAGCATGATCCATGGGGCTGCAGCAGCATTTGCGATCGAGCTTATAATTTCTTCTCATGTGTTAACTGCCTGACAGAGTTTTGGCTCGAATCATAGAATATTTATTTTTGTTTTAGATCACCTCATACCATGGATCGGAGCCCCGAAAAGAAGAAGGAGATGGAAAAGTTGATCTTGGAGCTCTCGAAGCTGTGGGGCGAAAGATTCGAGGTTACACGTGCCCGAGTCGAGTTGCTCGAGGGAGGAAGCATGTGCCTTCATTGTGTTTGCTTCCACATCAAGGGCTTTCTGAGCGAGAACGATTTCAGAGCCTACGATTTGGTTTGGCCAGAAAGGTTCTGGTGCAAATGCATTGGGTAAGGCTGGCAGAAGTCCAGCTCTATAGAGATCGATACATGGCCCCTTCGAAGGAAAAGGGCCCAGCATCAGGTAAGATTCGCAGGGTGCATGTGCTGTGTGCAAGTTGTGTTGTGTGCAAATTTAAGTGTGCTAGGTGTGTTGTGTGTGCATGAAGTGCACGTGTTGTGTGTTAAGTGTGTTAAGTGTGATATGTGTGTTAAGTGCATGCGCGTGTTGTGTGTTTCAGTGCATGCATGTGTTGTGTGCTAGGTGCTGTGTGTTGTGTGTTGTGTGTTGTGTGTTAACTGTGTGTTGTGTGTTGTGTGTTGTGTCTTGTGCACGTGTTGTGTGTGTTGTGTGTGTTGTGTGTTGTGTGTTGTGTGTTGTGTGTGTGTGTTGTGTGTGTTGTGTGTGTTGTGTGTTGTGTGTTGTGTGTTGTGTGTTGTGTGTTGTGTGTTGTGTGTTGTGTGTTGTGTGTTGTGTGTTGTGTGTTGTGTGTTGTGTGTTGTGCATGTGTTGTGTGTTGTGTGTTGTGAGTTGTGTGTTGTGGTGTTGTGTGTTGTGGTGTGTGTGTGTATATGCGCACATATGGGGGTGGGGCCCCAAATTTAATCCATAATTTCGGACATGGTTTTTGGAAATTCTTTTTTAAAATTCTTTTCTAATTAAGCAAGAATTTTCCTTAAAATTCATCGTTAAATTAATTAAGCAAGAATGGAAGCTCTGGGTCCATGTGGGGTAGGTCAAGGGGATGGAGAGTGGGAGCATGAGCCAGAGTGGAGTAGGCGGAGCTGGAAGGGCGGAGGGCGGAGTGGGCGGAGCGGGCGGAGGGCCTGGGCATGCACTTGGGCCCTTAAAGTCAGCTGAGAAGCCACATCCATGGGTCGTGGACCATGAGCCAATGGGGCCAGGAGCCATGGGTCCAGTGGGGGGCGGGGTGCGTAGCGGTGGGGGTGGGGGTTGGAAGTGTGGGTGTGTGGGGGTGGGGGTGGGGGTTGGAAGTTTGGGGGTGGCAGGGTGCGTGCGGAATGGGGGTGGGGGTTGGGGGTGGGGGGTGGAGCAGGGGCCATTTTTCGGACCAGCATTGGCAGCCAGGTCGAGGGATGAAGAATGGGACCAGGAGCCATGGGTCCATGAGAAGCATGGCGGGGTGTGTGGGGGGCTTGGGCAAGGGGGGGAGTATGCCAGGACCAGCAGCCCTGCAGGTCGAGGGATGAAGAATGGGACCAGGACCCATGAATCCATGAGAAGCATGGCGGGGTGCGTGGGGGGCTTGGGCAAGGGGAGAGCGGGAAGGGCGGATGGGCGGGGGGCGGGGTGCGTGGGTGGTGGGGGAGGCGATGGAGAGTGGGAGCATGGGCCAAGGGGTGGAAGGGCGGAGGGCGGAGCGGGCAGCGGGCAAAGGGGGCGGCCATGCGCTGGGTTTTTTCAAGTCAGCTAAGAAGCCACATCCATGGGCCGTGGACCATGAGCCAATGGGGCCAGGAGCCATGGGTCCAGTGGGGGGCGGGGTGCGTGGGGGTGGGGTTGGGGGCATGGGGTGGGGGTGGGGGTTGGGGGTGGGGGTGGAGCCATGGGGCCAGGAGCCATGGGTCCAGGACAAGCGTGGGCGGCGAGGGTGTGTGCGGGGTGGGGGGGGTTGGGGGTGAGGGGCCATTTTTCGGACCAGCATTGGCAGCCATGCAGGTCGAGGGATGAAGAATGGGACCAGGAGCCAGCCATGCAGGTCGAGGGATGAAGAATGGGACAGGAGCCATGGGTCCATGAGAAGCATGGCGGGGTGCGTGGGGGGCTTGGGCAAGGGAGGGATTTGCAGGTAGAGGTGGGGGTAGGGGCGGAGAAGCCACCTGCTTGGGCCGTGGACCATAATGAATGGGGAGCCATGGGCCAGGAGCCATGGGTCCATGAGGGGCATGGGTGCGTGGGTAAGGGGTAGGGAGCTGGGTCCATGAGGGGTAGGTCAAGGGGATGGAGAGTGGGAGGGCCAGAGGGGAGTAGGCGGAGCTGGAAGTGCGGAGGGAGCGGGCGGAGCGGGCGGAGGGCCCGACCATGGACTGGGGCCCTTTAGTCAGCTGAGAAGCCACATCCATGGGACCATGAGCCAATGCGGCCAGGAGCCATGGGTTCAGTGGGGGGCGGGGTGCGTGGGGGGTGGGGTGGGGGTTGGAAGTGTGGGTGGGTGGGGGTGGGGGTTGGGGGTTGGGGGTGCGACGGTATGGGGGTGGGGGTTGGGGGTTGGGGTGGAGCAGGGCCATTTTTCGGACCAGCATTGGCAGCCATGCAGGTCGAGGGATGAAGAATGGGACCAATGGGGGCCAGGAGCCATGTGGGGGGGCGGGGTGCGTGGGGGGTGGGGGTGGGGGTTGGAAGTGTGGAAAGGGTGGGGTGTGTGGGGGTGGGGGTTGGGGGTGGGGGTGGAGCCATGACGCCAGGAACAAGGGCCCATGACAAGCACGGGGCAGGGTGCGGAGGGGCATGGGCGGCGGGGTCGGAGCTGGGTCCATGAGGGTAGGTCAAGGGATGGAGAGTGGGAGCATGGGCCAAAGGGGAGTAGGCGGAGCTGGAAGGGCGGAGCGGGCGGAGCGGGCACGCACTGGCGCCTTTAAAGTCAGCTGAGAAGCCACATCCATGGGCCGTGGACCATGAGCCAATGGGGCCAGGAGCCATGGGTCCAGTAAGGGGGGGTGCGTGGGGGGGTGTGGGGGTTGGAAGTGTGGGTGCGTGGGGGTGGGGGGTGCAGGGTGGGTGGGGGTTGGGGGTGGGGGTGGAGCAGGGGCCATTTTTTTGACCAGCATTGGCAGCCATGCAGGTCGAGGGATGAAGAATGGGACCAGGAGCCATGGGTCCATGAGAAGCATGGCGGGGTGCGTGGGGGGCTTGGGCAAGGGGGGAGTATGCTAGGACCAGCATTGGCAGCATGCAGGTCGAGGGATAAAGAATGGGACCAGGAGCCATGCGTCCATGAGAAGCATGGCGGGGTGCGTGGGGGGCTTGGACGCGGAGCGGGAAGGGTAGAGGTGGTGGGGGTAGGGGCGGAGAAGCCACCTGCTTGGGCAGTGGACCATAACAAATGGGAGCCATGGGGCCAGGAGCTATGGGTCCATGAGAGGGCATGGGTGCGTGAGGGGTAAGGGGTAGGGATGAGGGGTAGGTCAAGGGGATGGAGAGTGGGAGCATGGGCCAGAGGGAAGTAGGCGGAGCTGGAAGGGCGGAGGGCGGAGGGGGCGGAGCGGGCGGAGCGGGCGGAGGGCCCGGCTGGCGTCAGCTGTTCAGTGGGGGGTGGGGTGCGTGGGGGGTGGGGGTGGGGGTTGGAAGTGTGGGTGGGTGGGGGTAGGAGCCAATGGGGCCAGGAGCCATTGGGTCCAGTGGGGGGGCGGGACACCAGAAGCAAGGGGCCCATGACAAGCACGGGTGGCGGGGCAGAGGGTGCGTGCGGGGTGGGGGTGGGGGTTGCGGGTGGGAGTGGACCAGGAGCCATGGGTGCGTGGCGGGCTTTGGGCAAGGGGAAAGTATGCGGAGCGGGACAGGGCGCATAGGCGGTGCATGGGTGGGGGCCAGGAGGTATGGGTTTATGAGGGGGCATGGGCGGCGGGGCAGGGTGAGGGGTCAGGGGTAGGGAGCTGGGTCCAGAGGGTTAGGTCAAGGGGATGGAGAGCGGGAGCATGGGCCAAAGGGGTGTTGGCGGAGCTGGAAGGGCGGACGTTGCAGCGGGCGGAGAACATCCATGGGCCGTGGACCATGAGCCAATGGGGCCAGGAGCCATGGGTCCAGTGGGGGCGGGGTGCGTGGGGGGGTGGGGGTGGGGGTTGGAAGTGTGGGTGCGTGGGGGGTTGGAGCCATGGGTCCAGTGGGGCGGGTGCGTGGGGTGGGGGTGGGGGTTGGAAGTGTGGAAAGGGTGGGGTGTGTGGGGGTGGGGGTGGAGCCATGACGCCAGAGTGGAGCAGCATGTAGGTGGAGGGATGAAGAATGGGACCAGGAGCCATGGGTCCATGAGAAGCATGGCGGGGTGCGTGGGGGGCTTGGGCAAGGGGGGAGTATGCGAGGACCAGCATTGGCTGCATGGCTGCATAATGAATGCGGAGCCATGGGGCCAGGAGCCATGGGTCCATGAGAGGCATGGGTGCGTGAGGGGTAAGGGGTAGGGAGCTGGGTCCATGAGGGGTAGGTCAAGGGGATGGAGAGTGGGAGCATGGGCCAGAGGGGAGTAGGCGGAGCTGGAAGGGCGGAGGGCGGAGCGGGCGGAGGAGGCGGAGGGCCCGGGCATGCACTGGGGCCCTTTAAAGTCAGCTGAGAAGCCACATCCATGGGCCGTGGACCATGAGCCAATGCGGGGGTTGGAAGTGTGGAAAGGGTGGGGTGTGTGGGGGTGGGGGTTGGGGGTGGGGGTGGAGCCATGACGCCAGGAGCAAGGGGCCCAGGACAAGCACGGGCGGCGGGGCAGGGTGCGTGCGGGGTGGGGGTGGGGGTTGCGGGTGGGAGTGGAGCAGCTCAAGGGATGAAGAATGGGACCAGGAGCCATGGGTCCATGAAAAGCATGGCGGGGTGCGTGGGGGGCTTGGGCAAGGGGAAAGTATGCGGAGCGGGAAGGGCGGATGGGCGGGGAGCGGGTGCGTGGGTGGTGGGGGTAGGGGCGGAGGGGGCCATGGGGCCAGGAGCCATGGCTCCATGAGGGCACGGCGGGGCAGGGTGCGTGAGGGGTAAGGGGAGGGAGCTGGGTCCATGAGGGGTGGTCAAGGGGATGGAGAGTGGGAGCATGGGCCAAAGGGGAGTAGGCGGAGCTGGAAGGGCGGAGGGCGGAGCGGGCGGAGCGGGCGGAGGGTCCGGGCATGCACTGGCGCCTTTAAAGTCAGCTGAGAAGCCACATCCATGGGTCGTGGACCATGAGCCAATGGGGCCCGGGGTCCAGTGGGGGCCGCGGGTGGGGGTGGGGGAAGTGTGGGTGCGTGGGGGTGGGGGTGGGGGTTGGAGCCATGGGTCCAGTGGGGGGGCGGGGTGCGTGGGGGGTGGGTGGGGGTGTGGAAAGGGTGGGGTGTGTGGGGGTTGGGGGTGGGGGTGGAGCCATGACGCCAGGAGCAAGGGGCCCATGACAAGCACGGGCGGCAGGGCAGGGTGCGTGCGGGGTGGGGGTGGGGGTTGCGGGTGGGAGTGGAGCAGCTCAAGGGATGAAGAATGGGACCAGGAGCCATGGGTCCATGAGGGGCGGGCACGGGGAAAGTATGCGGAGCGGGAAGGGCGGATGGGCGGGGAGCGGGTGCGTGGGTGGTGGGGGTAGGGGCGGAGGGGAGCCATGGGGCCAGGAGCCATGGGTCCATGAGGGGCATGGGCGGCGGGGCAGGGTGCGTGAGGGGTAAGGGGTAGGGAGCTGGAGAGTGGGAGCATGGGCCAAAGGGGAGTAGGCGGAGCTGGAAAAGCGGAGGGGGGAGCGGGCGGAGCGGGCGGAGGGCCCGGGCATGGGCCAAAGTCAGCTGAGAAGCCACATCCATGGGCCGTGGACCATGAGCCGATGGGGCCAGGAGCCATGGGTCTAGTGGGGGCGGGGTGCGTGGGGGGGTGGGGGTGGGGGTTGGAAGTGTGGGTGCGTGGGGGTGGGGGTTGGGGGTTGGGGGTGGCAGGGTGCGTGAGGGGTGGGGGTGGGGGTTGGGGGTGGGGGTGGAGCAGAGGGCAAGGGGCTGCTAGGACCAGCATGCAGGTCGAGGGATAAAGAATGGGACCAGGAGCCATGGCGGGGTGCGTGGGGGGCTTGGAGAGCGGGAAGGGCAGATGGGCGGGGAACGGTGGTGCGTGGGTGGTGGGGGTAGAGCAAGCGGGCCAAGCGGGGGAGGTCGAGGGATGGAGAGTGGGAGCAGGGGCCAAGGGGGGAGTAGGCGGAGCTGGAAGGGCGGAGGGCGGAGCGGGCAGCGGGCGGAGGGGGCGGGCATGCACTGGGGCCCTTTAAAGTCAGCTGAGAAGCCACATCCATGGGCCGTGGACCATGAGCCAATGGGGCCAGGAGCCATGGGTCCAGTGGGGGGCGGGGTGCGTGGGGGGTGGGGGTGGGGGCGGTTGGGGGTGGGGGTGGGGGTGGGGGTTGGGGGTGGGGGTGGCAGCTGGAAGTGTGGAAAGGGGTTGGGGGTGGGGGTGGGTTTGGGCGTGCTGAGGCCATGGGTGGCACGGGTGGAGCGACGGGGGTTTGGGCATGCACGGGAATGAACTCAGGGAATGGAGTACCGGCGAGGGTTTGGGCGTGCTGAGGCCATGGGAACTCAGGGAATGGAGCGCACTATGGGTCTTCACTGACGCCGCCCCCGCTCCAGCTGGGGTCGGCGGATACTATTCTCACGCTTTGCTATATTTTATTATAGGACACTACCAACCCCAGTAGTATATATTTGTATATACATATATGCAGAAAGTTTAATTTTGTGACCCGGGGGACAAGAGAAACGACACAGCTCTTGGAAGTATGTAAGCCACGTCTCTCCAGGGAGAGACGTGGGTGGTGGGGAAGCGCAGGGCATTCCGGGTGGCTTGATTTCCAAGAGGAAATGCCTTGAGGGAGGGGGGGGGGATCGTCTAGACGTTGTTAGTAGGGATCACCCAACCCAGAGCCCTGAACCCCTGAAACCCTGAGACCTTCAACCCTGCGAGTGCGACACTGTCTCGGTTAGAATCTTAGAAGTGTTGGACCACCTGGATCCTGCTGCGTGTGAGTGCGAGAGCCCCAGCCCAAAACCAAGGAGCACTCGGCCCTCCTCCGGGAACGCTCAGGGGCACTACAGGGACTCCAGGGAAGCATGAAGCGACCTGGTCGCCTTTTTTTTGCTTTTTGGATTGAGGGCTTGGGGGTGGAGGGGGGTAACTAGATTCTCCCCAGAATATTATGTTGTTTTTTTTCGGTTGTCTTTGTTTGTATCAACCCTATTCAACTCTCTGTTTTGATTGTGGCCCTAAGGGAGTATAGGGAAGCTAAACTGACTCAGTTCCGAGATGTTTTGGGAATCTTGGGCCATTTTTGGCTTCTTGGGGTCGTAAAACATGTTTTTGGTTTGTTCCGAAAAGCACTCTATCAAGACATGGCACACCAAGTACTAGAGCTTGCGAGCCGAGCTTGTGTCTCTCTGGAGCTTGTGGGAGAGCCTTGATCTCCCAAAAACCCAATAACCCCTCTTTTGGACACCGTTGCTAGAGCTGAAAAAGGACCGTGTCGCTCCCGGAGCTCATGCGACTTGGCTACGAAGGGATTCAAGTTTTTGCGCAAGGGAGTTTCAGATTGATTGAACTCCCGAAGCCCTCAACCCCTTGAATCTGAACCCCCCCCAGCAGCTCTGGACCCGCATGGCTTTTGCCACCCAAACCTTGAACCCGGAGTCCGGAGCCTCCGAAATTTCTCGAACGCCATTGCCGGGCTTTCAGGGCGGCGTCATGCATGCCGCAGCTGATGAGGGATTTCTGCTGGGTAGGGTCCTAAGCACAGTTGTTCTGGCTTGCTGGGGCTAATGTGGTAGAAAGCGAGCGACTTGCCTGTGCGTGCCATGGACAATCAATTGATCTTCGCATGGCTCTTCGTCCTGGTGGGCATCTTCGCTGGAGTAAGCGGTGTGTATGACTGGGGCAAAGGCTGGATTTGGTGCCACACAGGCGAGTGCATGTTGGTTCCCTTGGCCGACCTTTTGCTCGCTAGCCCACTCTCAGTCTGGACTGGACCTGCTCAGACGACAAGAGCGCCTGCGCGGTGTAGTGCTGGGCTTGATAACCAGCGGCTGCTACCTCTTCGGCTCAGTGCAGGTGGCCATCATGGCATCGCGGCTTTTGCTGAACGGTGCTGGACCGGGTGCCTGTGCTCGGCTGCTGGTTCCGATGAGCGGCGGCGTCGCCTTCACGGTGACTTTCGTCTGCTGGGCGAAAAACGCCCTCGAAGCAGACTGTCAAACAAAGGAGTCTTCGAGACCATTGCTCGGGCGGGGGGTCTCAGATTCGAAGGCCGCCCAGCCAGCCCGACTCCTTTAAGCAAATCAAGCTGACATGCTTGGTTCTGAGCGCCTCTGCTGAACAGCGGCTGAGGTTGACGCATGTGTAGCAAGCGCCTGATGCACAGACACTCTCCGAAGAGGACGGCGCACGGCGACAAGCTGCGGCCTGCGCGGCCTGAGAAAAAGAGCAGGCACATGCTTGCCATTGTTCGTTATTCAAGGCCTGGAGCTTGTGACCCAAATGCAATACTCACAAATTGACTACGGCATTCCCGGGCCCATGCGCTGCTGCGCAGAGAGGCCAAAGGTGTTGTCCCAGCCAACACGCCTGCGTGAATCAAACGTAGCACCCGGGGCCCCGTGTCGAAGCAAGTCCTGCAAGTGATTGGAACTCCGGATGCATGACGGGCCCCGGGTGCGGCTTTTCCTCCTTCGCTACTCTATCCTTCTACCCTCACATCCAGTTCCCTGCCAGAAGTCTGTGGTCTTTCCCCAAAAGCAGTGTTGAAATGATTGGGGCTCGAGAGGCCGACATCAAGTTGAGCACCAAACTTACGGCGTTGGTTTACGTAGGACTTTTCAGACTTGTAAGAATCATGAAGCCTCAAGGATCACGAATGTGGAAACGACGTCTTCGGGGGCAACTTGGAGGGTGGCGGATGAGACGTTGTCCAGAAAGAAGAAACACGTCCAGGTCCAGGTCCAGGACTGGACATGGAAGCTGCATTTTTTTTGGGGGGGTTGAACATTCATGGAGGGCATTCAGCAGGGCTTCATGATGGTTTGGGTGGATAGGGATGCTAAGCCTTACGACTTGTGGAAGTCAACGCCAACGCCTACTCTTGAGGGCGGCACAAAATCCTAGGACATGACAGCGCTCATGTGTCGTGTTGGCGAGTCTGCTGGTTGGCAGCCCGCGGCAAAAGCAACAGCTTCACAAGTCACGATGCCGCATGGGTGCTGTCGCTGTGACGCAGCTGGGCCGCCCTTTACGTTGGGAAGCCTTGTTTCTCGTAATTGTGTTGCTTTTCTCCAGTTGAAGCTTCAAGCTTCAAACTTCAAAACCCTGGAGGAGGAGTACGCGTCCTTTGCATCGGTCATGGAGGACATGACGGCATCCTGGGTCTTTTCAGCTTTTATTGTGTTTTTTCTGCCCGAAAGCAAAGCCCGAACACCGAAACCCTCACCCGGGCCTATGTAGATGACGTGGGAACACATGAGGGACACAGCTGTCAAGGTACTGCAGCCGTCGGTCAACGCCTCGCAGGCGACTGCAGTCGCTTTAGGGCCAACTGGGGTCGGTTCGGGGGTGAAGTAGAGAATGTTCTCGGTTTCTTCACCCCTCAACCTTCATGAAGTTCGTGCTGTTTGGTGACGAGGTGGGCTTGTTGGGTCGAGAGCTTTGGCCGGCCAATATTCAGCATGTAGAGAATTGCAGATGTCCGGGGCAAGTGAAGAAGAGTCCTGATTCAGGTCTCCTTCGAGCAGGTGGTAACTCAGCTGTCCCTGAAGGGCCAGCAGAAGCGCTTGTCAAGCCGGCATCAGAAGCTGCATCACACCCTCCGGGAACTGCACAGCATGCGCTACAAGCTGATTCTCCGGAGTTGTTGAAGACGAGCTTTTTCATTGGTTTTTTGTTTTTTCATCCGCCGGCCGTTTTGACACGCCCACTATTGCAGTGCCGAAGTAGCCAAGTCAACTAAAAATGATCGAATACTCCCAGATTCTACAGAAGCTGCGAGCGTCTCCATTGCTGTACCCTCCAGGTTAGCTGAAAAGGTGTGGGGCCGGGGTATTCGGGTATTTCCACCAAACGAGGCCGCCCAAGAGATATATTGCCAACATGTGATACTCCTTGTTTTTGGAACCCCAAAAGGGTAACCTTTTTTTCGGGAAGCCACTCTTGTGCAACCTGAGGAATGACGAGGCAAAGCCTTGGATGTCCGATGGAGAAGTTCTTTGGTCGAAGTGGCGGGTCCGGGCTGCGAGAGTGGTACTCTCGCAGACTTTCGAGAGCCTTGGCCTCCCCAGCGAAAGAGTTGAAGCGTTGTCCTGTTCAGACGCCCGGTCTTGTCATCTGCGGCCTAATGTGCAGCGTTTCTTGTCTGACCTTTGGTAAGAAAGGAGTTTCATGGGCCTGGTGTGTCTGGGCAGCATTCTGGTGCAACGCCGCACAAAGGTCCATCCGACGAGCGTCAACAGCAACAGCCCACGTTGTCATTCCTAAATCCACAGAGTGCAGAGCAGCCAAGCTAAAAGAACCGCAACCTTTAGGATTCTTGTCAACTTTGGCTTCATCATCTTCGAGTCCGATCGAGATTCCAAGTGCTACCCGCACTACGCGGGCAGCCTCTTGTCCGGCATCAAGGAGTGTGCTTGAGGGACCAAGGAACATGACCGCTAAGGAAGCGAGCCTCGTGTGTGTTTACCCGTGCTACTAGAGGCACGTGAAGAGGGAGCCGAGTTTCGGAAAACACTCCAAGGCTGGGATACTTGCCCGCACCGGAGCGAACTGCTTCAGTGGCTGCGGGTGGCCACTCCGTCCGAACTCTTTCCAACAACTGTTTTATGAGATTTCGAGCCTCAGTCAGTAAGGATGAACTAAGTGCCCAGTTCTTTCCACAAAGAATGCATTCCATGGTGCCGCTGAGACGAACATCTCGTTTCTGGCCATCTACACGGTGGAGGCGCTATGTCGCGCCTTCGTGGAGCGTGCCTGGTCCGAGGGCTATGGTGGGCCATGAAAATCCCCGAACCACAGATTTCCGAAGTGAGTTGAGTATGGAGAGCACCACAGACAATCTCTGCCTTTTGGTAGGGGGCTTCGCTCGCTATGAAGTACTTCAGCTTATCCACATGCCGCTTCACCACGATAGCAGGCACGAGGAGTGATCAACCTTCAAGCCCCAAACGACATAAAAAAAACAACCGCAAGCACCGACAGCCCATGCTGCGCTGCGTCCCACGGCAACCAAAGCCCGAAACAAAGGCACCCGGTACTTCTGCAACCGATGGAACATTCTGGATCTTCTGACCGTGCTTTTGGGCTGGCCCATGGTGCTATCCCTTGGCCTCTTGCTTGCTTATGCCGATGGACTCTTTCGGCCGTAGCGGTTCGAGCTTTTCCAGGGCTAGGCAGCACACGGAGATCGGCTCTGAGGCTTCGGGGGATCTCGGTCTTAAACTTCGGTTTTCGGGGGCGTGATCAGTGTATGCCTGGCACCGCTGCAGCAAGCGCCCATGGAAGCGCCGCGCTGACCCTACAAGGTTCTGGCAACCTTCACCTGCTTCGGCTGGTCCGTTTCGTTCGGCTACTCGCCGGCACGATGCCTGCCTCCCTCCGCGAACACCATTGAACCCATGTGATAACCAATGGGTCCCTGGCCCAAAAGGTTCTCAGACTCTGAATCGCCAGAGGTTGATCCGCGCCTTGAGGGTCATCCTCTCGGTGCCGGAGCTCTACCTCTTGGTGACTGGCTTTTCTTCTTCGATCAAGGCGCCTGTTTTGCCGGAGTTCAAGGGTTCTTGGATGCTTTTTCATGGTTCCGTCTTCAAATTGCTCCTTACATGAGTCACATGAGCTCCAAACGTGAAGAAGCAAAAGGCAGATGAGAGAGTTCTAGTCTGCAGAGTTCTCGTTTGCACTCTTGTTTTCGTTCCTTACCCTGGCTTAGAAGTGGACGTGATGACATGAGCAGTCAGGTCGCCTTCCTCCCTGCACCCGGAACCATAGAACCATCTCTTTGAAGCCCAGCACTGCAGGCCATGTTCTTTGGCTCTCTGCTTTTGGTGGCCGCTTTGGTGTTCTGGGCCGTCATTGCCGTGGAGCTGCTCCACCCCATCACCTCCGGACTTCCCTATCCTGAATGTGGCTCCGCTGCAGGAATATGTTTGTGTTGCTGATGCCCCTCGCCGGTAGAACACCTCGCTTTTTCACAGTTGCAACATAAAGCCTCATGAAGCTATACCGCACAGCAGCCTCATGAAGCGATGGTCGCTAAAGGTGTAGGCTGCACCCTGACTTGTCTAGAAATTCGCTGACAACAGACCTGGTCAAGTGAGGCACCCACTGTTCTGCCGGATTCAACGGCGTCTTTGCTGCAACGGTCACGCTCTTCCAGCAGATGGTCATGGGCGATGCCTGGGGTTTGCTCCTTGCTCCTGCAAAGGACCTTTGTTGCTTTTTGTTTTCACCATTCCTTCACCGGCTTTGCCGCTGCTGGATCCCCTTGACATTTCAGTGAAGCCCATATGGAGTGCGTGACTCCATGCCTCGCCAAGGACTTCCTTGCCGCTGATCGAGGCGGCGATTCTCGCAGTATTGGAGTTGGTTGGAGTTGGGGTTTGTAGGAGGCTGTTGCAGAACATCCCACCACTTCCACCTGAGCCCGAAGCCAAGTTCCCGCCTGAAACCTACCCATGCAACATATACACAATAACAACCCTGGAGCCCTGGAGTTACAGGGCGTTGCACCTCCAGGCCGCCCCGTGGACCTTCCCAGTCCTTTTCGTGATGATGATGACCGTTTCCTTGGGTGCCACGAACCTCATCCTAGCAGTTATTGCCGCACGCCTTCGAAGCTGGGAAAAGTGGGAGGGAGAGAAATTTAAGTCCAGGGTGTGATGTCGAGGGCTTTGCGATTTTGGCACTGATTTCAATACCTCTGATGCTTAAACCACTTGACCCCAAAAGAGCCCTGGCTGCGTGTGCGCTAGGTGTGTAAGTCGAAAAGCCCCGAAACCTGCCGACTGAAGTCTTCTCGAAACCAGCCTTGAAGGCTCTTTGGCTAAATGTCCCCCGAAAGGTCGAGCGAGCCGCTCAGGGGCGTGACAAGGACCAAGAGCGGAAGATCAAGCAGAAGGATGAGATGGGATGGGATGGAACGGGACGTGACGGGATGGGATGGATTGGACGGATGGATGCACGGGATCAAAAGAAACCCATTGCTGATTTACAAGATGTGTAGCTGAAACTCAGCGCTGCATGGCTTCCGTTCGGAGGAGGAGGAGCGGTGCAAGAATATGATCGACCTTGCGGTGCTGTGTGCCACCATGGATGAAGACAACAGCGGATCACTTTCCCTGGAAGAGATGCCACTTTGCTGTCGTGTTTTGGGTGTTTTCGTTCTGTTTCATTTCATCGCCGGTTCTCGTGGGTCTCATTGGGATCTGTTCATGCGGTGTCTGGGTTTTTTAGGACGCAAAAGGACCCCAGACATGCATTGAAGAACAGCCGAGGCTGCATGGCTACGATCGGAACGAGGATTTTCGGAAATTGATGCAGGTGATGGATGCTGGGCTTTGCAAGAGTACGTTTTCTTAACGTGTCTCACGGTGCAGGGTTTGGAGTGCAAGCAGCACCGACTTTGTTCGAGTAACAACGCTCGGAAACAAAGAGAGCTGCTAGGACAAACTGCCAAGCAGCACTGCCGTAATTTGGAATCAGACATTGATGTTGACCCTGCATGCAATCTATCTAATGGCACCAACATTCCAGCTGCAGGACATCAAGCGCGAAGACATGCAGACCATCTTCCGTGTCCTCGACAGTGACGACTCCGGCGAGGCCTCTCGAACATCAGAAGCGTTCCACGCGACCCGTTCTTGGAAGGAATAGTTAATCAGTTAATCTTTGGACTGAAGCTGCTCAAGTTCATAAAGCTCGAATTTCTGCTTCCAAGCCAAAGCCCCAGACTGTTCAGCGCACGGCCTGGCAAGATCCCGCAAGCCAGGTGTCGTACTTGGAGTTCTGCCAGCATTTGGGCAGTTTCCTGGAGCGCGACCCAGTGGTCATGCACTCCTTGGTGAAGCGCGCGGGATGGGCAAGATGGGGGCCTTGAGTTTAGTTTTGGTTGGCCATCATCCTAGGAACCACAAGTGCGAGCACAGCTTCCAGTACAGGTCTGTAGTCTGGTGAGGGTTGATCCGTTAGGTTGGTTAGTCTGAGTAGGGTTGATTCGTTGGTCGGTCTTGTAATCAAAGCCAGCTCTTCTTTCGACGAGTTTGTCCAAGAGGGCCCAACATTGTGCGACCTCATCGACCCCTGGCTATCCGAAGTCCGGGTCAGAAGGGTTTGGGAGGAGCTTTGGGGGGGGGGGAAATACAAGGAGTCCACATGATCAATATTGCTCGATGCTTTTCAGTGCCCCTTCAGGTACTCAATCATGGAGCTACGGAAGTTGACGCTGAGCTCATGTCGGCCAAGCTTACGCCAAGACTCCCGAAAGGCCCCCCCCAAAAGAATCCGAACCCCAAAATTTGCATCCTCAGTGGGGTGAAGAGACGGCCTTCGCAAAATGATCCCCAGCCCCCGAAATCCCAGAATCCTCCACCTGCACGGCTTGTCTGGGTCCCAGAAGGCTGAGCCGGTCCACTCAACTCCAGGCCTACACTCCCCAAGTCTGCCTCCACATACGTGGCCGAGGATGAAGGAGGACGCTTTCCACATCCTTCACCATCACACGCGCCTCCTCGAGGAGATGGGGGGGCCAGCTCTCCCGAAAATGACAGAAGCATATAGCAAGCTCATCTGAGCTCGTTGAGTGGTTGTGTTAATGTGAAGACTTGGCCGGATTGACTTCTTTTCCTTGACCCAGCGAACTTGCACAAGCTTCTGTTGAGCATTCCGTCAGACTTGGCAGAGATCTCTGCTTCCCTTGAGGAAAACTCCACCTTGTTTGACTTGGGGTGTGGACTGTCCAGTAGATGTAGACTTTCAATAAGTGGCTTGGCAGGTCCCGCAAAGTCCCATCCTTAGGATGAAGGATTGAGTTGTGTCTGATGTGCGTGTGCCCCGCGCCATGCGGAAGTTGCATATGAGCAGCATGCGGAGAGGAGAACTGGAGATTCGCTCTTACGTGCATCGGGGGTTAGCAACACGGGGCTTCTAGGTAGCATGGCTTCTTGCGGCAATTCAAGAGCAGTGCTCGCAGGAGCAAAACGAGCTCCTAGCACGACTTGTCGATTCTCGGCAAAACAGAGTATTTGTCAATTGTAGGGCGCTTTGGTGTGCCAGTGTGCCGGTGGGAGAGTTGCTTGCAGGCACGCGCCTTACTGCGAGCTCTGTAGCTATAGAAGCTGTTGATGAAGCCGTAGATTTCGCAGGCATCTGAACTTGGACCGCGATTCGGTCTCTGTCATCTGGTCCTTGCAGATAGAGCTACGCAATTACTGGCGGCAAACAAGGATGAGTCCTCATCCTCGCCGACTCCGGTGTGCACTGTGAATACGGCGTCAGAGACTACGGCAGTGCAAGGCGAGGTAGCAAAACGCCTTCAACTGCATTTATCACATCCCCTGCTCCCTCCCCCTCAGAATCAATGTGGCGAACCTTTACTGGCGTGAGCCGTACATGCTAATACTGACGCTCATCGCACCCCATCCTTCTGCCAGGATGAGACTTTAACGGAAACCCGAACGAAGGTCCGAAGGTCTACTCGAGGTTCGGGATCAGGGGTCAAGCAGCTAGGATCCTTCGGCTGGCTTGCTCTTTGGTCTTGTGTGCTCTGCTTTGAGAGTCCGAAAAGAATTCTTGAACTCCGAGCCTTAAGACCCCTTATAAGTCTTCATTGTAAGGCAGAGAGATGAAGCAGTGTTGCCCGTTTCTGTTTCGTTGACCCCTTTCTGCGCTGACCTGGAAAAGGCGACGCTTTCGAGCTGCAGAGGCAAGCGCAGCGGCTGGACCAGGAGCGCTCAACGCCTTCGTAGGCTTTCTAGGGGCCCCAGTGGAGAGTTACTTGTTTCGGCCTCGAATTCGGGCTCAGTCCTAGAGTTAGTTGGAAGCTCGTATGTTCCTCGCTTTGTTTCCGAGACCTATGGCCCCGCGATTGCCCCACGCCCCAAAAAATCAGTTAAAGGCTTCGGCTTCGGGTTCCAGGCGGGAAAAGCGCGTACGCTTCCCGAACTGCGTCGGAGACGGGAGAACGCAGCCACCTCTGCTTTCATGAATGTGGATTGGTGCCATTCCGCATTCTGAGTTGGCTCGTCGTGAACCGTGAACCCCACACTCCCCATGAGTGGTTCTCACTTATGGCCGTTGCTGCAGCCGCAAAACCTCCTAAACACAAAGACATCTTACGAGTGTCCTTTCGGAGGAGCTTCGTCGAATGCTGCGGCGTGCACGCGAGCTACTTGCCCCATCTGAATCTGGGATCAGTGCTTCACGTGAAGCCCGAAACCTCCTCAGCTGCAAGGGTCTAGCTAGGTGTGGTGCGGCACGGGTGTCACTGGCCACACTCAAAACGCCTTTCCCTAGGCCTAGACAGAATCCGCGGTAGAGCGGAGAGAGCTGAAGCCGTCCTACAAGGAGAGAAGTCTGAGGCTCTCATATCCCAAAATGGCTACAAGTTCAAGATGCTCAAGTCAAGTCAACGCATGGCAGATGGGCAGTGCCCACACGTAATTCTCAGCTGTGCGTTTCGGGATGCATCTCGTAAGGAGCACATGCTTTTTTTTTGTAAGCTGTGGGACTATAACCTGTGCACGCCGTGATGGCAAAGCGAGCCTCACAGCCATGGGGAGTTGCAAGATTTTTCTTGGCCCTCGGAGGAATGTTCCTCTTGGCCATATTTGGAGATCTGCGCGCCCTGACGTCTTCCAATGATGCCATCGCCTCTGTCTCGGGTGCTGTTTCTGCTGCGGGTGCAGCCCTCGACCAGTCGATGCGACGGGCCGAAAGCTTCGATGCTTGGACGCCATCGCCAACTGCTGAAGCAAAGCCAGCCGACATCCGTCCAGCCGAAGATGCGCCCAATGCTCTGCCGAGACTCGTGGAGCAGGAAGGTCAAGGGCAAGCGCAGCAAGATCAGCAGGGGCAGCAAGGGCTTGAAGGGCCTCAGCCGTCATCCAAGTTTGGCTTCTATCTACATGTCTATGCCGATCCAGCCGCTGTGATTCACCAAGTGCGGCAGGTCAGGCGGCACTTTCCAGACTCTCCTGTTTATGTCATGAGCGATGGGGGGATGGACTTCAGCAATCTGTGTAAGCAAGAGAAGTGCATTTTCACGCTCTGCCCGCCAGCCAACGACCGCTGGCACCCATGGCCATTTTTCAGGCGTATCTACGATGCGGCCCTGAGTCTCAACACCGAGTTTCTCATCATGCTGGAGCCGGACAACACGATACACGGCCCAGTCAAGCGCCTGCCGCAGCACGATGCGGGAGGTGTCCACGTCCCAAGCCGTCATTTCAGGCTCGCTGAGCACGTGGAGCAACTAGCACAGAAACGAGTTCCTGGGTTTCAATGGGATGCTGAAAGTATGCAAGCTGGGCTCTGTGGGGGGGCCTATTTCCGCACAGAGACTGTGCTGGATGCGTTCTCTGATGAAAACATGATGCAGATTGACTGGAACCTCCTTGGAGAGAGTGTCGACAAAGAAGTCTTCTCGTCGGATTTTGCCATGCAGTATGCCCTCGCTGCTCGAGGATGGCGCGTCAGCATCTGGGAGGAGGTAGCGCAGATGGACAAAGACAAGGACCAGCCCCTTGCTGGTCCTCGTGATGCTGCCTTCCGTCATTATTGCTCTTGCTACCCTGGCGGCAAACCCACCTACAATCTGAAGCTTCAACCAGAGGATGAAGATTTGTTTGCCCCGGCACCAGCAGAGTATACCGTTCAGAACTCCAACTGCCAGCTCTGCTACAGCCTGGACCGATATGTGGAGAATTGGGGAAATGCCAAGTGTACCAATCGATTGCCGTTCTCATACTCGCAGAAGCTGATGGACACGTACCATCCCGACCTGAAGACCAAGCCGTGCGACTTACCCTTTCTCTGCAAGCCCCAGCAAGTGATGCCAGCCGCCGTGGCGCGGGATTCGAAATACGGATTCTACTTGCATGTCTACGCAGATCCGGCTGCAGTCATCTTCCAGGTTCGGCAGCTTCGTAAACATTTTCCTGGTTCACCGATTTATGTCATGAGTGATGGCGGCATGGACTTTTCACCTCTATGCGAGCAGCAAGGATGCACTTTCAGGCTGTGTCCTCCAGCAAACGATCGATGGCATCCATGGCCTTTCTTCCGGCGGCTTTACGATGCAGCAGAGAACCTCAACACCGAGTACGTCATCATGCTTGAGCCGGACAACACCATTCATGGCCCGATCAAGCGTGAGCCGAAGCATGATGCGGGAGGAATATATGTGAAGGACCGCAGCTTTGGGTTAGTTGACTATGTTGAGAAGTTGGCGAAGGAGCGGGTTCCAGGCTTCAAGTGGACTCACAAGGCCATGTCTGCAGGCCTGGCTGGCGGGGCCTACTTTAGGAGGGAGGCCATTCTAGATGCTCTCTCGGATGAGAACATGATGAAACTTGATTGGAATATGCTTGGTGAGCAGGCGACAAAGGAGATCTATTCCTCGGACTTTGCCATGCAATATGCCTTCGCCGCGCGTGGCTGGCGGATAGAGCCGTGGGAGGAGACTGCACAAATGGACAAGAACAAGGACATCCCCTTAACTGGGCCGAAGGACGCATCTTTTCGCCACTATTGCTCCTGCTATCCTGGCGGCAAGCCGACATACAACATCAAGCTGAAGAAGGAGGATGAGAAGCTGGTGCGGTCTGGACCGGAGAAGTACCAGCAAACCAACTCTGTTTGCCAGCTCTGTTACAACTTGAGCCGCTACACTGCGCTCTGGGGCACCACGAACTGCACCAACAAGATTCCGTTTCAGTACTCCCAGCTCCTCATGGAAAGGTACCATCCCGAAGTTTTGAGGGGCAAGTGTGAGTTGCCGTGGCTTTGCCAGCGATCAAAGAGGTGAAGCGGTTGAAACTGCCAAGAAACGATGCGACTTACCGCGACTACAGACTCACCCGCGAGGACATGCAGCTCAACCTCTGCAGCACAAAGCCGGCGATCTTGAGCGTGACTCAGGGTCACGTGAGAACAAAAGACAGAAGCGCTGCGCGACGTAGCTACAAATGACTGCGTGGCAGCAGCTTCACACGGAATTCACAAGAAGGTTTTAGCGAGCTGAAGCTGAAGGAGACAAGCAGGCTGTCACGGCCAACCCTCACAGCTACAAGAGATGCCTGATGCTGGTGCGCTAGAAAAAAAACTTGTGCCTGCGCGGTCGTTTAGTAGAGAGCAGGTAGATCTGAGAATATCTGAGACCGGGGTAGCAAGGATGTTTGTTGTACATAATATAGTGCTGCGGCATCATGGCTTGGATTGCTTTCTTCAGTGGACAGTTGCTTTTAGACTCGCGTGTGGTGTGTGTGGGTGCTGGGTTGCCAAAACTGTCCTTGCGCTCGTCTGCTACACAATTTATAAACGCACATGTCGCAAACCCAATATCGCAATGCGTCGTGAGTGTCAGCCAGACAGATGGCAAAACACAACTGAAGTGCAACTGAAGTCTGTAAGCTGGAAGGCTCGTCGATAACATCACTGCCACCTTCACCGCTACGGAGGGCCAGGCTTGCTACAAACGTTCAGACTCATCACGGTTGCTTCAGCATTGTCTTGTTGCCGTAAATGCATGATCACACAACTCCTGTCGTGCCATCCTTGTGCAAATTCTAATGGCCGAGAAGTTCGGGTGAATTGAGGTTTAGGTCTGGAGGTCCTCAGGACCTCAGGCAGATTCTTGGACCAATCTTGTCAACTTGAGAGGTTGCGACATGGTTTAGTGCGGGCCTAGGGTTCCACCAGGACACTAGCTCCGCCTACAAATCGCATCAGGCACTATGAATGTGCCACGGAAATTGCAGAACAATACGTTCGTAGAATGTCTTAGAAGGTACCTGATGTCTCGGAGCAGGAGCCTCATGAGACGCAGGCGCGCCAGCTGAGGGTCGTAGGATTCCATGTGAGAATTCGGCACATGTCGGGTGCCGTGTAGGGGTTGTAGGCTACTTTCGATTGACTCATTATTGGTTGGGAGGCAGAGGTACGAGCATCAGGGTTTGGTCGTTAGGCATTGCATGTCCTGCATACAGGGAGGCTTGTGATGCTTTTGAAGGCTGAGCGAATAAACAATACAGCCAACGCTTGCGTCACCGTCTCTTTCCACGTCGATCACGCCCCCAAAAAGCCCTCAGCAATGCAAAGCTGCATGCGGCCTCCAGCAGAGCACCTCATTGAAGTGTACGAACACCTGACAGGCATCTGTATGTCATTCGTTTGCATGTTGCAAGTCCGGGTCAGGGAGTGGGTTGGGGTTGGGCAAGCCGCCCTGCGAGGGGCTCCCATTTTCAGTGTGAGGAAGTCTCCCCAAAGCCCCTGTTAAGCTTCGAGAGGGCCCAGGAGGAACCCTTTGGATGAACTGTAAGCGTCGAAGCCATGCTAAGCTACTGGGATGGCCAGAGGCAGAAGTTGAAGCCCTAAACCGTAGAGGTGCCAACTCTCAGCCCAAGACCCTCCGCACCTGTGAAAGGAGAACCAGCACAGGAGGTTTGTGGAGGAGCAGTTTGCCATTTGGCTCAGTTCAGGGACAACCATCCCCAACAGCTCATGAGAGGATTGACCTCTTGCAGTCGGAGTCGAGTCTATATGAGACACCGAGGAACGCCTCTGCAGTCGTTTTCAAGCACATGCGCACGAAGCGGAGCATCTGCAGCAAGGGCTCCTTGGCCGCCGTTTTAGATCCTTTGAGGGGCTTGGAGGTTTTGGGTGCACGGTTCAATGTGCCGGGGAGCATCTAGGCATATCTAGATATCTGGGCCTTTCAGGTATTGCTTGTCAGGGCAACCCTGCATCCTGCAAGCAGGCATCCCCACACTTTGCTTGATGATGAGATTGCAATGGTTGCACAAAGCCTCAATGAATGTGCACCGCTGCCCTGTGTGTGCGGTTGAGGTGCCAGCAGATTCAACAGAAGCTTGAAGAAGCAAAGCGCGATGTCAGAGAAGGCCGCAGCCAGGCTTCGTTACTTCTTCGACCTCCAACCCAGTATACTACATAGCACGCATGTTCCAGTATATGTTATTTTAGGGTAACCAGAACCTTTGAGCTTTCGGTTGCTGTTGCCGTTGGTGTGCTGGATATGTTGGATCTTGCGTGGGATCCGGGGCGAAGCTGCAGCCTGCCCCATTGCTTGGACGTGCAGATCATGGGGGGTGGGATCTCAAAGTCCCTCAATCTACTCAACTCTATGCGTCAGTGATGTCCTGCGTGCGTGTCACATGCGTTCCACGGCAGACGTGGCACACCGCTTGCATCAACTGCAGCAACTGTTCAACTTGGGACCCCCCTGCACCTCGTTTTTCTTTTCTCCCAAGCTCTGAGGAACACAAGTGGTGGTCTCCCAATTCTTGTGAGCGCATGCTAAGCAATGCGAAGCAGCGGGGGCTGCGTTCAGTGCGGGACTGAAGCTGGTGACCAAGTGACCAAGGCTTGGAATCCAGGCTCAGTTGCCCTCAGAACTGAGCTCGGGACCGTAGTTTTCAATAATTCGGGCCTTTGCGTTGACCCGCATCCTCTGTTCACTGGATGAGGAGGTAGGCCCGACACAGCAACAGCGGCGACTTGCATGGCAGGAACTCCCGGCAGTCTAATGACGCTGGCGATGTATTATTTTAAGTAGCTGCAACAGGCATTCTACTTCTGCAGCAGACTTCCCCGCCCAGACCCCTGTGCTCCATCTGATATCTCAGCCCCGCGGGATAAGGGCCCATAAGGCCCCACGTGGCCGCTGGGCCGGATGGCGGGCCCTTTTGTTCTCACGTGGAGAAGACAGAGTGTTCTCCACACCGGAACATCCTAGAAACCAACATGGTCACTAGTACATGTAAGCCCCCAAACCTACCTACAAGATGTCTCTGAACTCGTCCCAGCGCCCATCCAGTTCATTGCGAGCTCTCTATGAAGTGTCGCCACGCCTTTCATGCAGAATTTGGACGTTTCACCTGCTCAGTTCGCATTTTAAATGATCTGCGACTCTTGAGTGGGTCCTGCTCGTACCTTTGAAATGCCCCAGAAGTTCGGAGAGTCGATGTTGCCATGCGCCTTCTCGAGAAATTGTGTTGCTGAGCAGTCATTTGACCACCCAAAGGTCAAGGCAGTTCCATGTAGAACCCTACTTCGTGAAGACGGCTTAGGCTCGCTGCTTAGGGATTCAGGGATTCAGGGGCGCAGCGGTAGGCAGTTCAGCAGTTCAGCTCATGCCTTCGTTGCTTGTCGCCGGCGCGGACTGCTTTAAGAGCTTCCGGTGCTGGGCTTCCAGGCGGATTGCTCACGGCCTGGTTGCAAAACGTGCAATCCACTGCCCGGTGTGCTCTTCACACTTCAGGTGTCCTCGAAGTCGAATTTAAAGTAGTTCTGGGATACAGTTCGCATGGCTGCCTGAACCCCCAAGAGCTGGATCTCTCACATCCAGCCGAATCAAGCAGACCGGTCGCCAAGGAGCCACCGAACGGGCCGCACATCGGAGGAAGAAGCCTCTGATTGGGCAGATCCTGAGGAGTCCGCCAAACAGGCCCGGGATGTTGTTTGCTGTTTCAAGCGAATCTGTTGTGATCTGTTGTGGAAGGCTGAGAAGAAGATGCTCTGTCCTGCGCCCCCCAACCTCTAACCGCTGCTGCAACACTACGGTACCTTGTTTTTGATGCCCTGAGAACCCTAAAGACCCCAAAGCCATGAAGCAGTCGAGCCTTCAACTTTTTGAGCCGCCCGAACTCTTCCAAAGACCTCGAAAGAGTCAAGGTGGAGGAGTTGCGACGTGTCCGAAGACAAATTCGCCCCTCGCCATCAGAAGACAAGGAGGATTCTTCGTATGAGAACCCAATTACACGCGCGGAAAAGCAATCAAAGCTTCGGGTCCCCATGGCCTCCAATTATTCCCCCCCCCCCTCGCAATTCTGAAACTTTCTCGAGCGGAAACGTTTTGAAGTGTTAGGGCTGTTTCTGCTCCTAGACGCTGGTTGGAGCCGGCTGGCTTGAACAGGGTGTCTGGGCTGAGCCACTCGTCCCGCCAAGGATACATATTTGGTGGCATGATCCAGAGCTTGCCGGATGCCAGCTCGCTGCGCGTGGCCCCTTAGCTGCAAGACTTCAGGGTGGACTTCATATCACACAGATATGTAATGTGTAGATTGACTATGTGTTTTTTTTTATGAGGCAACAAGCAGCTTTAGTGCATGAAAGTCTAACTAAGTCTACGTCCGGCGAGCCCTCAGCTATCCCCAGCTGCAACAGGCTTGACCGTTCACAAGAGCAACATCCAACATGGGTCTGTAAAAGACCAGCAGATGCACAGTGTTGTGTCGAAAGTGCTCCCTCAAAGAACATGGACCTGCATGTTCTCAGAATGGCCCGGCATACCGCCTCCCGACCGGACGTGCCACGAAAAGCGCGCATCACCCGCAAAACACAGAAAAACGATAACTACGACAACTACAACAATTACAACAGATACAATAATTTACAATAGCTGTTTGTATCAAAGATTGTTCCAGGACACCTCGGGCCGGTACAATTGTGCGCACTTGAATCATGCAGCTCCAAGCTTTGTCTGCTAAGATGGAAGAAGTGGTGAGCATCACCGAGCATCCGTATGAAGGGCGTTCCTTATCTTGTGTCTTGTGTGCCGGGCAAACTTCGCGCCCATGAAGCGAAACCTCTGACTCTTAACACAATCGCCAATGGCTGTGTGTCTATTCGTCCGCCTCTGTACATCTTTATCTGCATTAAGTTTCATGGGAATATACATACACCATCCGTACGTTTGTAGATACATGTGCGTGCTTCCCCATTCCAAGCCCTGCACAAAGGACGACTTGATGAGCGAGGCTGGAACGTCGGTGGCGCAGCATCCGGCCACGTGGTCTGAGGAAAGTTGGGGACGGCAGTCGACCAGTATTTTCAATTTTGGGGCTTCTTAGGGCTTCTTAGGGCTCTCGTTTCGGGGATTCGGGGATTCGGGGATTCGGGGCTTGGGTTGACTCGGAGGGCTTCCGCTTAAGGACTTCTGGGCTGAGGGTTCAGGCTTGTGGCTTGAAGCGACCTGGCAGCCTTTTCCACACACCCCCAATTATGGAATAAAGCTCCGAAGCTTCACTCCTAGCCCCATCTTCTGTCCCAGATGTAGCCACAATGCACCCTAAGGTAAAGGCAGGTGGCAGACAAATAGCTTTTCGGCCGAAAGCCTACAATGAACACCCGAGGCAAAGGCGCCCCACCAAGAGAAGCCGCCGCCGATGCCAGGCAGGGAAGAGGTCAAAGGGGTCGCATAAGGGGTCTTAGGGGATCGAAGGCTTTAGGGTGGCCATTGTAAGGGGTTTCGGATTGCGGGCAGTTCGGAGGCCAAGAATGCAGGGCAGGTGCTCGGCCGCAAAAAGGCTTATGTAGATTTGGACGGACACACACTGAGATCGGTCGGTTAATCGATAGACATGGTAGATGCGCATGTATCTTGCGGGACTGATTAAACCCGACGAGCACGTAATCACACAACTACACAACGAGAACGAAGAGAAAGTACATGAAGATAGGCAGCAGAAACAGATATAGGGACAGGCAGAACGGCAGACGTGTTCTTCGAGTTGTGAAGTCCTAGACTCCAGCACCTGAATCCTAAACCGCAGCCACCATTTCTCTCCCTCTCTCTCTCTGTTTCTCCCTATCTTTCTCTCTGTCTCTCGCTGTCGTTCTCTCTCTCTCTCTCTCCGCCCTCTCTCCCCCGCTTCCTCGCTCTCGGCTTCATGAAGTTTAAGGGTGAGTGGCAAGCAACTTATGTCATCGCCGCTGCTGAAAGACTTGGGCTCTGATCTGTTTCTGTGATCGGAGGGGGTTAAGGGCGTGAGAAGGAAGAGACATTTAGCAAGCATGAGTCGGCTGTAGAGTCGTAGAGTCTATAGGCCGTAGGCTGGTCATAGCCGATCCGAAGCCACTTTTTTAGACTCTCAAGGGTTGACGCCATGCCCTTTGTTGCCTGCGGCTGCTTCTGTGGAGCGCGAGAGCTGGAACTGCTGTTCTTCAACCGACGTCTTTGGGTAAAGCCGCGCGGCAGATGCCATCAACCCAGGCCCCAAGCCTCGTACTGAACACTCACAGATGCCTCCAAGGCTCTGGGGGAAAATAAGTGGGTTTTTGCCCGCACGGTGTGCGGAGGCTGCCCTGATACAGCGGAGCCCAGGCATGAACCATGAGAGCTTGCAGGTTGTGTTCGGGGCCCGAGGTCAGACTGGATTCCGGGGCCAAAGCAACTCCAAACAACGAACGTGCCCTGACCCCTCCAAACTGACATCCGAAACGGATGTTGTTCTGCTTCTTGCAAGTGCCCCTCCACCCCCACCCACCCCCCCCCCGCTCAGCGGCCGAGGCTGAAAGATCAACCTGCGATCCGGCCCGACGTGCGGGCGTCCTGGCCAAAACCAATTGGGCACTGCATGGCCGCATTGAATTCCCATTTCTAATTTCTCAGTCATAAGTTATGTGCTCCGTTTGCGATGAAGCAAAAAACCCAGAATCCGAGCTCCACTAGCAAGTGAGCAAGCCTCGTCGACATCGTCGATACGGGGTTTCATCTTTAGTCGTGTTGAGGGTTGCGGTGGTCAGCTTGAGCCTCAAGCAGAATGGAGCACCTCGTCTCGGAAACCCGCCCTGCTCTAACTGCAGCCCAGTCCTTGCTTGAGCCTGCAGTCGGGTCGCATGATTGAACGGAGGGCTGTGCTACCGACATACCATTCCAGGGCTTGCTCGAAAGCTGACCGTTGAATTTTTCCAGCGCATCCTTTGTTTTGTGTTCCCTTGGCAACGGCCGCCACAAGGACATCGCAAACAACTCAGAAGACTCGAACAGCATCGCCAACACAGAGGAGACGGGCTGTCTATTGGCCCTTAATGGAACTCAGCCTCTCAATCCTTTCCTGGATTTTTGTGCCGGGGGGTTCGGGGGTGGGGGGGATCTCTAGAACTTTTGGATACAGGAGCCTGTGAATTAAGCATCGTGTCAAATGCAGAGAGAGAGAGGGGGAAGGAAGGAAGAGAGAGAGAGAGAGGACTCTCTCTTCACAGGCTATCCATGGAAGATCCAGGGGTCATAAGGGGCAACCCCAAAGAGTGTGGATTCCCAAACGAGCAATGATACCCTCAACTGCACCCTCAACTGCACCGCCAGTACTACCCCGAAATCTTCCACAAAATCCTACACGCGGTGGCAACAGTTACCCCGGGAAAAACGCCCACCAGGAAGAGTAGCAAGTCTGGCCAACCTCCCAACAGTCGTTGTTCACGCAGTACTTGTCCTCTCATAGTCGCATGCAAGCTGTGCGAGTAGTTACCCCAACAAACCAACGCAGTACGACGGGAGCAGATGGCCTGAACTAGGCATAGCTGGGAGAAAACCACCACTAGATATGCGGTGCTCAATATCCCGCACTGAGTCTCACCGCCCTGAACAGCCCACAGTATGGCTCCCCAGGCAAGAGGATTTATCATGGGCGCATAGCCGTAATACTGTAGTAGTGGTCGCAGGGGTTGCAGCAGTGGGAGCCAAGTAGCACTGTGGAGGGGCGAAGGGACGACCATGTTGGACAGGGGGTCGAAGGGATTTCCCACTACACTTATTATTAATAGCTGGCCTTGAAAACCCGGAAACCCCACAACATCGGTTAGTCCGCCGAACCATGTAACGCACGCCTCCGGGCGGCCCTCCTCAATAGAGGGGGGTTAGGTGCGCAGAAAGAAAGAAAGAAAGAAAGAAAGAAAGAAAGAAAGAAAGAAAGAGAGAGAGTCCTCTCTTCGGGGGGGGGGGGGGGGGTGTCTTCGCTGTGTAGTAGAAGAAGAAGAAGAAGCAGAGGAAGAAGAGAGGGAGTGTTGAGTGGTGAGTGTTAGTTGAGGGTTGAGTGTTGAGTACCGTGAGTGTGGGGCCGAGTTCTTTATCCCTACTTGCCTAAACCCGAGGAGCCCCGAATACCGGGGCGGGCGAGGAAGCCCGGGGGCTTGCCCCCTTGCCCTCAAGAAAGAAAGAAAGGGAGAGCACTGAGGAGTGAGGAGGCTGCTCTTGAAAAGGGGCTGGATGTCGTAGACATTGCTCCAACCGAGTGTCAGCCGCCACAGCAAGCCGAGAGCGTGGGGGCTTGCCCCCCAGCCCCAAGAAAGAGAGACAGAAAGGGAGAGAGAGCGAGAGACAGAGAGGGAGAGAGAGGTAGAGAAAGAGAGCGAGAGAGAGAGAACGAGAGAGAGAGAGAGAGAGAGAGAGCGAGAGTGAAACGATAAAGGGTCGATGAGGGGGTCGATACCGCGCCCACCTGGTCATGGCGCGGGCTTGTGTCGTGACGGCGGGAGTGCCGTGACGCGAGTGGTAGATCCGACCACAAGCAGGACCGGGGCGCGCCTCAAAGAAAGAGAGAGAGAGAGAGAGAGAGAGAAAGACAGAGAAAGAGAGCACTGAGTGAAAGGGGGGCCCGTAGCCGTCGTCGCCGTCGTCTAACCACACCTCGCGGGCCGTCGCGGCCGGGGTCCCCCCGGGGGCTTCTACGCTGGGTGGAAGAAGAGAAAGAGAAAGAGAGAAAGACCATGATCCAAACCTCGACTCTGCCTTTGGTGGACAGTAAAGAAAGAAAGAAATACAGAAAGACAGAAAGCAAAAAGTAAAGAACGAAAGAAAGCAAGAGAGAGAGAGAGAGAGAGAGAGAGAAAGAAAGAAAGAAAAAAAAACGAAAGAACGAAAGAAAGAACGAAAGACAGGGTAAAGAAACAGAGAGAGAGAGAGAGAGAGAGAGATCGCGAGGGCCTCCGGGCCCTGAAGCCCAGCAGAAGAAGAAGAAAAGAAAAGAAAGAACGACAGAAATAGAGAAAGAGGGGGAGACTCCCCTCTCGGGGGGGGGGGGGGGCTCTTCGCTGGGTAGAAGAAGAGTAAAGAAATAAAGAACGAAAGAAATACAGAAAGAAAGAAAGAAATTTAGAAAGAGCGAAAGAAATAAAGATAAACAAAAAAGAAAGAAGGAGAGAGAGAGAGGGAATCAGCAAACATCGGTGCAGTATCACCAACGACCGCGCGCACCCAAAGCGACAGAACTAAGGACTGCTAAGGCATACTAGGGCTACATGGGGGAGATTGTCGCGATGGGTAGTGCGTGAGTCCGAATCTCACAAAGCGGACGGAACTGAGTCACCTGGGCGCGCCTGTGCGCGCGGAGGGTCCTTTGGGCCCTTCAAGCCCCGTACTTGTAGAAGAAGAAGAAGAAGAAGAAGAGGGAATCAGCGAGTTGCCCAGAAACATGTCCGGGACTCGCGCGCCCAGTTTCACCCCGAGACAGAACGCGATTGGGCGCGCCTAGCGCGCGGGGGGCCCTTGGGTCCTTCAAGCCCTGTAGAAGAAGCAGAAGACAGAGAGAGAGAGAGAGAGAGAGACGGAGAGAGAGAGAGAGAGAGAGGGACCAATTGGGCGGCTTCTCCCTTCGGGGGGGGCTAAGTGCGACGGAAGGAAGAAAGAAGAGAGACCAATTCTTGTGGCCAACCAATATGACCATCACGTACAAGTCCCAGCAGTGCGTGGTCCTTTTGGGGACTTTGGGGGCCACATAACTCGACTACAGTGGGGAGGACCCCGATGACCTGTTTCTGGGGGCGGTGGAGACGGGCAACACTGACTACTACGAGGAGGCGGCAAGTGAGGAAGAAGACCCGGTGAGTGATAGTGAAACTAGTGGTGAAGCGAACCACTCCCAAGGGACCCGATGAATACCGTTGGGAACCCAAACTTGGACCGCAGTGAACTCGCTTGGCCGTCGCGGCCGGGTTCCTCCTTCGGGAGGGGCTCCAAAGCGTGGAGGAGAAGAAGAAGAAGAACAATAAGAAGTTTCAGAGAGAGAGAGAGAGAGAGAGAGAGAGAGAGCGCGGGGGAGAGGGAGCTCATGGGATCTCTGAACAGAGTCCTGCACGCCAGAAAACCTTCGAGCCCTCAGACCTCTGGCATTTCTGCCACCCCGCTTGTGATGAAATAGGACCCGGTCCCACTGGCCACAAGCTTCAGACAAGTGCAGAGCCTCAAGAGTCCTTGTTCCCCAATTGCTGTAAAGCTCAAATGGATGAAGAGGACTCGGCGGAGGCCGCAAAGGTTGTTAACGTCGGGGCCCCAAGCTCGGGATGTTCCAGCCCAACTTCAGGGGATGAACTCCCTGAAGCCCTAAGTCCTGACCCTTGGTTCAGGGTATTTTTTAGTCAGAGCTTGACTCTTCTTTCCACCGGGTAGGCTTCTGAGGGGGCCATTTGGACAAGGACCTTGGTACTTTTTTGTAGTTTCCCAGGCTGAGATATCTTCAAGCAATGAACCCCACGCCGATACCCCTAGGCTGACCTTCTCAGCGACTGCCCAGGCCCGGATTTCTTGTGGCTTCCGGGCTCGTGAATGTCAGAGTTGGGGACTTTCTGGGGTTCTCAGGAACTTTGGGCTTTAGGCACGTCGAAGGACAGGCGTGTTGGGATATTTGAAGGTCGCGTCGGGGAATGCCAAAGACTCCTCCAGCCGCCGAGACGTTTGCCTTAAACCTCGGCCAAAGACAAGTACAGTTTTCCGAAATGCACAATTTACGTTGTTTAAATATTATGTTCAAACGCCAAGTTTACGTGTGCATCCCGGCTGTCAGGCTGGAGGAGGCTCCGCCGCACGTTTCCGAACGCGCCCCTTGGGGAGTTGGCGCGGTTTACTCTCGGCTGGCCATCGGCAGATGCTGCTCCCTGGGCATGATTGCGTGCCAGTTTCTTTAGTGGATTCGGAAAGGACTTTGTCTACGTAACCACTTGTAGGTTTAGAATGGGCATACAAGGTATTTGCTTAATTCCCAAGTTCCCTACAAAGCACCGGCAAGTTTAGGCTTTTTGGAGGTGAGGGCTTTCGTTGGGAGTGTTGGGCCCCCGAGCCACGGCCCAGCCACGGCAGCAGGAATTTCAGTTGGTTTCGACCCTCCCCCCAAAGAAAGCTTTGTCAGCTTGTCCTCATCACTTCTTGGAGCACATCCTGCTCCTTAGGTCCTGATTCCCCGAGTTCTGTTCCGTACCAAGCCCAGCATTTCATGGTCACAGGCTATCCGCAACTATCACGGATATCTCCTGCCCTGGCCTCGGTTTCTGATCTCTTCAGCGCTCCTATCAAGCCTCCCGAAGCCCCCGCGAAATCCCCAAACTGCCCCCCCCAAAGCATCCAAACCCCTCAACACATCCCAACACCTAACCCCCCAATCTCCAGGCCTCCCGCTCAGCACCTTAGGCCTTATGGAAAAAAGAATGCACGCCCACTTCAATGCCAAACTCCTCCAGCCTATGCACACAGTTGAGGGATGCAACAATTCAGATCCTTGACCTCAGCCTGAGCCGTTTCCGAGCGTGAGTGTCGTCTGTCCTCCTGTGTGATTTTGCCCCGAATGACCTTGAGTTTTGGGGCGGGTTTTGAGCTCCCAACCACCTACTTCTCCAAAGGTGGCGACAGGGCGACGGCGACGCAGGGTCTTTAGCCAAGGCAGGGCCGGGCAAGCTGCATTTGCCCCACGGGAGACCACCCTGAACGGCCCTAACGGAAGACCGATAATGTACCCGAAGCTTTTGGGGGAGTGTGGGAATCGACTCAAGCCTTTGTCAGCTAACAACGCCTACAGAGCGAACCAATGCCAGCGCACACCCTGACACGCCACCTTCCCTTAGACTCCACCCTCCTTCGGGCGTGCCTACCCTCATAGAAGAGTCGCCGCTTACAAAATGTCAACTGTTTGCGGCTGCACTATTTGAGTACTCAGGGCAAGCGAAGCTCGCGAACCCCTGAGGCTCGCAGGACCATTCCGGTGGAGTGGCTCTCGAGGGGAGGGAAGGCCAAGGAGAGGCCCCCGTTGTTTTTGCTGATTCCTTCTGTTTCAGTTTCGGAGAAACGAAACAGTAGAAGGCCCGGAACTCTTAAGCACTAAGGCCTGAAACTTCAAGGCTGTAGGCCTCTCAGCCCCAAAAACCTGAAGCTCAACGCTTTGTTTGGTCGCGGGCTTTAACATAGTTTCCTTTAAAGAGCCATTCTGCGAAACGAGGTGGTGAAGAATTGTCCAAACGGGGTAGCCCAGTAGATGCACGAAGTGCAACTTCAGTATATGGAAGTTCTTAAGCAGAAGGCCACAGAAGGCCATCCTGAAGCTGCTAGGCTGCTATAGTGCCCTCAACGATAAAAGCTCAAGGCATGAAGCCCGGGGCCCCCCTTGAAATCAGGTTCTTTCGCTGTGTTTTGGAGGAAGTGTGCTGGGGTTCCTGGTTTTGAAGTCCAGGATGTAAAGGAGGACGCAGTAGGATTTCATATCCGGCTGTGACCCCCCAGCCTCCGCACGCCGTAAGCTGACAAATCCGTCGGGGCCTGGAATCAGAGTATGTCTTGTACTGGTAGTCGCCGGCAGAAACGGTATGTTTTCGGACTCTCAAGGTATAATTTGTGATGCGGCCTTCGCGTCAAGTCAAATGCCTCGACCCTGCCATGTGCACGCAGCTTCCACGACTTCTGGTTGCCATCTACAAGTACACCGAATCAGCTATGTCCTAGCCCCGTGGTCTAGCTGAGTCAGTACGACTCCGGCTACAGCAGAAGGCCTGAACCCCAAGCCCAAAGGAAGCTCTAAACAGAGAAAGGACGGCTCGGACGTGCTCTTCCTGCGCCCCGGCTTGCCTTTCGCATCTCTCGCAGATATCTTGGACTTCCTTCGTAGTTTTTGTGAGCAGTACGAATCTTGGACAAGTGCTGCGCTTGTGCGGTTTATGAAAGGTTGGAACCTGTGGATCTTTCACCGGCCAAGTTTACGTTCCACTGCCTGCCGTGCCTGCAGATGCTCCCGCTGCATGCTCCACAGACGGGAAACATCTCCAGCCAGTGAGGAAATCCTCAACAAGTGCACAGCCACAGCCACAGCCTCTTAGGACCTCAAGCGCTGAGCAGCCAACATCTCCTGCCTTCACAGCCCCTTATCCCCTTCCCAAACAAGGCAACCGTCAATTTCCCCAACGTAAAGAGCCCCAACCCTTCCAGTGAAGCGCCTTTGAGTCCAGGCAGGTTGCCCGGACGGACTGCAACATCGCCCCAGAGATGTACTTCAAGGCCTGCTTCTCAGAGCCTCTGTGGAGTTTGAGTGAGACTTTTAGGGTTCAAGCGCCAAAGAGTTTCCAGGTCCCGACAGGTCTACCAGAGTCAGCCCTCACTCGAGAAATCTTCGACAAATCGAGGAGATAGCTAGGCAGCTAGGTGTAGCCCTTTTTGTAAGGTTTGAGGTTTGCTTGAAGCTCGGACTTGGCTCTTCCCCTGAGGTTCCCCCCGAGCCCGGTGTTAGGCCCTTTGCTCCTTCCTGGACGAGCTGCTGCCACGCGAGGATTCCTCCGACTTTAAGCGCCAAGTCCGGAATGGAAGCTTCTGTGGCCGGGTTACACCGCTCGTGGACGTTAAGTCGTGCAACCTCTATAGGCTCAAGGTCGCCTTATAACCTCGAAACCTCAGCTGTCGGAGGTTCTTCGGTGGATTAGGGCTGACCCACAGTTCGCTCGCCTGACTCGTACTCGTCTTGGAGCTCTGAAGGTTCATGCCATGGAGTTCGCTTGTGTTTTTTTGGGGGGGGGGGGGGGGGGGGGGGTAATCAGGGGGGTCCCCCATTTTGGGAGATGCCCATGTGAGATCCTGTCTTAGTTCGATGTGCCAGCACCGGAATTCTCGAACCTGAGGCGGATCACTGTGGTCATGGACACACGTGGAGGCCGCGATGATGCGGGTTGACGCCCCCCGAAAGAGAAACCAGCAAGAGCGGGAACTAGCAAAGCATGCCCCAGCTAAAAGACTCTAAGCCCGTCCAGAGCCACAGTCTTGTCCAAGCACTCGCCCCAACTCCTTACGTTTCCGAAATCGCCATTTCAAGGAGAAGGCTGGCTCAACCCCCCGGCCACGCACCTCTTGCCCTTGCTGCAGCTCGCCTTAGTGTTCTTCAATGGTTCTTGTATTTAATTTCAAAATTAGTATCTCGTGCCATGTTGACATTATGTCATTGGCACATCATCGGCATATCCGTACACGATTCTTGCATTCTGTTATGTGCGCGCTGAGTACCGGCCCATGCTACCTCTCAGCAAAGGCGGGTCTGCACTCGCCTCCTGCCACCGTCGGGCCGCCCAGAGCCGGGATCGGATTGCAGCTTGAGGTTACTTTTCGAGAACCCCAAAGCCCTTGTTTTGTAGGTTGCCTACGAATCCCAAAAGTGGTTGTATCGCACGCGCAAGAAGGTAGGTTTGGGTTCTCAGGATAGCTTCGGTAGTGACAACCATCGTCGATGTTGATCGGCCTCGGTTTTTTGTTGTGGCGTTCGCCATGTCAAGCAGAGGGGTTGTGCGGAGGCCAGGAGCAGTGACTCATCACGTCGAGACAGGAGCAGTGGCAGTGCGACACAACCTCCAGCCGTGTCTGCAAATCACAGCACCTCAGAAATGGCTTGCATTGGCGCTGGGCACGGAACGTCGCCCTAGCTCTCCTACGAAGTACAAAGACCTGTCCTGGAAGCAAAAGTCCGAAGCCCGAAAGCTCTCCTTCAGGAACTATCCGGGCTCACTTCAGCGCATCGTGATCTACCCGGTGCCGGTTGCCCTGAAGTTCTTTGTGAGCCCTTCGGCCCTTGCGACTAATCGGGGTAGTTACAGGTTTTAAGTTCTTTCCTTTGCTACCGTCTGAGTGCCCTAAACCGGAAACATTCGCATGCACCGCATACAAAACTCAGACATCCTCTAGGTCTCACGTTAAACCTGTGGCAATTTTTCAGCCCTGGCAGCAGTAACAAGCGAACACGAGAGAGGTGCGGACCCCGAAGCTTCGAAATAAATCTGTGTTGCGTTGCAAGATGCCGGAGGCCTGTGCCTAGCTCTCATCGACCCCAACACCCGCAGCCGGTGTGTGTTGATCAGCGAGACTTGGTCTGAGTCTGTGGGGCTTCCATGTGTTTAGCATTCATTTTTGGTGATGTAGGGACATGGTCATGTAGGAATGAACTGCCGCATCAGATGACAGGCTGCTATGTTTGAGGTCACCAGAACCTTCACGAGTCATTTTTGGATTCACTTCCTGGATCCACACCAGCTTCCTGATGCCCTTGATAGGCTGAACATCAGCGGCCCCAGTTAAAAGAAGCAATTATCCTGTTGGTTCGTGCAATTCTTCGTGTAGTATTTGTGAATGCCCACTGCGATGCGTACATACGTACGTGAATACGTGAATATATGAATACATCAGTAGTTCAAAGCGTTTTAGTATCTATATTGTCTATATCTCTCTGTCCAGATACACACACATTATATATATATATATATGGTACCCCCCCAGTGACCTACCCTTTCTCGCCTTGTCTTAAGTCATCCAGCTGCACTGCAAGCAAACTCGGTGTGCAATATAGCGTGTTTCTTAGGGCGTAGACTGAAATGAAACTAAAATCCGAATGCACGGGCAATTAAAAAACCAAAAGCACCAAACCAAAAAAACAAAAAAACCAAAACCAAAAGAACCAAAAAAACCAAAATCAAAAAAACCAAAAAGACAATTTTCCGGAACTCTCAGGAATCCCTACGAGGCTTCTCCAAGAGTTCCGGATTTGTTTTTTGTTTTTTTTGGTGTTTTTGGTTTTGTTTTTTTTTTTGGTTTTGTTTTTTTTGGTTTTTTGGTTTTGGTATTTTGGTTTTTTGGTTCGCCTTTACGTGGCAATAACTACGCATTTTAAAGTGTGTTTTTGTACTTGCGAATTTGCCTTCACTAAGTACTTTTCTAGGAAGATTGTGCATTGTTAAGCTTGCTTCTGCAAATGGTGCCTTTCGGACATAGTATATAAGTGGTCTTAATGAAATACTTCAGAAACAAAGATTTCATTGTTATGCAAGTAGAATCGCTTCTATTGCTGTCAGTGTTTATTTCGCATTTTGGTTGAGTATGGTCCTTTACATAGTAGTCACTTGAGTCAAATTGGGCGCTATTTCATAAATATGTAAACATAAGATATTTCAGTGGACTTTTCAGATAGTATTTGATTAATACTTTGCCTAGCACACATTCTATTTATGTACAAAGCAGTATTCTTGTGCATGGCCTTTACTAGCTACTTTTCTAGGAAGGTATACAAGTGGTCTTTTTTGGTACTTGAGAAGTCTTTGACATTGTTATGTAAGTAGAACCGCTTCTATTTCCATTATTGTTTTTTGTATATTTCAGTTGGGTATGGTATTTTGAATAGTGCTCTATTTCCATTAGTTTTTATTTCACATTTTGGTTGGGTATGGTATTTTAAATAGTGTTCATGTGAGTCAGATTGGGCTATTACTTAATACTTACTCTAGTAGATAAATCGCATAGGATGATGATTTCAAAACAAGAAACATTTCATGAATATGTAAACATAAGTTATTACAGTGTACCTTTTTAGATAGTATTTGGTTTATACTTTGCCTAGTACAAATTCTTTTCATGTACAAAGCAGTATTCTTGTGCTATGGCCTTTACTAACTACTTTTCTAGGAAGGTATATAAGTGGTCTTTATTTAGTACTTGAGAAGTCTTTTACATTGTTATTTAAGTAGAATCGCTTCCGTTGCCGTTCGAGTTTATTTCACATTTTTTAGTTGAGTATGGTATTTGAATAGTATTCGCTTGAGTCAGATTGGGCTATTTACTTAATACTCCAGGAGTTAAATTCGCATACAATAATAAGCACACAATGTTTCATGAATATGTAAACATAAGGTATTTCAGTGGACTTGTCAGATAGTATTTGATTAGTTCTTTGCCTAGTACAAACACAATTATAGTATATATACATATATAGATAGATAGATATTTATATATATATATAAAATCTATTAGTTGCTCAACAAAACATTATTTGCCCGTTAAACGCACAATTTGCCTAGAAAAAACCAAAGATCTAAACACCTAAAAACAGCATTGTCCGCTTCAGATTCAAAATATAGACTAATCCAATGCTGGCTTATCGGGGCCTGCGAGGTGGGTGTCCCAATAGATGTCCTTCATTACCCGGTGATTAACTACGCGACTTTTGGGCCTTCGTTATTCTTTTTTTTTTTTTTGTAAAAAAGGCCTATAAAGCGTGCTTGAGTATTGCTGTACAGCGGGTTCTGCAAGTCGAAATTGCCAAATGCAGCAAGCGGCCCCGCATCTCGCTTTTCCTTGACCTTTCTACGTTTTTTGAAACAGTCGATCACCACAAGCTGGCGCACATGGCAGAGATCCTCGCCTTTCCAGCAACGGTCCTGAACGTAGCCCTTCAAGTTTATCGGGGCGGCAGAATAATTTGCTCGGAAGGGCAAACCAGCCCGCCCGCTGTCCCCACGAGAGGTATCGTCGCCGGTTGCCCGGCGGCGCCTGTGCTGAGCAAAGTCGCTCTTCACCTCCCGTGCTCTCGAGCCTCGGACTCTGGGCTGGCAGACAACATCGACGTATGGATCGATGATATAAGCGCAGACTTCGAGGGGCGCAACCCAGCGGAAGTAGCCTGGAAAGCCGTCAAGCTGTACAGACAGCTGCGCGCCGACCTTGGGAGTGAGTCGCTCCTCCTCAGCGAAAAGAAGTCCGCTTTCATCTGTACCGATAAAACTGTCGCCAAGAGCCTACAGCAGCTCTTAAGGCCAGGTGAGCCGAAAATTGAAGATCTGGTCAAAGACTTAGGAGTGGACAGCGCAGGAGCGCGCAGAAGGAGGGTTAAGCAGTCCAACACCCGCCTCCGCAAAGCTGGACTGCGTAGCCAAAAACTGCGCCAGCTAAGGGTCCCCGACAAGAAATGCCTCCACAGGGCATCCAGAGCCTCAATCTTCACGGCGGGCACGTGGGGGCACCAGGCGGGGCTTTCCCCGAAGCGTATGAAATCAGTGCGAGCCGCCGCCGGGACCCACGCAGGCCGCTTAGGGTATGGATCCTTGGACGTGGTCTACGACCTCGGCGAGAACGGGGTCACAGATCCTATGAAAAGGATCATCCTCGAACATTGGAGCACCCTTGCCCACTGTGTCAAAGCCGACAAGCCAGCAGCTCAGAAGTTACTCACCGCGTGGGAGGTCATGTGGAAAAGGGGCTCGAACAGCCCTCACCCTTGGCGCATTGCTGTGGGGCCCCTCGGCGCTATGCAGTGCTACTTACGCGACATGGGGTATGATGCGCCAACCTTCTCCTCTTGGAGGCGGCCAACAGGAAGCATCGTCATCCTTTGGGGCTCCCCCACAGCTGGCCTAGAAGTCAAAGATCAGCTGGATGCAGCAATCGACCAGGACAGGTGGCAAAGGATTGCGGCGCAAGAGCTGAGCAAGGGCTGGATTGGAGCGCGGCCAGAAAGCTCCTCAAAAAACACTCCAAAAACCACCTCCTCCGTTCGGGTCTGCGCATGCTGTGGCAAGGTGCTATCAAAAGAGCCTCACACGGGGGGCCCGATGCGTGTGAGGTGTGCGGGGAACCCAACACGCTTCGCCACGCTCTGCAGGAATGCCCTGCTTGGGCAAGCCACGACATTGGGCCTGACCCTGCCTGGAGGGTAAGCCTGCCCCAAGCTCCTCGTTGCCTTTGGGAAAGAGGTCTGGTCCCCAAGCAGCTCACCGTGCACCCGGCCCTGCCGGCTGAGCTCCTCGCCGTGCAAAAAACGGGGTTCTTCCTTCAGCCTGATCCGTGCAAGGAGGTGTATTTCGGGACCGACGCCACGGGAGGCCCCAAGGGCAATGATCCCAGGCTCCGCCTTGTCTCCTGGGCAGTTGTTGCCATCCAACCCCTGGGAGGAGACCTTCCGACTGACCCGGCGGGGGAGCTGTTCCCCAAAACGCGCTTCAAGGTTGTAGGAACCATGAAGGGGGCGCTCCAAATTGGAGCCACGGTCAATGACGGCGAATGTGTTGCTCTCGACCAGCTCGCCTGTTTTGTCGGCCAAACCGCCAGCGTTGCGGTCGACAGCAAAGTCGCTGCTAAGCATTGCCAAAACCCAAATGCGGAGAGAATATGGCCGCAAATATGGGAAAGTCAAGCTAGCCAGAGGGCAGGGCTCCAAGTCACCTGGACGAAAGGCCACTTAAACGAAGAGCAGCACGCAAAGAGATTTGGCGTGAGCTGCAATTGGGCGTGGGCAGCCAACCTCCTCGCCGACGATATCTGCGGTAAGCTCAGCGCCTGCCTCTTCTCGCAGGAGCAAGCGGCGCTCACCGACACATGCGACAAGGTGGCCACTGCGGTTAGCACATGGTTAGGCAAGAGATGCGCTCACCTCCTTGCCACAGCCAAACCCACGAAGGGACCCAAGGACCACCCTTTTCAGGAGCTACCCAATAAGAGCCCCTCTCCCCCGAAAGCAGTGGGCCCTAATTAAAAGCAGCGGATGCTTGCGGCCTCGGCCGTGCAAGATCCGCGCACGGGACACACATGGAAGGTCACCTCGCACACTGTGTCCAATCTCTGCATGAAATGCAGCACTTGCGGATTGCTTGCGCAGCAAAAAGACCATGCGCCTTTCCTAGAGAGCATCCTGGCGCACCCCTGTGCCGGCAGAGAGGCCTCTGTCCCGCATTCCGCCAAAGTCCACTGCAGCCACAGTATGACCAACCAGGGTAACGCATGGCAATGTACCCAGTGCCATGCCAAGCTAAAGTTCAGGTTCACCACCACCTCCGCGTACCTGAAATCGGCCTGCGCAGGCATGCGGCAAGAGTGTTCGCAAAAAAGCAGTCACAAGGGGAGGGCCCGGGGACGGGGTGCCTGCCCAACAGGGGAACATCATTGCGGCCTTCCATGCAAAGGACCGCCCCTTTTCCTCCCGTAATTGTGATTGTGGCCCAAACCCCCGCCCCACCTCCGGGGAAGCCAATCCCTCCAACCGCGCCGAAGTAGGGGAGGGACCACCTTTCCTGGTAACGGGTTTTTCCCCTAATCTTGGCGAAAGCTTTCCCCCAATGCAACGGGGCCCCAAGCCTAAGGCCAAACCAACGAAAACTTGCCCTCTCATGCAAAAGCCCCTCATGTTTAAGTAATCCGGCTTTCCTCGCAGCCGTTGGCTCAAGAGGGACGCGCTGCGTGCCCTTAGGTGCCCGCAGAGCCGAGCTAACACATAAGATTGTAGCTAGAAGGTACGCTGCGCCGCCCGCCCCAGACCCTTAACAAGAAGGTGCGCTGCGCCCTCCACTGACAGTTAGGGACAGGTAGGGATTTCGCAGGGTAGCCGCCGCCCAACCCCGCCTCTGTATCCCTTGCAGGTGAGCTTCTCCCTGCCATGGGCAAACCAGGGCAGGGCAAGTACCAGCCAAGGGCAAAACAAAGAGCACTCTTCCCCGTCAAATTCAGGATGCAGCAGCTGTTGTTAACAGCAAACGAAGGAGCGAGAACTTGCCCACAAAGTCAGTCGCCTCCATAGCTAGGTCCAAGGCGAGATCTGGCTTGCACCATGATGCAATATCTGAGGCTCGGGAGATCGACAGCAGGAGCATAGCTGCACCGGCGAAAGCCCCGCCGCCCCCTCCTGAATCCAAGCGACAAACGAGGGAGGCGCTCAAAATTGCATGCGCTGAGCCACTGCCGTGGAAAAGGCGAGAAATGAAGAGAGCCCAGTCGCAGGATAGTGGAGCCCTTTCGAGCACTGGGCCTACGGAGGAGGTAGCTCAGGCGGCTCTCCGGGCCACACCGCCGTGGGTTGAGATGCTCACCCAATCGGCCAACGGCGAAGCGACGCTGACAGGACCGCGTGAGCCCAACAGAAGCAACCCTAGGGCGCTGCTTCACTTTGTGCCCCAAAGGTTGATGCCCACTGCAGAGGCCTGGCCTTTCGGGCCCCTCACGCAACTCAAGCCTGGGAACGACAAAATCACGTTTGCTCTCCCTGACGATTGGATCCTCAAAATGTCCATCCAACAGTTAACACCAGAGAAGGCCTACGGTGAGTTGCTCCCGGGCTTGGTGGCAAGGACCATTTGGACCGGAAGGCTGAGGGTACGCCTGTTTACCACGGAGGCAGCCACGACGCTGGCGCTCGAGGGTTCCATCCAGGCCAAGATGGACCATGCGATTGACTGGCTCACCCACGCTGGGTCAAGAGATCGCCTCCGTTTCCTGGCGTACTACAGCATTGTTTTGGTATACCTTGCCTCAACCTGCCAACTTACTTTGAAAGACCTCGGAGAGAACAATCTCGCACTGTGGCCGGGTACGAGCTCCTCCCCGGTTCCGCGCCTTGGCTTTTACGATACCCTGACTTGGAGGAAAGGCGGCAAACCGTCCACAGGGTGGAGTGGCTTCTGGAACCTCGTCAAGAAGTTTGAGCCATTGCGGGTCAGCTGGTTTGCCTCTGTCCTGGCAGACCCTTTCAAGAACCCCGGGGCCACAGTCCAAACTCTTTGAGGAATGCCAGCCCTACCTCGAGCATCTGATTCATCAAGGAGTTCTAACTCCGCAGGGGCATTTTGCCGAAAATGAACCTGCTCGAGGATAAGAGATTTCGGGCCCAACACGGGGCTGGTGCACATATAATTGGGACATGGTGAGCTGCTCCCTTTCCCGTTTTCGCAGCCCCTCTGCCGTTTCACTTTTACCGGTCGAGCATTGCGCTCCCGAAGGGGCACCGCCCAGCGAATCTGACCGCTTGAGATATAAAGGGTAGGTCGCTCGGGGGGGTAGCATATATACATATATATGTATATATATACGTACACATATTTATATATGTGCATATGCGCATATATATATATATACACACTTGTCGTGCAGCGTCGTTCTCCCCTCCCCCCCATGGGCCCCCCTGTGATGGTGGCCAACTTGAGGATTTAGGATTTTAGGGTTTGTGGGTTTGGTCGGGGTTGAGTTTGTTCTTTTGTTGCGCTTGTTTGTTTCCTTTGATTGGGTTTGTTTGTTTCTTGTGTGTTTTGCTGGCGTTTTGTTGCGTTTTGTCGTGTTTTGTTATGTTTGTTTGTGTTTTGCGCGTGCCGGTACACACCCGCGAAGGGTGCTGCACCAGAAGCTAGAGCCCAGGAGAAGCAAGAGGGAGGTGTTGAGAAGGCGCTTCACGAGTACATCAGTCGCCGGGCGAACACAGGGTCGTTTGTTCAGGGGTGTCTTAATGTTCTGGGCTGGGTTGCGGGGTCGCAGCCCAGCGAGGTTCTGTCAAACTGGTGAACCAAAGCAAGCATGCGATGCAGCCTTCTGTTGGGATCATTTGCATCTTGCCGAGCCCCAAGGCCCTCTGTCCCAGTCCCAAGCGGCAAGGACGTGGCATGGGGATGCGTGTTGATGTTCTGCAGCTAGTGTCCGAGGCAAAGAGAGCTTGCCAGAACATGCCTGGCCTCGTCATATTGGCCTGTGAGATGATTCTGTGCCTCTAGTCAGGGATTCGAAGCTATTACCAGGGTCTTCGGTCTTTTGTGTTGGTAGCCCAGGTGTCAGATCTGAAATATCAGCCTGACGCTTGGCATTTGCCAGCAATTTAATCTTTCTGTCCACGTGCCAGAAGAGCAGTTCTCCGAAGGCATGTCCTTGATAGTTCCCTGACCCTTTTACTTGCTCAGATCCGTCAAAACTTGAAAGGGAACACGATATGGGACACTCTTTTGAGAGAGTTTTTCGATGCTGGGTCGGCAAAACGCCATCCGTGGATATGCGATGCCTAGTCAGGCCTAGTCCCCCACACATGCGCTGAACCCCAAACTGCAACTTTCGCATACTTGGAGTGGCGCTCATGCCATGCCAGCTTTTCATTCTGGCCCTTGAACGGAGCGCTTGCACGGTCTGCAGGAAGGCCCCTTTTGGCTTGTCTAGTGAGTCGACTTCTCAGGCCCTTTTGCAGCACATGTATTTTGGTATGAGTTCCGCCGGCGCCTTGTACTTGACTAAGTGCGGCTTCCCTCCCTGTAGCTGGCGTCCATGTCATTGCCACACTCATGCTTTTCCCGCCCAGGGGGTGGTGTGACTTGGACGAGTGGTGTTAGGTTGACTGGCGACAAGTCGTCTGAGATGTTACGCCGTGGTATGACACCAAATGGTGTTCAAATCAGTAGCGGGGGTAAGTTAGTAAGAGCCAGCTTTCTGAAGATTCAGCCTGGCTTCTTTGGCTGTGCCAGAAGGCGTGTTGGACGTGTTCTTGCACACAGGTCGCTTTGGCCTTGGAGGAAAAGTCGCATCACCTCGCGAATGTCCGAATGTCACTTAAGCCCCGATTCGGGACCACGAAGCCCCCAAGAGTCCAATCCTCTCAAGACCGCAAAGCCGGAAGCCTCTCTGTAGCCTCTTCGCTCCTGAAGCTGTCTGATTGCGATGCCCTGTTAAGTGGTGAGAGAAAAAAGACGGAGCCCCTCCGCCTCAAACTCCATCACAGGCAAGCCTGCGCGAGAGCCGGCGCGAGAGCCTGCACGAGAGCCTGCACGAGAGCCGACGTACCAAAAGGTACCTGTACCGCGCGGGGCCTTGAGTTCAATGGGAGAGGGGGGCGGAGGGAAGGCTTGCGTACTTCGGATCCGGAGTTCGCCCGGAATGCTGCGTGGCATGCGGGCTTTGTGTTGGCAGGTGTCTTGAACAGAAAGCCTGAGCTAGACATGAAGAATCCGAGCCTCAACGGCTGCAGCTTTCGAATGTCATGTCTTAAGAGCTTGAGGCGCTTAGAGCTGGTGCCCTGGTGCACTTCAAAGGCTTCAGTATTCTTCGGGCTGGCTTTGAAGTCTTGACGATGCTTGAAAATTTGGCAACCTGCAGCAACCTGCGTGAAATGCAAGTTGGACCTTTGAAAGCATGGACATGCACGGCCCGTGGGGCCGCCTGGAGTTTGCGTCAGCCTCCCTTCCCTCTTGCTTCCCTCTTAGAGACCTAGAGCTTTCTGAGCCTTTTTACGCTCTGATCAGAAAGTACCTTCAATGAGAAAAGTCCGTTCGGGTGCGAAAGCGCCCGCAGTGGCGTGAATCGAGCTGTACGGTAGTTGCGGAATCCCAGCGCTTTGTGGCATATATTTTATGGGTCGTTGCATGCCTCAACAGTGCTGACGGTCACGAGGATGAGGCCTCTCAGGGTTCTTCTGGAGGTGCGTCATCCTCGTGGCTGTCACCTTTTAAGGCTATCCTTGTTGTTGGTAGTCTAGGGTGCGCCTCCATTGAGGCCGGCCAAGCCGGACCACGGCCACCACGCGGGTCGACCACGCTCCGGTGGGACAGAGCTGTCACAACCTTGGAGGGTCTAGAGGGCCGTTTATAGGGTCTTTGGGGGAGCGTTTGGATGGAAAAAGGTGTTTGGGGACTAGGGTCGAAAGGGTTTAGGGGAGACAGGGGTGTTTAAGGTTTTGTGGGTTTAGGGTAGTAAGGTCAAGGCCTTGAGGGAGTAAGGCAATTTCAGGGTGTTCTTCGGGGTCAGGGTAGAAGCACCGATTGGCATTTGCGGGGTTCTTCAGGCTCATGGTCTGATCTGATGTAGGCACTCAGCTGAATCCTAAGTTGTGGCAGTTAGAGGATCTCACAAGCCGCAAGCCTTCTCGGTTTGGGAGTCAGCGCTTAGGATTTGAGGGCCGGAGGATGCCTGCTTGGCACCATAAATCCAGCTAGGTTGAGGATCAAGTTGCTCACACCTGCACTGTACCCTTGCTTGATTTCACGCCAGTTTTGCACCAAGTGACAGCCGTGTGCAGAGGACCTGGAGCCTCGTGCATATCAGGTGGAGGATTGGTTTGGGGGTCGGTTCCCAAATGGTTTCGGATTCGCTTCGAGGAGTAAGGAAGCAGCTGCTCAGGGCTCGCAGGCGTTGAGCATGCCGACAATCTCTTGACCTGACGTTTGAGCCCTCATCTCGAAAACTCCAAGTGGGTCTTATTCCCCTTGTTGCAAGGAGACCCCGTGTTTAAACAGACAAGTCCATCGAACAACGTGTGGCTTCGTCTCAGTAGTGACGTCATGGGCCCTTAAGGAATCTAACGAACTTGAGCCTAGTTTACTTATTTCGGGTACAGGGCCCGATAGCCTCGGCTCGCCATGTGGTGCTGCTGTGAGACGGCAGAGGATGCGCCGTGAATGCAGTGTTGGGAGCGCTTTTTGCTTGTCTCCGGTTTGGTGGGGCATATGGGACCTAAGAACTCCAGAACGAACAGCACAGAGACCCGTGCCAACAGCCCAACCGCTGTGAAAGTCGACGCGGCAACCTCGTGTCGTCAAGAGATCTACCAAAAGCATCCTCAGATCCTGGAGCCCAAAACCCTGCATCACCTCACCCCCCGATTCCTACAACCTGAGTGGAGAGGCTACGAGATGCACCACAGTTGGGGGGGGGGGGGGGGGCTCTTCTGCCCAGAGGTCCCACAAAACCATCCTCGGCCAAGGTAACTGTCCAAGTTCAGTCCAGCCCGGTTCTGAACGAGGCAGGGGCTTTGGAGATTGGGCAACCTGGAACGACTCCTGAACCTTAACCAGCAGCCACCATTTCCAGGGACCGGGATTTCCGGCGTTTTCGGGATTGTGGCGGACCACCAAGCTCAGGATTTGTGATTTGAGGGCTAGCCCACACCGGCTTGGCATTTCGAATGCCTCAGACAGACAGACAGACAGAGAGGGAGAGAGAGAGAGAGAGAGAGAAAGACTGGAGGGAGGGAGGGAGGGAGAGAGAGAGAGAGAGAGAGAGAGAGAGGGAGAGAGAGAGAGGGAGAGCGAGCGAGAGAGCCCCAAGAAAGAAGAAAAACAAAAGAGAGCTGGAGTGAGGGAAGGAGGGAGGGAGGGAGGGAGGGAGGGAGAGCGGGAGAGCGGGAGAGAGGGGGAGGGGGAGAGAGAGAGGGAGAGCGAGAGCAGAAGAAGAAGAAGAAGAAGAAGAAGAAGAAGAAGAAGAAGAAGAAGAAGAAGAAGAAGAAGAAGAAGAAGAAGAAGAAGAAGAAGAAGAAGAACACGAAGAAGAAGAACACGAAGAAGAAGAAGAAGAAGAAGAAGAAGAAGAAGAAGAAGAAGAAGAAGAAGAAGAAGAAGAACACGAAGAAGAAGAGGAGAGGGACACAGCTTCACTTTCACACACCTCGCGGGCCTCTCGGGACGGCTCCCCTTCGGGGAGGGCTAGCGTGTGGAGAGAGAGAGACACAGGGCTTCGGGCTTTGCGCCTGGAAGGATGGGAGGGACATTTTCGGGCCTAGGCGGCCTAGGGGCTCAGCATTTGCAAAGGGAGGGCTTCTCCAGGCCACCTGAAGGATCCTATTCTATGAGCGCTCCCACAGCATTCTGTGAATTTTCATTTTTTGGGAAATTTGGGCTGCGAGGATGGCATCTCGGCCAGCGAGGCCCCGGAGCGGGGAAGCTTCACAGCCGCTCGGCATGGTAGAGCACACGCCGATGCTCGAGGGTTTCGGGGCTCCGGGGTTTCTAGGGTTCCGAGGGTAGGGTTTGGACCTCTTAAGCCGGAAAAAACCCGAGCAACCAGGCACCGCCTGTGTTGTAAAAGCCTTGCGCGCTCCCTCCTCAAGGGCTGACAACCATGAGAACACTTCAAGGTACAGCACGCCCGATATTTCAACTCGAGAACGCTACGGCCCAAACTCAGGTGAAGCTGGAGTTGGAAGAGTTGAAGCCGCGGATGCTGGGCGTCGGCCTGGACTCCACTGAAGAGACGAGCGGCGGAATTTCAATGGCTTTCGGGGGATGTGTGTCTCACAAGTGTCTGTTGTTGTTTTTTGTGTTGTGTAGCCGGGGGGGGTGGGGGGGTGGGGGGTGAGGAATGCCAAGCAACTTGAGCTTTCACTCGATCACAGACTTAGTCATCCACATGCCAGACTAGCAGCGTGGTTGTTGCGCAAGATGCTCTGCATGGCATTCGGCCAGAAGCCAACCTGACCACTACTTTCTTGAAGAACCGTTGGCTAGTCTGGTGGAAACCTTTTCCACTGATGTGCCTTTCTCCTCGGCTAGGCGAGAAGCGGAAAGCTAAACCTTCCAAATGCTACGCCTCGCTCAAAAAGAAGCCCACATCCTCCAAGTGAATCCCGAAGCTAGCGAATCCAGCCGTCTGCAAGTACTTCGTACCAAGGAAGGGCCTCTTGATCGTGGGCTTCTTTGACGGAGTCCCTTGGGCAGCTCAGTGTTTCGGGGGAGGCGACTTAGATTTAATGATGTGATACCTCGGGCATGGGAGTCGCAGAAGCTCTGGAACTTCTGGCTTTTGTACTCTTCAAAGCTGATGAAAACCGGCTACTATCTGCTGAATTGTCTAGATAAGGTTTCACTGTTTGGGATTAATGGGATTGTAGAAGTACAAAGACAGATTTGCGCACTTAGACAAGTCGTGCTTCAGAGATTCCTGCGTCACGAGTGTCTCGGCTGGGGACGTGCAAAATTTCGAGAAAGTCGCTGTTCTCGATGCATCGTGCTTCGACAGAGTGTCGTCGCTTTTGGCGATCTGAGATCACATGGGATGCCCGGAATTTGTTGCCTGTAGCGTGGACTCAACGGCTGCCGACCGAAAGGGAAGAAAAGAGGTGAGCTGCGCCTCGAGATTGGAGTCCACGAGAAGTGGGCGGATTCAAGCATCAGGCCTTCTGAGGGCCACATGCCTGGCTTTTCTCGCAGGACAGGTGGTGGCAGGACAGGGAGGAACGATGGCAACTTTCAGCTTTCTGGATCTGCCTCGCCGCGGCTGTTTGCCGTCACTATGCATCGTCAAATGCTTCTTTGAGCTGTGTACTGCCTAAGATGTACTGCCCAAGGCGACGGTAATCTGTGAGTCGCACAGTTGTCAAGACTGACGACATCTTGAAGCCTTTGCAGCTCAAAAGAGGATGCTGTGCAACGCATGATGCTTGATGCCTTGAACCCATATAACCCATATGCGCAAAGGTGTTTCGATCCCGTCTTAACATGATGCTCGAAACGGCTCAAGATCAGTCGCGGACTTCGTCAAAGAGCCAGATCAGCCCGAGAACCTTAGTGAGCCGATGCACCTCCACAGTGGAATATGTCTCTGTGACATAACTCGACGCCGCAAACCGCCAAAAATCAAAAGCACCACCCTCAGCCCTAGCCCTTGAGAATTCAGAGATCTGAAGACCTCAAGTCTGGCTTTGGCCCCCCCTCAACCCTTGAACCTCAACACAACTGTGCTCAGGTTCTCTCAAAGTACAACGCGAAGTTTCCGCGGCAGGCCATCAAGAAGTTCGACAAGCTTCTGGCCTTGGATGTGTTATCTTTGGGGGGTTCCCTTGTCTTAGGTCCCGGGGCCTTCCTCTTGCGACCAAAAGGTCGCCAGACCAGCTTTTAGAAGGCTTTCAGGGAATCTCACTGCTTGAGCTGAAATCGAAAAGTGGGCCCACGTGAGCTTGGTCAGTGATTCGAAGAGCCTCCTGCAGACTTCTCGTCGCTTCAACTTACAAAGCATCAAAGGCCCCCCCCTTCGCCGAGCGAACGAATCAGCACCGAAAATAGCACTTCACAGCACTTCATGCCCTGCGCCCCTGACACCAAAGCTGAGGATCACGGCGGTCAATGGCAAGGCTGGCAACGCCAACGACCTGCGAAGGAGCCCCGCGGAACCGAAGCAGAGAGTGGGCGACTTGAAACCTTGCGGAAGCCAGGGCCCTACACCGTAAAATTGCCCTCCAGGATTATGGTTTCCGCCATAGCCGACGAGACCCTCGAAACCTTGGCCCTGACCCTGCGGCGGCCGGTGGAGATAGAGGTGGTTTGGAGATGGGTCATGGGTTCACCAGGGGTTTTCAGCTTGGAGAGTTTCCCGTGCAGGACTTAGCTGCGGTTAGTGGCTTGACACTGTATGTACACATGTGTGCGCAGCTCGAGACGGCTTGTTGACTAGGAAAGGATATGGGGTGGCGGGCTTTGGCAGTCTTCAGATTAGAAAAGAATCCAATGCCACAAGCTGGGTGCATCCCCCAGAAGAGCGGAGGTTGTGGTACGAAGACCTGGACCGCTTGGCATCCAGGTGAACTACACCGACCTGCACCTCTGCTAACCTTTGAAACTTTTTCTGTTGCAGGGGCTGTAGCGGCGCATGCTCGTTCAGGAGCTTATCGTAGGCGTCGGCGCTCAGGCTTGTGTGTTGGCCGCTGGGGCTGCCACGGGCTGTAGGGTCAGTGGGTACTCATGGGTACTCTTTGTTGACCCCTTTTGAAAGATCTCTTGCAACATCGGAAGAAAGTGCAACAGACCTAGATTCACCGAGATGGACGAAAGGGAATGCGCCAAAGCTCAGCTTGAGGCTCGGCGGAGTGCTGATCACCAAGATTGTTCCGGATGGCCTTGTCGACCGGTGGAATGCCGCCAATGCCGAGGAGGTGAGGGCCGATCCGCCTGAAGCTTTTCTCAGCCACGAGACTTTGATGCGTATCAGATTGCGAGGTGTCAGGCCTTGAGAGCACGTATATGTCTTTGTGAGCGACAGTTCGCTCTGCTTTTCCACAACATGCGTGGCTTGTCGGGTGCCGCGACGGGAGCTGCCTGAAACGGAGGGAGGCTCTGCCAAATTCTGCCAGAATCAGTGGCTTAGTCATTAAGAGCTGCAGGGGCTGCTGCACCTTACGGCAAATAACGCTTGAAAATCATCCAGCGCATGCTGTGAACTCGTCACATACACAATGATGTTGCCGATTGGCCAGCAAGGGATCGCGGGACGCCGATGAAGCACATTGACTGTGCCTCTTGTCCGTTGCCTGCGTCTTCTTTTTTCTTGTTTTGTCAAGTATCTGTCTTGTTTGCATTTCGTCCCCCCGTGTTTCCCACAGCCTTGCTGCTGCCTCAAGCCAAGTAGAGAGGGCGTGTGGCTTTTGGTTTCCTCTTGCCTCCATGCTGTCGCATGAAGAGATGGCTACATGGTATTGTGCGGTGAGAGGGGTGGGTTGACACAATGGTGCTTTTTTGGTCCGAGGGTGTGGACTTGAAAGAAGGTCCACGGCAACACCTGATGCGAACGATGTGATGCCGCGATTTGAAGGGGTGCTATCGCCAGTCGCGACCTCTGGTCGGAACTCATGACTGCCAGGGCCACATGGTTTGTGCTGGTGATCGCATCATCGCTCTGAATAAGGGATGCTCGGCAGCAAGATTTGTTTTACGACCTGTCCTCAGGCATAGTGACGTTTGTGAAGAGGGCACTCTTTTTCCATCAGTAGTCCGATTGCGTGGAGGCGATGGCACGGATTCTTTAGAGGTCTTGCCCCGATGGTGTTTGACGACAGAAGGCATGTCCGCCAAACCCAATGTGTGTACATCCCATCTCCAGCTCCACCCTGCAATGCAGCAAAATGCAAATCATCCTGTACACACCTGCCCGCTAGCATGCTGCATTGCTTTGAGTAGGACGGCTCGCTGTGGTGGGCCTTTCTTGGAAGTTTTCTTGGAGGGCTCTGAGCCCTGAAATGCCTTGGGCTTTCTGCGGATTCAATGTCTACCTTAGGATTCGGCTTCGGAACCTCGGCCGTACCCTACCCCCACCGCGCAGGCGAGCTGCGTGGCGACACCCTCGTTGAAAAGCTCAAGAGCCATGGCTGTGAGTCCTTTCATAGCTTGGGACAGCCAGCAATGAACTCAGTACTTCCAATTCAACTTGCACTCAAGGAACACGGTGTAGTGAGGGTCTAATATGACGGCATGTCCTGAGGACACTGGTGTGGCCATCCTTAGCTGTTTGAAGGTTTCATCTTGTGGAGATTTCTTGAGCCTGGGCTTGCTTGAAGCCTTGCAACATTTTGAGAATCCTGGGTCCTGAGGTTCCTCTTGGCAGGTGGCAAAAATCTAGCATGTAGTGACAGAAGAGGTCAAGTACTCTAGACCCCTTCACCTTTCCAGATGGGCATGGAGGAACGATGACGACCTCAGCCTTACCATATTGCACTACTGAGCCGCTCGTGACCGTGGTCAGACTAGGAGGCTTTGCCGTCGCCTCTGGGAAGATGTCCGATCGGCCATCAACGCCTCAACTGAGCAAGTATGCCCGCGATCATCGCTGGAGGCCCCCAAGAATTCTGACTCCGTAACCCCCAACATCCCCAAATGCCCAAGCCTTCAAGAAGCCTACTCGTTTGCGAGGGCGACTCCTCTCTGTCTGTGTGTGTTCGTGTGTCTGTGTGTGCGTGTTTCACTTTCGAAGGTGCCTGGCAAAGTTCGGCTACCCTGCAATGGCAAGGGCGTAGCAGCATAGCTGGGACTGGCCAAAAGTGTGCTGCCCGACGTTCATGCTCAGCTCGACCGGCTTCTCGCTTGCGTGCCCCACACTGAATGCCGATCAACGCAGCCTCCCTCATGCAACCCTCTCAATCGGCATCTGATCACCAATCAGTCGCTGCAAGTGTGTTCTTCAGATGCTGATGGGATCCCCCGCCCTGCAATGCTAAGCCCGAAATCCGCAACCCCGGACTTGAGAAACTTTAAGCCGACTCCACCGATTCAACGTATTGTAGGCTCACCTAAGACTCCTAAGGTGGTTTGATAGGATGCCATCTGTGGAGGTTTTCGGTGGACCCTACAAGCCCCAAAAACCCTCACGAGAGTCCTCTCAGGTCGGTCGACTCCTCAGCGGTCTCCTGGGACTCCCAGGCGCAGATTTCTGGGTGCGTTTTGTGTTCAGACTCGTGGGTTTCATGGTTTACCTTGCCGACAACTGATGCACAAGTATGGCATCGAAGCATCCCGGACAGAGGGCCGTAGCTTCCAGCCCCAGCCGTTTTTGCCCTGAGCAGTATAAAAGGTACGAAAGGTTGTCCTGCGAGGTTCATGCGGCTGTTAGTAGTGCAAGTGGCCTGCACAACTTGGGCATAGCTTGTGGGTAGGTGTAGCCGACACTGGCCTCAGTTCCATATCAACATCGCACTAGATGGGTCGGTATTCATGTTGCAACTTTGAATGCTTCATCAACCATGTTCAGGGCATGCGCAGCTGTAGGCGGTCGACGATGATGCACGGCGGCGGGAGAAGAAGGAGCGCGGCGTCCTCAGACAAGCTATCTGCGACTGCCAGCCTGCTGTATAACCCAGGCATGCTGAGCCTAGACCTGAACCTTTAGTGCCCGAAACCGTCTCGAGATTTTTCTTGAAAGTTGCTACACGAACTTGGATTTTGCTCAAACAGGTCAATCTGGGATCCTGATTCTCAGAGGTTCTTGTCCTGAAGAATTCTGGGCAAGGTCCGGTTTCTTTCTGTGTCGCACACAGCCACATAGCCCAAAGGTTTCGAGACGCTTTCGCTGGGGCATGGCTCTGCGGGACATTGCGGGTTTACATGGCTGGAGAGACCTCAACAGAACCGGCACACTGCAGGACACTTGAGAAGGATCAGTCGGGTCCAGCGGCCGAAAAATGGTCGTTCTCAAAGTTATGGTCCCTTGTCGGGGACCCTGAATATTAGGGGCAACTAGCCAGCCTAATACAGCCCCCGAAAGGCAAGGCGAAGAAGCACCGCCAACAGTCTGCAGAGGTCGCTGGGAAGTTGTTTTTGGAGGTACTGGATCTTCACTTTTAAGCTGCGTCTAGGGCCTAGGGCTTCAGCAGCTTGCCTTCGGATGATGTTGGGTTTTTTGCTGGGTTTCCGGCGTGCTGCAGGAGGCCGGGGTTCAAAGAGCTTGGGTTCCTGATTTCATGGCCTTGGCTTCCTTGCGCTTGTCTTGGCAATTCTGGGCTTGGGTATTTTGGGGGTTTCGGGGAGGAAGGTTTACGGGGTCTGGAGAACGCGTGATGCAAATGCAAGAGATTGCAAGAGTCGGGAAGTTGACGGCCAACGAAGCCAGTCTTGCCAATCACCAACAAGGAGCCCTTGACGCCGTCTGTAGCACTTGGGAGGTTCGAGACGTGAGACATGCCAAGAAGGACGTCGGTTGCCCAGCTTTGCACTTGTATAAGTGTCTTGTTGGAAGTTTGCGTGCAGGTCTTGCACATGTTTGTTTTGCAGGAGGTGCAGTGAGCTAGGGGTTCTAGGAGTCTTCGGCCTGGGACCTGACGGAGGGCATTAGTGCATTGTTTTGTGTGCGTTGATGCAAGGTCGTTGCTCACTTACAGGGCGCTGAACCCACTTGCGCCGCTTGCGCCCGAAAGCCTTAAACTTACAATGGGAACTCTAGAGCCCAACACGGTTTTGGGTCGGTTTTCAAGATTTTTGTTTTAAAGATGCTAAGTACGATGCGGCATGCCAAGGATGGAACGCTGCCGAAGCCCTTCAACTGGGCCGAAGAGGCCTCGGACAGGGTGCAGTGATCGGTACAAGGAGTCTGCTTTTGGTGCGAGGTCATGTGTTTCCACGCGTTTCCATGGATTTTCCATGAGGCCCCTCGGTCAACTTCCTCAACTTCCTAATCGTTCATCCTTCGGTGATTTACAGCTTAGGTTACAACCATGCATGCAATAGTCGAGGCCCGATAAAACTTAAAGCAGCCTGGCATCGATGGTTGGCGGGCCTGGGGTGAAGGTATTTGGGTGAAGGTATTTGGGTTCAGGCTTTGTGTCTTTTGCTTGGGCTTTGCGAAGTCTCCATCGCCACGTTGTGAAGCACGTCGTTCCCGTCATGGGAAGTCGCCTTCAGCTAGGCAGTTACAGTTAATGTCCTTGTCGTCGTGCGGTACTGTGGGGTGGGCAACGCAAAATGGGTTTGCAGGCTACATGCTTCCAGTCCAGAGATCCCATCAGCCCTGAAGCAGAAGCCAGCAGGACGACAAGACTTGTTGTCGTCTTTTCTTTAGCTGTCGGTGCTAGGCACATGTATTTGCTACTTTGGAAACATCCGGCTTCGGCTGATGTTGACCCTGCAAGAACAGACGCTGCAGCCTCACGCAGTCCTTCGGCCCTGAAGCCCTAGCCACGGAAAACGATGCCATGGGGGGGGGGGGGACCTGTCGCGAGTTTGGGAGCAAGACTTGGGAGGTCGTCAAGGCCTCCATGGACCCGCAGAACCAGTGGGACTTTCCGAGCAACAAGGGTGGTGGGTACGTGGAGACCTCAGTGGAGTTGCTAAGAGTGTTGAGGGGTTTCTCCAGTCAGCCCTGGAACTTTGCATAGACTTGGATAGCTATCATTTGGGTTTCCGAGGTTGAGACAAGCGTTTAGGTCTGTTTCTTGCACAACAAGAAACAGACCTAAAGGCGTGTGACTGTGTGCACTACTTTCTTGTATAAGAATGCCTTCAAAGGAAGATGTCTGAGCAAAGAAGTTGAAGTGTAAGACTTTCCGGAGTGTTAGACAGACCTTTGAGAATTTATTGGCGACTTGGTCAGTTAGTCATGGCATTTCTTCCAACCTATACTGAGGCTGAAGCTCACCAGCGAGCCGCCTGGGAGCAGCGGGGGGCTGTGCGGATGTTGAGAGCTGTGCACTTGTTTCCCTTTAATCCCCCAAGCACCATCTGGACGACTGAGCGAGAACGTAGTGACATA